GATCCCGGCCTAGGCGCCATTTTTGCAAGGCCTAGATATGGATCTCTGCTAACAGCTTATTCCTCATTCTGACTTTTGTCTTCAGCTTGCTGCTGCTTATCCAGGTTACCAGCTATCAACTAGTAACTAGATTTACAGCAGCCCATATAAGCATCCCAGCCTGTTATGGTACACAGTAGGTTACGTGTCACCAAGGCAAGTACGCCAAACGCGCCAAGAAGCCGCGTGTGGAGTACGCGCCCGGAAACGCGTACACAACTAAAATACCCCTTTTCCCCGAGGCTGGGGGAGCGCAGCGGGGGTAAAGCGCAGACGTCAAGTCACTCATGTGTCACGGTGCAAGCTGACACTGCCTGAGGCACCAACCGTCCAGAACTCATGGGCTCTGTACGAGTCTGCTGGGCCCCTGGCCACCCACAAATACCTGAGAATGAGGCAGCTGATCAAGCTGCAAAGAAGGGTGCTGCCATGGATCCTCCCCCTTCAAGTAAGCACTCGTACGCCTCGCTAGGGCGGCGGGCTAAGGCAGATGTCATGACTGCTCTTCAAAGATACTGGCAATCCTCGGCCCCTCAATCCTATCAAGGACTCTGGATTACCAACTTCCCTAGAAGCCCTACAGAGCTAAAGCTCCCAAGGCCGTTTCTAGCACGGATCCTGGCTGCTCGTACGGGCCACGGAGACTTTGCAGCCTATCACGAACGATTCAATCATGAAGATGCCTATCTTTTCTGCCGCTGCGGTACAAGAAAGACTACACTACACTTCCTCTTCTGCCCGCATAGCAAAGAGGCGCCTGCCCCGACCTCCAGGTTCCCCTTCTGACATAATCCCCTACTTGCTTGGCACCCCAAAAGGCGCAACCGAGCTAGCTGTGTGGGTTTCAGAAACTCGTTTCTTTGAAGATATATGCACTCGGCATACACTACCTCAGCTAGACTGTGACGGTCTACAAAGGAGCTTAGTAAAAGACAAGTTTGTTTATGACTCGTAGTCAAGGAATTTTCCCATGGAGAGAAAAGGCTATCTAGGAGCGAGGATCCAGGACCTCTATGTATTGCCTGAGGCTCCGCCTCAGGCAGGAATGCATCCAGGAAGGTTCATCCATACCGGGAAGTTCCTTGGCTCAGGAAGTGACAATCCGGAAAGTTCCCTGATTTCAAGAGGTAACACCTCAGGCCCCCTTGTGATGCGGAATAAAAGTCGGACCGAGGATAGCGAGGTTGTGGCTGGAACTGATTTACTGCCTTCCTATTCTGTTTTAAAAAACATTTAGTTGAGTGAAGCTGCTTCGTGGGAATGAACGCCCTCAGTGTTGGTGGTGCAGGTAGGGGCATGATCGCTAGGAAGGCATCAGATTGTAGAGACTAGTTAAGGATCTTTTTCGGAAATTTTGGTGTTCACCGAGACATTTTTTGGAATGAAGAAGATCAAATTTTGGTTCCTCACAGATGTTGTTCAATAGCTGTGTTTGAATGCCTGCGAGGAGCAGATGTCCATACTAGTACTCATGAACATAGGCAGAACAAGGCCGGGAAGCAAAAAAGGGGGAAGGAGGGTCTTTTCACACTGGAGAAATCGCCTCACGGCGGAGTAAAAGGATCCGTTAGCACAATTGTGTGTCATATCGATGATGCCACCCCTTTGTTGAGTGGGCAAACCCAGATGATCGGTGAAAAGCGCCAGAAGGGAAAATAGACACTGGTATAGCTCTAGTGTGATTTGTTTTATTGAGGCTACCCTAGTCAGGCTACTCGCCCCTCTGCTTAGGTCGACTCAGTGAGCAAAAAGCGGCGAGAGGTGAGCATTAAAACGTAAAGACCAAGTGTCTGAACTGTGTAGAAAATCCGGTACGTATGCCCCTTGCCTTCTATTCGTGACCGGATTCTAACAGCTCCATAGTGGTTTCAAGGTCAAACATGGGGCGAATACCTTGGTGAAACACTTAGCGCAATGCTCGGACAGCTTGCCAGAAATAGGCAGAGCCCTGTGCGTGACCAAGAGGTGTTCATTGTTGGTTTGTACGGCCCTTATCTCTACATTGCTCGTGGATTCTTTACTGCCGCCACTATCGCCAGGGTGCATACCAAAGGATGTGCAGAAGGCGAGACCACGGAGTTGAAGTTCACTCGAAACTATGATCTACGCTAGAAGGCGGGCTTGATGGCTGCGATGCGGGCTCTGACTAGGTTATTCCGGCACCTATGTAGTGGAAATGCAAAGGTTGGCGGGATGAAGAAGCGTCGAGGGCACCACGGGAACTGCTAGCACTCCTACTCTTGAATCTTATGGAGTGCAGTAGGAGACTTCGAAAACTTTTCCAGGATTCATTGATGCGAAAGTTCCTCTACTGTATGAGGACCGGGATTTGAATAGAGAATTTTCTTGCTCTGCGGATGAACTCCACCTGAGCACGCCACCACGGCAATATCATTTCCATCGCATCCTGTGTATATTCCGCAGTCCTTGACGCGAGAACATGATATTCTGCGCCAGCTGATCCTGATGAAACCTTGTCACAAAGCATTGTAGTTTGCTGCCTGGTTGACTGACCCAGTTTTCCAGGTCCGCAGGAGATGATCCTTATCGGCATGGATATCCGCAGAGAAAGAACCATGGTTATGGCTTGCTGAACAAGGAAATCGTCCTGTCTATCGTACACTCAACCAAGCCCAGTGTGTCAATGTATGTAGCCCCTGAACCACAAACTTCTTCACCTTACTCCGTAGTCGGCAAGACGGACATGGCCTGCAAATTAGTTCTTATCTGATCGTGCTAGGCCTGCCGATCGCACTTAGCCGACGTTGACTTTTGTCATGTCGGTAGCTGTTTCGAGGGATGGCGTGAGAAGTTCAAGAACAAAGTTTGGTTAGACATGCCGATGTCAAGTTTAGCTTCTTCTGTCACCAAGTTAGTTTACAACTCCGTAGTTAGGTTGAGACTTAGGAGACACGATACTGAACGTTAGTTCGCGGACATGACAGCATATTAGGAAATGACGGTGCTGATCTCGGATGAGAAAAGAACCTGGGAAATTCCAAACCGAAGTGGATCATAATGTCATTGTTGGGGTGCCAAAGAAAACCTGGTTGAGAGGAATCGTCGGGGAAAAGGAATGGAAAGGAGAGAAGGGGGAAGCCGTGGAAAAGAGAGCCGCCGAGAGTCGGCCCATTGATGCCTGAGGCGGGAATCCCCCCAGTGCTGCCTCAGGTGTCGATTCACTGCCCCAGGCAACCCGTGAACGCGTGGACAAACATCGTCCAACCTCAAATCGACCAGCCTCTCCAATCCTCTCCATCTCCCAGCCCACTCTGGTCCCACTACAGCCCTGCTTGCCTCCACACATCCCACCGTTGATCTCAACTGTTGATTGTTTACCGCCCTCATTATCCCACCTGGGCTTGTTGTGAAACTTGTGATAGCGATGGACGTCGAAGTTGGAACGCTCAGTTATCGGCCGGATGAGCTAGTTTCGCCGGCTCTTGTTTTGGCTCGCCTTTTTCTGATGACCGGCGGTGCTTAGTCTCGCCGGGGCTGGCATGCTCCGGACCAGCGATCATTGCTGCACATGGAAATCCAAGCGGCAATGTCTAAACTTTGAGTCTATTCCTGTCCCCACACCGTCGACTCATCGTTACCCGATCATCCATCTCCTCTTCGCTCTCAGTCGAGACCCCGAGTACGGAGAGTACGGAGTAGACACGGTTCGCTCTCCACTGGTCCTCGGATGCAATTCCTGTGTCGCACTGTGATGAGAACGCGTAACGCCTTTCATGCAGGTAATCTGGAACCAAGGCGTTTTCTTGATCACAGTGTGCGCGGATGAAAGAAAAGATTGGGCTGGCAAACCATGAACAATGCGTTGTCTGCAGCAGGATTTCTTGTTTCCTTCCATAACACGCCAGAGCTAGCTACATCATGCTGGAGCTGTATTACTGATTGGGTGCAGATTATCAGTGAGATTTATCTCACCCCACATGATCTGCGATAGTTCTCACGGAAGCGACTGGTCCTGAGACACATGCTGTTTGGGATCTCCTGGGAGACAAGTCTAGAATTATGCACTGCTGACACACGGTCGGTCCTTTTGCCACTGGGGAAATTCTGAGGCTGGTTGGACGTCATAGAAATAAGCATATCTTCGTGATATATTGCGACAGCTGATGCAAGCCCTGCGGTAACCACCACTACCGTGGGTCCATGGCCATTGCTATCGCCACCGCAACACCTTGTAAACAACGAAACTGGAGAGATCGTCGACCTTGTCGATCCACTGGCTTGTCCGGCGGTTGGGCTCAAATCAACCTTGTGACTTTACTGGTTAGCGCCGACTAACTCCTGCTGGCATGCTCTGCAACAAGCTTTGACATTGGCTGTCACAGAAACTGGCATGGTGGTCTATGCCCCTGGCTAGCGCAGGTCCAAGGAAAACGTCTTACCGACCTTCACGCCGTAGGTCCCACTCGGTGCCGACTATGACCTTCCAATCAATTGCAGAACCTGTACCTTGCGCGACCTGGAACCACAGGGATCAACACACTCTGCTTCCCCGGCGGTATCTGGATAGACGGCAAGAAAAAATTTAGCGGCTGGTCGAAAGATCGTCAATATACCGTCACGGAATGGGCTTTGCCCGTCCAGCTCACAATATTTAATGGCTTCGATATCCGGCTCAGAATTTCTCTTTTCCTCCAGAGCATTTAAACAACAAGTCTCAGACTATCTCTTTTCTCTTATTATCTACTCTTCAGTATGAAGTTCACCTCCATTGCCATTGCTGGCCTTGCCGGCTACGCCACAGCCATGCCAGCTTTTAACTTCTTCCCTGGTCCTCCTCCCCCTCCTGCTTCCAGCTCGCTGCCTCCTCCCCCTCCTCCTAGCGAGACTCCTTCTGTGGTAGCCAGACAATTCCCTCCTGGCCCGCCTCCTCCCAGCGGCACCCCCAGCGGTCCTCCTCTACCACCTCCGAGTGAGACGCCCTCCGCTGTTCCTTACGAGAAGCGCCAGTTCGAGGGAGTTCCTCCTCCGCCTCCCAGTGGCACCCCCAGCGGTACTCCGCCTCCCCCTAGCGGCACCCCTAGTGGTCCTCCTCCCCCTCCGAGCGCATCTCCGACCTTCGCTCCCCTCGAGAACCGCCAGTTCGAGGGCGTGTCTCCCCCGCCTCCTTCCGGCACTCCCAGTGGATCCCCTCCTCCCCCTCCTAGCGCTACTCCCAGCGATGCCGTGTTTGAGAAGCGCCAGTTCGAAGGAGTCCCCCCTCCGCCTCCCAGTGGTACCCCTAGCGGACCTCCTCCCCCTCCTCCCAGCGGCACTCCCAGCGGACCCCCTCCTCCCCCGTCCGCCTCTGCTACGCCTTTTTTTTAGATGAAGCGCGGAATAGTCGGACTTCCCAGTCAGACTGGCTCTTGACTGGCCATCCTATGGAACGATAGCCATGCTGGCGCTTGGTCCATGCGGATTGTCCGAACTTTCGCTGATCTTGGATCGATTATGTCAGTCACAGACCGGGTCGTTCTTGGTCGCATTGTCTCATAGGCGTTAATTATTACGGAGGGTTGGATGGGATCAATGGCGATATGCTGAAATTATGTCTTGTATTTACTGTGTCATGTACTTATGTCTCTCGTTTGATGTCTTATACACTAGATAGAACTGATGAATTCAACATCATAAAACTTCAATGCCTCCATGTGTTCCACTGTCCTTCCAAGAGTACTGTCTAGACCCTCCGGGTGCAGAAAGATTCACTAGCCGCATGAGGAAGGTTCGGCCTAGACACGTGCCTGGAAACCGCAGACTTCACCTACTACTCATACGCCTCTCGCATGAGAAAGACGTTCACCCTTTATCATTCAGATGAGCCAAACACCTAGTCCGGTTATCAACACGAATAGTGAATACATAGTACTATCTATACTATCTATACTATCATCATATCCAACACACCATCAACTCTTCCACTGGTTTCTATATCGGAGTTGACCTCATCGTGACACATTCCACCCGACCAGTTAGGATTTACGGAATCACTGAGCCTCCAAAGTTGGCACTGTGAGTCTCACGCTCTAGAGGAATGAACGCCCAATGACTACACAGTTACATTTCTTGTGAATGACAATTGATGCAGATTTCCTCCCAACAACCTTCTTCGAGTCCTGCCTTTCAACTCACTCCACGAGAGAACGAAACATATCAACGAACAACAAAAGAATCTACCACCATGACCATGGAACCTTTCTTTTGCTGTCGCCTCTCTATCTGAGTAATTTTCTGGCTGTTATTGCGTATTTGCAGGTGGGCTCTACTCAGGTTCGGCGTGGGTTGCGAGTGAAAAACCGTCTTTGAATAAAGTTATTCAATGATTGCTGTACCGTTAAAACCTGTTGTACATCTCGTTTTAAACCGACAGGTTAATCTGTCGCGTTTAGTATGAACCCTGGGGGTTACCCAGGTACTTTTTTGTAGAATGTCGAGGATCTAAATTAATAGATAATACCAACGAACAGTGGGTTTACTAGAACTATTGAGCCTCTATGGCTGGCACTATAAGTGACGCGTTCTCGAAGGGGATGAACGCATAGTGACTACACATTTACATTACTTGTTGACCAGCCCGAAATACTGATGCAGATTTTCTTTCACCAACAACATCCCTCGCATTCCATCATTTCTCTCACTGCTCGCACACAAGGAATAAACGAACAGAAAAAACCAAACAATCATCATGGGTTCATTCTCTGCGGACGAAAAGCCCTTAAAGCTATACCCATCGTCGACTGACACTTCTTCCGACCAAGCTCAAGGACTTCTGGACCGTCTTGAGAGAATGAAAGAAAACGCAGAAAAACTGGATGCGAACAGATATCGAGAGGATAAGCAGATAATCCGAGAAATTCTGAGAGATGTTCGGGCCCTTCATTGGCGTGATTTAAAATCGAGTCGGGGAAATGTCGAAGAGGATAGACCTCCCTCCTGCCAGTGTTTGCCTTTTTGCGGAAATGCGATCAGCAGAAGACTGCGAACATGCCGCGACTTCCTAGAATTTCAGAGGGTCAAACATCAGTTCATTCTTTTGTGTTGGCTGTGCCTTTGGTGTGCATGGCAGTTGGAGAAATGAGGTGCGACAACAGGGGCTTGAAGGAAGATAACAATGGTTTTTTCTATTTCTTTTTCTTTTGGCTTATAGTTGCTTTCTTTTGATCCATGATTCCTGCTCATTACTTGGACTGGCCTATCCTTTGGCCCATCTTTGTTGGCCGCTATAGCTGGTTTACATGTGGGCTGTACCGATGTCGCACGTGGGATGTGGTTGAGGATGTCTTTGAGAATTGGATTGCTCTGTGTTTGCTGTACGATCAAACATGTGGTACACCTCATTTATAATCGACATGCTGATCTGTAACTTGTGGCATTGGACACACCGGATGAAGGAAATTATTATCTCTTACGGGTTACCCAAGTAGTCCTTAATATGATGTCGTGGATCCAAATTGAGCGGCAGCTATCCAAACCTCAAAAGCGTCCCCAACACCCAGTAGAGAATCTATGGCTATCAATTCATTATCCCATCATAAGTATTTACTCTATCACCCTGCATGTCGCGCATTAGCCAATGAGTACACCCAGCATGTTTCAGTCTTTTGTATAGCCAATTCTCTGGATCTCCATGCCCAAATCCCGCGAAGGCAATTGATGGAGACACGATTCCGTAGCACTTGAAGTGCTTCGAGCCCAAATGGCTTGTGGAATAGTTCAGGTGTCCATCCCATCATGCAAGGGGCACCAACACGGCACATGCACAGGCATCCCGGATTCTCGGACCATGCCTTTCCAACATCTAGCTGAGATCACCACCACACAATCAATCGACCGGCCTCAGAGCATAAAACCTCACAGGCAACAAGCCCAACCGTCTGGGAAACCCCAACTGCAGCTCCGTCGACACGACCCGCATGTTCGCCTCCTCAAACAACTCCAAAAATTTCTCATGCGACCTCGTCACACTACTATCCTCCTCATCATAGACATCCCCCTCCTGAACCTCCGTCGTCGTATTCTCCTTCACAATCATAACCCCATTTGTCGACAGACTCCTCCGACATCGCTCTATAAATTTCAACAGCTGCTCATCCGTCAAGTGTCCCGCACACCACTGCACCCAGACAAGATCATAATCGTGCTCCGGACACCAACTCTCCAACCCAGTCGTATACACCTCCCCTTTCACCGCACCTTCTCCACCTCGATCTTTCCGCAGCACACGCGAAAACTTCTCCACCGGCTCAACGGCATCCACGACATCGCAGACCTCGCATAGAAACCCATCCGTGACGCGCCCGATGCCCGCGCCGCAGTCTACCCCGCGAGGAAGCTTGAGGTTCTTGTCCGAGGGGATCGAAAGAAGGCGTTTCGTTCTGGTGAGAAATGACTTGGACCCTTGTAGGTCTATGCGTGATACTTGTGGGAATCCGCCGAGCATGCCGTCTACCGTCGCGGGGACGTCGCTCCAGTAGGCGATTGAATGGGCATGGTCGATGTTCGAGTCGGGAGGGGGACTCGATGTAGTACTAGTATTTGTTGTGTCGTGGCCATTAGGGAAATCTGGGGTTGATGATCGTGAAGAAAGCATTATGACTGACTGGGTAGGAGGAGGGGGGAAAGAGGAGGAGGGTTGTTCTCCGACTAGGGAGTAGAAATTTGAAAGATTGAGAAACTTCAGAGCGAGCGAATGGGTCGAATGATGTCAGTGCAGGGCGAAATGGACCCTGGTGCCTGGACACGTGATCAGCAAATAGTGTGGGAAGCGATGGATAGCTTGTGTATTGGGTGGCCGGTGCGGCCACCTAGTTATCTAAGATATCTAGCTTAACTAACTAACTAACTAACTAACTAGTTAACTAACTAGTTAACCTGATAAGTGATGGCTAAGTGAGGTCGAACCCCAGGGCCGGCGAAAGGGTACGTCCCTATGCCCCCTATGCTCCGACAATTAGATGTGGTGCCTGAGAACAATTGCATTCAGACACTGAGCTAGCCTAGAATAGGTAGATAGTGGGTCTTTGCTGAATCTCACCACGTGATCCGGATATGGTTTCCGGGGAGTTTATTCACATTTTGACGTTCCTTCTTGAGCATCTCCTATTATTTACAGTCTGTTTGATGATGTTTTTGCTGATACTTTAGCTAAGTGCGGCCGATTTGTGACTACAATACAGGGCTAAATACCTTTATCAGAAAAAGTGGGTCTACCAAGCTTTTCCACCACTAGAGCCGTTCGACCGATCCAGTCGAACCCACCTCACTTCCGCGTCGAAAGAGCCGAATTGGGCAGATACAAAGGCATGGAGTCCTCCCAAATCGAGTCCGTCAAGACCTGCTTATTCGAGCCATCGGCATCCATGACCATGATCTGACCATACGGCTGGAAAGTGTTGTCGTACAGGGCACATTCATACTGGAACCCGAACATGCCGGTCGAATAAATGATGCGACCATCGTGCGACCAGACGGCATGCGCATCGTTTGCGCCGCTGCTGGTCAAAATACGCAGGTCGGTGCCGTCTGGACGGATCGTGCAGACCTCATAATTCGTCGGGTCGGTCTTGCGCGTGAACACGATTCGTTCGCCGTCGGGGGAGAAGAACGGCAGGTTATCCCATTCGGTGGTCAAAACGGTGATTTTGCGGGTCTCGAGGTCCAGAACTCGGAGGCCGAGCTGTGACTGCGCACCCTTGGCCGACTGAGTGCCCCAGACGCGGAAGACGACTTTCTTGCCGTCGTGCGAAAAACTGGGAAAGCCGGAGTTGATGGCCGTGCTGTTGGCGCTAAGGTCGGAGGTGCTGTTCGTGAGGACCTCCGTGTAGGACCCGTTGGCTGTGGCTCGGATCAACCAGCCGCCGTAGGCACCGCGCTGTGTGAACCAAGACCCCAGGCCGAAGACGAGCCATTCACCGTCCGGGGACCAGGATGGTTGGAAAGCGCCGGCAAGACCTTGTGCATTCTGTCCGGTGTTGATCATGTCGTTGTCGAGGGCGTCGTAGATGAGTTTCAGGTTGTCGGCGGAGGGAGTCATGGTGACGACGGACGAGTTGCCGAGTTGTTTCTGGGTGATGGCGAGCTGGTTTTGCATTGAGAGTTGGGGGAAGACGTCGGTGAAGCGGTACTCCCAGTCTGCATCCCAGCTGTAGAGCTTCTTCTCCATCGGTCGTTGGTCCCATCCGATTTTTTCGTAGACGACCTTCTTGCCGTCAGGGGACCAGGCGGGTGTACGGATCGTGCTGCTGTTAATGTATCCGCCGTTCGTGGTGAAGATACCCTCCTTGTCTCCACCCTTGATCAAGTATCCGATCTCGTTCTTGTTGATGTACTGCGGGTAGATCTTGACGCCAGTTCCTCCCATTTCCTCCTTGATGTCGGATCCAGTCTTAAAGTCAACCGAGACCAAGGTTGAGTTGGCCGAGGCGACGGATTCAGGACGGTGCGCATCCCACGTAGTGCCTCGAGTCATTTGGTAGTATAGAATACGCTTGCCGTCGGGCGACCACTTTGGCGAACCCAAAGCATACCCTTTCTTAGTGACGATCTGGCGGAAGTCCGATCCATCCGGCCGGATGACATATATCGACAGCTCCTGAGTATGTTCCCAACCGCTAAGACCCATGTATGTCTCATCTCCATGTCCATCCCAATCGACGTTGCGGTCCGACGAGAAAGCAATCCACTGACCATCCGGCGACCAGGAAGGACGGAAATACCCGTTCATGAGGGACGCATTGCCGGCCGTAGTAGGTGTATCTGTGAGGTTCCATTTCTTTCCCGTCTCAATATCCAACACCCAGATATTCGCCTTGTAACCGTTAGCCGTCGAGGCGTAGGCAGCCAGACTTCCATTCGGCGATAGGACCACCGAGTCCTCAACCGAAGGTGTCGCAACCAATTCCTCGAGATCCGATCCGTTCGTTCGAACCCGGTAGATATCGGAGTTTCCGTCTCCGTTTCTCTCGCCAGTAAATGAAATCCATTTTCCGTCGGGTGAGAACTCAGCATGGTATTCGTAGACCGGGTCGGAGAGGAGAGGGCGTTCGTTACTGCCATCAGCATTGGCGATGTATAGTTGCGAGGTACCAGGAGCGATTCTGTTCATAAGAAGCACACCCTTCTTGTCGTCGGAAGTGGGTAGATCGCGCGGCGGGAGGGGATGAGGGATGGATGAGGAATCAACATCGCGGGCCATCTGCTGTGCATATGGACAGAGAGCAAGGGCGGAGGGAGCCAAAACGCCCAGACTAAAAGCCGTAGAAAAATGCATTGTGTTCAATCCGTGGTCGACCTAAATGTGAGGGACAATCGGATAGCACTTCAAATCCACGGCCGTTTCGCGTTCGACACAGAAGAACCTCGAATGCACGAGACGAGCCAGTACTTATACCTGCGAAAATCCTCACCCCTTTCGACAATTGACTCCTTTAGCCGGCCATCCTCCACTGAGCAGAGAGCGAAAAACAAGCCAGCAATAACCATCAGACCATCAGTCGTCCACAAGCAATCTCGCCTCGGAAGATAAGATCCACATCGCGAAACGTCCGAGACAACGAACCCTGCCAAATCCCACCCGCCCAGAGACCATGTAACATGAAGAAAATTAGTCTTGGACAGCGCGGTGGAGAAACAGGCGAGAGGCATTTATTATCTGATAATCAGACCTCCATCTCTTCGGGGCTGCAGTGGGTCCGCTCGGACTTAATTCTCTTATCTGATCGTAACCTCGGGCGTAACCACTGCATACAGTTTAGTCTGGCAACAAACAGGCTGAATTCCTGCTCTGCAGAGATTAATTTTCCTCCCAATAGGCCTTGTTGAAGATATTGCCAAGCGTGACGGTGCAGGAAGCGATATTGGGATCTTCCTGGGTGTGTGGGAGTCGAGGTCGAGTCGGCTGACTTGGTGGCCGGAGGCGTCCGGATAAGCGAATGTCCCCGGGGGTGGACGAGAGGAAAGGGTTCATAAAGCCGTGTCTTTTCGATGTCCAGAATCCCTGTTTGCCGTCTTAGTGGATTTATAACAGGTGATATAAGGTATCTGACCTGCTCAAGCGTGAAAGAAGCACAGGACATCTGCTCCGAGAGGAAAAACTTCGTTGCTGTAATTGCCAACCATTCTGTTAACCATAGGTTATAGCGCTCGGCCCGAGCTGGCCGTGTTGAACAAGCTTTAGGGCAAAGTGCCTCTCGTAATTGTGCCAAGTTTCGAATGGTCTAAGCCTTGAGAAAATGATTCAGTTGGCCGATTATAGCCGTTGTTAGGGAATGGAGAGCAAGAACCTTTAGCTTCTCATTAAAGTCGCCCGAATAATGTGAAATCGATGAGAATTAACCTACACTCATTACCAGGTTACCGGCTTGTGGAATTGGCCGCCGGGACACTGGGGTTTTCGCGACGGAGAACCTGGGAAAGCATGAGATGAGAAGGAATGGTGAAAGTAAATTCTCAGCCGGATAATTTTTTTATTTATTTAAAAAATCAATTAGTTTCAAATAGAGATGTATTATCCTGAGTCAATGTCTAATTCCCAATGTGGAATTCTTCTGAAACGGCCCGATCATGCTTCAAATAATATGGCCAGGATTTGTTCTGCAATACTTGACTTCCTTTAGCAGTCAACCTCGGCATTCTCATCGACGCTGATATTCAAAGTTTCCAAATTTGTGCGAGCGAAACAATCCCGTCTGCATCTATCCTCAAGCCTTGATCAACCCACTAGGCTCTTGTGCTTTGGTGATCGTCTTGGGCCACACAGATGGCCCTATAACTTGAGAGTGGTGTCAGATGTTGGGGTTGAACTCCACGACTCAAATCATCATCATTGCTTCATAATGTGCAGCCATATATCAGTGGAAACATTTATAGTAAACTAATAAAGCTTCTCAGTAGCTAGTATGGTAGCTCGTTACAGTTTAAAACCATTGACCTGTCTCATGACTATAGGTAGTAAACGGGCTGTACACAGCAAGGTAAGCCCCCCTGCATTGGCATTTGAACATCTCTTGTGCATTCCGAGTCACGAAGGCGACCGTTGGTACCAACACCAGCTGACTAGGCGAATCACTTTATACCTCATTGGTTTTGAGCTGTGCACATTATGACAACGTCATAAAGGAGTCTGTGTGCGATGGCAGGGGAAAACAACAGCAGCTATCTGTCTTCTTTGGTCTAGTCACGCGATTTCAAGGAATCATATGGGTGTTTCGACTCAGAGCATACCCTTCTTATTTGCAAGATTTAGCTCGCGGAAGCACGGCGAACTACACCGTAGGTAGGTAGCCGACTGTTTTACGGAGTAGGAGCTAACTATAGCAGTCGCGTGGATGCCAAGCAACCGAGCAACAGGCAGGAACCCAGATCGAGTAATCTCGATTGCAAATTGTATGACTTCAGTGCCATCCACCGATCAAGGCGATCCATGCCAATTCTTCTCGGATCCTTACAGTGGCGTTGTCCCCACTTTGAAACCGGAAAAGTGGAATGTCGATGACATTAGGAGCAATACGAGGGGCCGATCTGACCGATGGCAAGTTAATCTCCCGATTCATTGGATGCATCACATTTTATGAATGCTTGGCAGAATATCTGAGCGCCAGGAGGATGGTTACGCTGACGCCACAAGTGGAACTCGGTCCCATCAGAGGGGATCAACCCTGAAAAATCAATCGTCTTCTTTTTTGCTACTGGGTATCTCGTATTTCTTAAACAAGATCATATTAGGCGAGTGTAGCTAAAGAATAGAACATCATCTAAGCGGATGTTTAATTCCTCACGTACGACTTAACCTAGGCAGAATTGGTAGAGACTAGGTATCACTGAGAAATTTCACCTATCCCAACTTTGACAGTCCCACGACAGATATCTATATAATGAACTTCGACTACTCGGTCCGAAGAGACGTCAAGAACTTCACCGAAATGAGATTCCCTCAGAAGGTATAAATCTGGCCAAATGCGAGGAGTTTAACGAAATTAGAAGCTCACGCTAAGCACGCTTGTCTCACTAACTAACGGGTAAGCAAGGAGTCAAGGACACAGAGCACAGACTCATAGAGTCGTGCCCCTGGCCTCCTCAACCGGGTCTTGTGACGTAGTTGCCGCAGCGATCGAAACGCCCTTAGAAAGCTGGCTCTCATTAGGGCTAACGGAGCGGGAGGTATGAGATCATCGTCAAAATTACCGCCGATTTAGTTCGCCAAGACTGAAATATTTAAACAAGCAATACCTCTTGATTGGGGAAATAAGATCCGCTCATAGCCAAGTACTAAAAGTAGCAGTAGACTTTTTTTTCTTTCTACTGCACTTGTCTGTTGCAACTGTCATAATATGGCTCTAAGGCTCAGTTCACAACGGTCAAGCGCACTGTCAGCACAGGGTGAAGTTGCGGCAGACGCGTCCCGATATGCTCACAGAACTTCGTCTTCAGCGCGCAACAGAGACTACGATAGGGTATGAGACTCAAATGCAACTTATCGATTACACTCTGACTTTCCGTAAAGTATCCCGGGGAGGAGGACTTTTCGACAACCAACGGATATGTCGGCGGAGATGATATTCCAGGGCATGTGCTGGCCCCTATGATATCGAATAATATGGATTATCATAATCCAGTTAGCTTATCTTCTGTCTCAGCCATTCTATCCAACCTCGCCTTCACTAACCATTACACCGATCTAGCATCCAAATTTACCTTCGTTCACCGAGCTTTTCGGTGAGCTTGTCCAGGAACACACACAGGCTCCTATTCCGATTCCCAACCACGATGACGACGACGAAGACATGAACAGTGTAAGTTTTACTCTCAGGCTACAGATACGTTTAGTTAATGTAGTTTTCCGTGCGACCAGACAAACGGAGGAAGTGGCTATGCAGAAAGCTTTATGGACACACACTCCCTGACCTCGAGCATTCTCGATTATCAGTATGAGAATGGACGACGGTATCCAAGTAACCGAACGGTATATTTATTGATGCTATCTTCATTTGAGAAATGCTAACTGGATGTTTAGGGAGATTATATGTATTTTTAGCATCTATTCCAAGGTCTGAAACTGTCTAACTGAAGTAGGATGCCCAATGATGAAGTCGAACAAGAACGCCTAGATTTGGTATGTATTAACAAGAATTAAAAAACCAAAAGAAAGAAAGAAAGAAAAAGAAAAAAGAAAACCCCGATTCCTTCGTGCTGATAGCGTGTAGGTGCACCATATGTAAGACGCACACGATATAATTTACCGTCAACATACTTATCACCACAAACCCACTAGATACCTGATGTTGATGAAAGGAAAGCTCTTCAATGCGCCAGTAGAAAATCCCCAGAAAGTACTGGATCTAGGGACGGGGACAGGAAACTGGGCGATCGATTTCGCGGAGTACGATAGAATCTGGCTTGGGTTACCAATGACATCCAGCTGATCGTTAAAACCAGCGAGTTCCCCGGCACACATATTGTCGGCAACGATATCAGCCCCATCCAGCCCTCATGGACACCCCCGAACGTCGACTTCTTCGTAGATGACTTCGAAAGTGACTGGCTAGAGAAACTAGATACTTACGATTTCGTGCACTCCCGAAACCTTGCAGGGTAGATATTTTCCATCTACTTCCCATAGTCCACCCGCTTACATGATATCCAGATGCGTCATGGACTGGCCTCGCCTTGTCCGACAAGCTTACACACACCTCAGGCCGGGCGGATACATCGAACTCCAGGAAAGCGCCGTATGGGGCTGGAGCGACGACGGCTCTCTCACTGATGGCTCGCCTATCATGCAATACCTGGTGGCACTCGACGATGCCGGGCAAAGGATAGGCAGAGAGCTAAACATCTACCAACACTTGACACGATGGCTGATTGACTGTGGCTTCGAGGATGTGCACGAGGCGACGTATTTTCTTCCGTTCTCGCCGTGGCCCGAGGACCCTAATTTGAAGGAAATCGGCAAAGTACAGGCGGTTATGGTTCAGGATGCCATCGAGGCTTATGGGCTGCGATTGTGTACGCAGGTCCTGAGCTGGAGTCCGGACCAGACCAAGATCTTGCAGGGGCTGGTGAGGGAGCAGCTGAAGAACCCGAGATTGCATTCGTATACAAAGATGTAAGTCTGGCGTATCTTAGTTCGTGATGGCGATATTTGCTGACGCTATTGCTGTCGATAGCCGAGTAGTTTATGGAAGAAAGCCCTTTCATTAACAGCCCTAATCCATCCCCTCTTTTCGTTTGTCACACTGGATTATCTTGTTACTCATTATTGCAAGTGTATAGAATTGCTTTTGTGAAAAGTTGGTTTCTTGCTATTTATAAAAACACACTAGGTCTTGATTTGTAAATAATCTAAATGGCTGTTCATTCTAGATTCTAAACTATGTGACCTTCAAACGAGCCCTGTGCTAGCATTCAGCTTTTTGATTTAGTCATTAGTGCTTGTTCTGGGACCATGGACATCATTTTATGCTTCCGTTGCATGGCTCAAAATATGCCATGCACAAGGCTTGTTTGCTCCCAACACAAAGCATTTCTTGTAGAAATAAATTTTCGCTGCTGATATAGTAAAACTAAACTACCTTTCTGGCAATCAGCAAATTACAGTGTAGATTTCCACCTGTCGGGGCTGCTGCCTTCAGGACAGAAGAGAGGTGCCTAGGGCGGTCAAGGGAAATGATCTTCGGATTTGAAGTTTCCCACGAACGGCTTCAAGTCTTCAACTCCTTCCATCCATCTAAGTATGCAAGCCACCTCTGGTACCGCTTCTCTATACACAATTTTGCCTCAAGAGGGTCTTCTTGTTCACCCTTTACTATGGACCCCTCGGCATCTGGATATAGTAGGATGTCAGTTGGAAGACATCAGTACCTTGCCAGCAGTGTCCGATCCAGGCGAATACGTCGCAGGCCTACATCGCGCTACAAAAGCCGACACGGAACACGATTTACATATGCAAGTGGAGCGCTTTGCCAAGAGTTGTGCATCTCGCGTGAAACTGTTTAATGTGATCAATATCCTGGACCGTGACGGTAGCCCGTTCACGACACATCGGCATGCAGCACGCCAGAACCCTGCGCGCATAGTTTGGCTTAAGTGAAATTTTCTATAACTAGCAAGAATACCACCTTTTATTTCGCGCGTAAAGCTATCGATCGGCCTCATTGCATGACTTTTTATCGCCGACCACCAGCCACCCAGCCCGAGCAGCGTGCTTCAGACCCCTTGATAGGATACCTGAATTACTACGACATCACCCAATGCCGCCGAAAAATACTTCAGCACCGACGGTATCGGCGCCGGGGACCTCAAATCCCGGGAAATGGCGTACCTGACAAAAATCTATTTCGCGTAGCCCCGCAGGATTGGACGACTGATCCATATTTGGTTTGTGTTTTGTTATCTCTCGGACCTTCAATAACGGCTGCCTAATCGGCTCCCTGAAACTGAATATACTGTATGTCTGGGCTTGTTTCGCTCTATCTCCTTCTGCCGGAATCACAGTCTAACTAGGTATTATCAAGTCCCGTCTGCTAGTGACAAATGCTTCCGACACCGAGTTCATTTACCTTTATGAAGCGCAGATCACCTCTGAGATTCTTAGCTTCCTTGATAATCCGACTACTGCTAGCTCTGTGCGTTGGCCGACAATCCAGCGGAGAAAGATACCGTTTAAGCCTTTTGGATCTTTCAAGCATCGGCTTGAAGATGCATTGCTAAAACCAAGATACCCACAGGGTTGTAACTCATTGCAGCCAGACGTTGCTTCTAACACAGCTGCCAGCCTGAAACGACATAGCGAAACAGAAAGTGACCATCGCCATTCACTCAGGTGAAAACTTTGAACGGATGAGAAGGGTTGCAATGTCAACCAACGGTGACAGATTTGCTTGATTTGGATTACATCAGCAACAATCATGCCCATGGGCTACTGTGATATCGCATTATTCAGGATAAACCTTGAATGGCCCTCTTGCCGAACCTTTTCCGAGTTGTTTGAACAGAAGATGGTAATATTCTTCAAGGTGCCATCAGAGAGCTAGAAAGCTATTATGAGTAGATCTACAGAAAATTCATATTCTAGCTACTTCCAAAGGCTTTTTTTGTGGAAGTCTGGTTCACAAGAGGAGTGTCAAATGGGACGGTTACTTATCTAGGTAGTACAGCCATAGGTATAGCTGTGCGTGTTAGTGCTCGTGAAAGGCATTTGTCTCACGTTCAGGCACATGGGAAAACATATGTAATTAAAACGACTAGGAATGAATTGGTTGCTGGAAATTTTCAGCGTGAATTTCGCCTCGACTTCTTGATCTGGGATAGCGGCCAACCACCCACGCATACACAACACGTCCTTCTCTCACTTTCACTCACCTTCACCTGTCGCTCCACCCATCGCTGATCTCCTACGAGAGAATCAGCAATCTAGGTACTGTCTTCCATCAGATCCTTCCATGATAACGATGAATCCTTGACATCACGCTAACACATCAACAGCGACGGGTGTGTAGACCCTACGTCTACACTGACATCGCGTCATATCACCTCAGCCCACCGCAAGACCAACGCTTGAGCGTCAATTGCTTCGCCATGGACCTGCCCGACGTGGATGAAAGGATATACCACGAATTCGGGTCTAACTTGCGTTATCGGGTCGACAAACCCCACGAATGGAACGTCGAGGGTTACAAAGGCTCGCGACGTTTTCGCAGCCGACGTTGGACCAGGCAGTGCATCCGGGAAATGAAACCAGAAGACTTGGAGCATCTTGAATCGTACATCAACCTGCAGCTGAAGCTCGATCTGGAGGTCCAGCGCCTTGCGGCTTTCATCCACAAGCGACGCGCTCTGCAGGCGTCCCTTGACAAATCCTCGAAGAAAAAGCTGCCCAAAGACGAAGTCAAAGCCGAGGTCGCTGCTATCCAGAAGCAATTGGAAGACCTAAAGATTGAAACCCAGCCTGCGCGCGATGTCATTTGGCACACGTCCTGCTCGATCTTTCTCAGCCTCGCAGAGTTCCCTGCGGGAGATCTCAAAGACCGTCTGGCGGAGCCTCACGCCGACAACAACTGGGCCTTTTTGCACTGCAAGGCAAGAGGCGGGTGCTGTCGTTATGACTGCAAATGCTGCTCAAAGCCCAGAGAGGGTCTTGATATCCAGGGGGTTGGACACTGTACCTCGGCCTGCTTTTGCTGCGAGGAGAGACGCGGAACTCATATTGATACTTCGAATGGCGATCCACAGGGAATGGAAATGAAGGTCTCCAAGCTGGGTGAGAGCAGGGAGTGTGTTGGTCTGGTGGATGTGTTCATCGGCCTGGTCAAAACTGGTTATGCGCCTCTCCCAAAGCCAAAACCTACTCATTGGTGGATGGCTGGTTATGATCCTATCCCGAGAATTATGAGGGGCTTCCGATGATTTTTTTTTTTTTTTTTTTTCATTTTCCAAGGAATGTGAATCCAGATGTACATGATGTCAAGATAGGAGCGCACTGGTCACTAGGGAGTAGGTGACAGAAGTCGACTCATCGGATAGATTAATAAATACGATCCGTGAAACCAGGCTACAGATTTCATAGTTCAGAGTGACTCACCTCTAACCAACCTTATAAGTACTAGCGAATAAAAAATACTCCTAGGCAACAGTTCTGTTGCTACTTCGTCATACTCGATGATCTGTGGTTGCGGCTGTGAGTCAACCAACGTGGATCAGCATAAGCACTAGAAGGAAACTACCGACAAACCACCACCCCACTCGATCTACTACTAAAAAGGATCACTTATCTCGCAACGAAAACTCTGGTCCAAACTTCTCTGTATTCTGATATAATCAACACAATATGTCTGTATCACGCTTCAAATCAGGTGTATACTTTACGTCGCCCGAAGATGGCAACGAACAAGGTAAACGGCCTTCTCAATCCTCTCATTTCCCACTTCTCTCGGTCTCTATCCACGTCAACATCGAGAGCAACATCTCTGCCTCGACTATCACGCAAAAATACACGAACCAATCTTCCTCTCCAGCTGAGCATACCAAATACCTCTTTCCTATCTACGACGGCTCCGCCGTCACGTCCTTCAAATGTTGGATCGGCAAAGACAAATTGCTCGAAGGAGCCGTGAAGGCAAAACAGCAGGCTCGCAAGGAGTTCGCAGAAGCCATCTCAAAACACAAAGCGGCAGTTCTCGTCGAAGAGCTGACCCCTGAGATCTTCGAAGCGAATCTCGGCAACATTCCCAGCCAGACAGACGTGACTGTGGAGATCACCCTAGCTACGCAGCTGAAGGGCGATCAAACGACTAGCGCCACCACCTTGACCATCCCCACGAGCGTGGCCCCAAGATATGGATACCAACCAGCGGGGTATACTCATCCCGAGACCGCGAGTACAGCCGCGGTGGCAGGAGATGATGCGCTTCACATTAACGTGCAGGTTTCCATGCTTGAGCAAATCAGGAAGATCGAGTCTCAGACCCATACGATATCGGTAACTATAGGACCCGAGACCGGTGTCTTTGACCCCTGCAAAGCAAGCGCTTCTCTCGCTGGACGCTCCGCAGTCCTAGAGAAGGACTTTGTTCTTACAATTCTGTCCAATTCGAAGGAATGGATGGTGTCTCGAGCTATAGCGGTGCCGCAGCCGGATTCCAATAAATCGACTATTGCACTGTCACTGAGCCCTGGTGACTTGTTCCGAAAGAAGTTCAGCCCCGATAACTTCACTGGAGAAGTGATTTTCGTGGCCGACCGCTCTGGGTCCATGAATAACGAGATGCCCGCGCTGCGAGACGCAATGAATGTCTTTCTACGAAGCCTTCCAGATCAGTGCTCGTTCAACATCCTGTCGTTCGGATCCCGGTTTTCTTATCTGTGGGAAGCCGCCCAGCCGTATAATCAAGAGATTCTCGACCAGGCTACTAGCCATGTTGATTCATTTGAAGCTGACTTTGGTGGCACCAAGATTCTGCGTGCATTGGAAAGCATCCCAAAAAACTTCAACAAGCGCGCCGACGTACCCACTAATGTGATTGTACTAACGGACGGAGAGACATGGGACGTGGAGAAGGTGATCGAGTTCGTCACAAGAACCGCATCAGATCCAGAGATGAGCATCCGGTTCTTTGCACTGGGCATTGGAAACCAAGTCTCGCATCGACTGGTCCAGGGCATCGGCTTGCGCGGTGGTGGAAGTGCCGAGGTCATCAGTGACACGAGGTCGTCTTTGGTCTGGCAGGGGAGGATGATTCAGATGCTGAAGAATGCGTTGACGCCATCTCGCCTGCGGTGTTCGATTAGCTTTGACGGATTGGCGCAGAACGGTAACGGATGGCTTCAGGCGCCTCATTCGATTCCACCTCTGAACGCCTTTTCCCATCTCACGATCTACTACGTGCTAGATCGTGAAATTGAGAAGATACCAGACACTGTAACCATAACAGCAGTCACAGAAGACGAAACAACTCTGACCGCACAGTTGGTCATTCATAGAAGCAACATTTCAAGCACCCATCACCTCGCCGCGAAGGCTTTCATGAATGACTACGAGACCGGTCAAAGCTGGCTTCATGCAAAACATGAATCCCTTCTAGCAAGCGACCAGGATGCGTTCAACCAGATCCTTGAGCATGAGGCCCAAGAAATAGGCATCAGATGGTCCATTCCTAGTAGATGGACCAGTTATGTTGCCGTCGACCGCACGTCTCAAGAAGACCATGAAACATCCCTTGAGGCAGCCGAGCGAGACGAATCGCTTCATAGTCTGGAAGATGAATCCGATGAAGACATGGGCTTTGGGCTGTACGACGGCACCTCACCTACTGCCTATGGTTCCCCACAATTTTGCCCTACCTCGCCATCGTTCAGTGGTGGCGCTTCGCCCAACTTTGCTCCCTCGCCACCTTCCAGGACGAGAGGTGGCGGTGGAGCACGTCGAATGTTGGACACAGGGACTCCGTCTTCTCCCCCGGCTGCCCCAAGCGTGATGGGTTGTTTTGGGGGTGGACGGATTGCCACAGGCGGTGCCAGGTCTGGTGGTGTAGACAGCCGAATGATGTTCACCCCATCATCACCTTCCTATTCGCCTTCTTCCCCTCAATATATGCCAACAAGCCCGGTTGGTGGTTTCAGCGGATTCAGACCTAAAAAAGCAAAGAAAAGCAAGGTTGCATCTCGAAAGTTGAGCGAACCAGCGGAAGATAGCAAAGAGCCCTCAGATCCTGAGCTCACTCTTTCCAAGGTTCTTTATCTCCAAGCGGCGAATGGAGATATGAGAGTTGAAGGCAGTGATATCGAAGCTTTACTTGTGGCGGAGTTTCAGCCGAAGGTTCTAGAGAATATGAGCAGTTTGCTGGCCTCTTTTTCGGTGAAACTCGACACCACAGAGCGAACCTTCTTGTTGAATGTTTTGGCTGTTGTTTATGTGGCCGTCAAATGCGTGGAGTCGAAGGGGCTGTGGGAGATGCAGATCACAAAGGCACGAAGATATCTGAAAAAGCGACTGGACGAGGCCGCAGTTGGTATAGACTCTAAAGCATCATTAGAACAGTTGGAGAGCATGGGTCAACAAGGACTTGTGCAGAAGTGATTGCTTAGTGTGCTTTTGTTCTGATCACTTCAATTTTGCTCCTTTTGTTCTCTTATTCTCGCACTGGTCTTTTCCATTTTGACACCTTTTTCAATTTCATATTTTGGATCTTCACGATAATTTGATATTCGTATCACAGCTTAGTACTTGTCAAGTTTAGTTTGATATCCAATAAAAACATCTTATGTTAACGCGTTCACTTCATATACTGCATGTCCGTACTCTTGCATATGCCCTCTTCTTTCCAACACTACGACCTATCATTCATTCTTCTCTTCTCCCTCATCCAAAAAGCCCTTAACACAAAGACCATCACCAGCATACTTACATCCAACGCCAGATTCCAGCTATAACCGATCAAGTACCGTGGAGCATCGACCGTTTTCCAGACACTGTCCACATTGAATTAGCCAATGATTCCAAGCCAACCATTAATCCACCAAAGAAAAAGGGGGGGGGGCACCTACAACAATGGAATCCACGCCCCAAACGCATTCCCAACGGTATTCATCGCACTAATAACCAGTGCCCTTTCCTCTGCATTCCCCGCACAGATCTCATTCGCCCAGGCATACACAATCGCGGCAATGCCATTTGCCGTCCCGGAGAGGAAGAAAGCAAAGAACTTCAATCCCACCGGAACGGACCAGATAGCTAGCACAATACAGGCGAAGATGTTCAGCAGAGCGGTGATGGCAATCAAGCTGACTTTTGTGTTGTAGATGTCAGAGATCACGCCGTTAGTGATCGACGCGATGATAGTCACGGCGGGCGAAACGGTGGTGATCGTATTAATCGACTCAACGGAGTATAATTGCGATTTCAGCCAGAGAGAGAGGCCGCTGTTTGAGCTGACACCATCGGCCTGGGAGAAGAAGAATGCGAAGAGTATGAGGATCCACAGACGCCAACCTTTCAGGATTTTGAGGATCCGGGGAATCGTGAATGGTGCTCGGGGCTCGAGGTTCTCCGACTTCATCCGTTCTTGGGCGAGTGCAATCTCATCGGGGCTGAGGAATCGAGATTCGCAGTTATCCGGGGTGCTTGGGAGAAGGAAGAAGCCTAGAATGGCGATGGGGATGGTGCATGCGAAGCCTAACATTCCGTAGCAGTCAGTTGCCTCGCTTTCCAAGTCGATACGCTTATCAAATTGGGGAAGAACCAACAGATGATGTACAGCCATCTCCACCCCTCAATTCCATACCGTCCGTCTAGTCTTGCGTATGCGCCGGCCTGGATATATCCCGAACTCATGCTCCCAACTTGGCTCGACACGAAGAAGATGGCTCCGCGGCGCGCGAGTTCGGATCGTTTATACCAGCTCCCAAGGTACCATTGTACAGCGGGGAAGAAGAAGCCACCTAGAGCGCCGACGAAGAAGCGTAGGGCGTAGAGCGTCGTCACGCTGGTTGCTTTGTACTGGGCCAGCGTGAACACGCCCCAGAGGAGGTCGGCGGTTGGAAGGAAGATGTTGATTGGGGTGCGGGTCATCTATAGGGCTTGGAGTGTTTGGGTTAGCCCCTTCTGTGTGGTTCTGTGCATTAGTTTGGCTTGTGGATAGTAGTAGGAAGACGAACGAGAAGCGTCAACGGAATTTGCATCGTGATGAATCCAACCCTAATTAGGCGTCAGTATTGCAGCTCGAATTCACACTACCCTCCTAGGAGAGACATGTGAGTAGATAGAACAGGAGAATTACATGTAGACCGTATTCAAATAATTGAGCTCATTACCCCATAATTCCAAGTCCTCTTTCATCCCACTCACGTAGGCCGTGCTCGTCGCCGATGAATCCAGCACCTTGGCCCAATGTGCCAGAAACAAGAACACGATAATTAGCCCATCGAGCTTCAGTATGAGACGTCTTTCGGCCGGCGTGTCACTGGGCGAGAAATACTGATACCACTTTTGTTTAGTCCCGGTCTCCGCATTGTGGGGTTGTGCCCAGGGCGAGGCTTCTTTCGTCGAAATATTCGATGTCACTTTCTCCGAAACAGCAGGTTCGGCTGCCTGAGGAGATTTTTCTATCGCGTGTGACATCTTCCCTTTCTGTGTCTTATCGGGCATCTTTGAGGTTGAATTCATGGCGGGGTTTTCATTTGGTTCTGGACTTTTATGAGCACGCCATTGGTAGTGGGGATGGCGATTAGATTGACCTAAGGTCCTGCATGGAGACCTTGGCTTTTCTGAATGTTATCGAGCTGCCCTCACGTACATGAGATTTCAAATATATTCATTAAATTACATATGTATATCCGTCATCGCGTTTCCAGACCCCCTCTAACCCACCTTTTACCAAGCCATTCCAACCTAACGCCTTACCTTGTACATCTAATCAGACTACATATAAGAGCGATACCCATCGGCGAAATCAAACTCTTTCATGATGAATCGCCGACCCACCCTTGACTGAATCCCCAACAACCACCTCATCCATCGTCTCGATGCGTTTCGACTCCGCCTCGACGAACTCCTGTGGCCGTTTCCGCTGCGTCAACGACCTGTTCCCGCACACGATGGGCGATTTATGACGAATGAAGATCTCATCCATATCTTCGAGCGTACGACGCGAGGTTTCGGGATACAGTAAGTAAATCAGGGGGAAGTAGGCCCAGACGATTATAGCGAACACTATTCATTGCATGAGCAATCGGTCCCTTCGCGAGGATTGAAGAGACGGAAGAAAGAGGGAGACTTACTCAGGTAGAATCGCCAGTGGATATTATCCACACCGACTTTGGTGAACTGCGTGACGATGAAACCACCCATCCAGTTCGTGGCTGTGGCGGCTGCCGCGCCGCGGGTGCGCCATCCCAGGGAGTTGACCTCAGAGTTGTAGACCCAGGGTACTTTGGCGAAGCTGGTGCCGTAGAAGAAGTAGTAGAGGAAGAACATAGCCGTGGTGACGCGGCCGAGCTAGAGCTGTTAGTTAGTTCTTATTACTATAACAGGGGGTAGGTAGGTGACATCGACTTACGAGGCGCTCGCGTGACGGGTCGTCCGCGGCTACTTTGAGGCAGATAGACGCGATAAGATAGCATGAACCCATGGTTAGGGAACCGTAGAGCATCATCCTGCATGGTTAGCTTCAGGCAAAGTGGCATATAGACAGGGATCGGAATCCTTACTTGCGACGGCCGAAGCGATCGATGATAAGCAGACAGCAGAAGGCGGCTACCAAATAGACCGTCGCGTTGATACCAGTCAACAGACGACTTTCTTCTTCATCGAGACCCACGCTCTGCTGCAATAAGGTTGGCAGGTAGTATCCCAGCGCATTGACACCGCTGAACTGCTGCATGAACTGTGTTCCGCAAGAGAGCAGCAGGCGGCGCAGCGTCTGCGTTTTATCGCGACACAGCAACACGTCCATCGTGGGCACGCGATCCTTACGTTCCACCTGCAGCGCTGATTGGATGGAAAGAAATTCCGCCGACACATCGGCGTCGTGGATATCCTTACCTTTGCCCTGTAATCGGGCCAGCACTTGCAGCGCTTCGTCGGGCCGGTCCTGTAGAAGGAGCCACCGCGGGGACTCCGGAATCAAGACCAGCGCCATTGCTACGATGAGGGGGAATATGAGTTGGAAGCCCAGCGGAAACCGCCATTGCAGCGCCTCGCCCTGGAAATACAGCCCGTAATTCATCCAGTTGGCGAGACAGAAGGCCGCCGTGTTACAGAGGGACCCGACGACCACGAGCTTGCCGCGGACGTTGGGCTTCGAGCATTCGGCCTGGTAGACCGGACAGGTCGAAGAGGTCAGACCCATTCCGAAGCCGTTGATGACACGGCCGATAATCATCTGCGGCAGATGCCACGCGACGACCTGCAGAATCGCTCCGATCACATTACAAGCCAGACCCAGCGCGACGGTCTTTTTCCGACCGAGCTTATCGCCGAGGGTGAAGGCGAAGATGGCACCAAAGAAAGCGCCGAGCTGCAGTTGGCCCAAAATCGCACCGTCAGCACTTATTTTCTACCAGTATGATCGTGTTGTGGGTGTCTAGGGAAGCAGTGGGTCCTGCGGGGAAATTCATCGCTCACGGAAAAGCAGCTCGAGGTGATGCCGGAGATGTCAGCATCGTCGGTCTCCGGGAAGTGTTTCTTGAAATCGGCTGAAATTAACACTCCGGAGAACACACCCTGGTCATAACCGAACCACGCCATGGAGCTGTATCATTCGTCCGTCAGACAATCCGGTGGCGGCCAAGCCCCCCAGGGGACCAATTTAGGATAGATGAAAGAGCAAACATACCAGGCATTCGCGATAGTAACCATGCTAATGAGCCATCGCCCACTAAGGCGGGCCGAAAGGTCGAGGCCAGCCATTTGGGGATGGTGAGAGCTTCCTAGCGACCAGGGTAGGGAGAAGACAGCAACCACGAGTGGATTCTCTGTGTCATTCAAGTTCAAGTGGACCAGGCGAGGAATTCCTCCGAAGTATATATACTTTTCTTCTCGTTGTCGGGTAGAATCGTCACTCTGGCCAGCCAGAGGAAGGGGACAATGCTTCAACACCCGAAGCTGATGGGATGAATGGATCAAGAGATAGATTGACTGAGTCCGGGGTAAGCTGGTGAGGTCCACTCCTGAGAGAGAAATGAGGAGAAAATGGATCCTTCTCCTCTTTCCCCCTCCGGTCTAGTGCCCAGTCCCGTGATTGCCCCGTGGGGGGAGGCGGCAGATCTGCCCGCTGCCCGGCGCGGATAAGCGGCAGCGGGGATGCCGAGGAACCGATAAGTTGATACTGTGAGTTACTTGATAACAACCGGTGTTGTTGACTTCGTTTCTTCACATTCAACCGATTTCCCGCCTCCTCGCTTCCTCCTCGCATACAACCATCAGCTCACCATGACCAAGCTGATTCTGGTCACCGGTGCGACCGGCTTCATTGGCGCCCACATCGTCGATGCGCTGCTATCTCGCGGCCTACGGGTACGCGGGGCAACGCGCTCGCTGGAAAAAGGCAACGCCATGATCCAAGCTCGACCGCAGTATGCCAAGCAGCTGGAGTTTGTACAAATCGATGACTTTGAGAAGCCCGGTGGTCTGGTAGAGGCCGTCCAAGGCGTAGATGGTGTGATCCATACTGCCAGCGTGAGTGCAATCCATCGACCATCCGATCCCCTCACCCACTATAATTACCCCTCTCCAAGCCAAATCGCGGAAGCGGAACTAAAATCCGCACTCTCAACATAACAGCCATTCACCTACGACACGACGGATAACGAGAAAGAATTGATCCGACCCGCCATCAACGGCGTGCGCGCCATCGTCGAGGCCGCCTCCACGAACCCACAAATTCACCGAATCGTGCTCACCTCATCCTTCGCTTCCATCATCGACGTCAACCGCAAGGGCCCGCCGTATTTCACACTCACCGCAGCGGACTGGAATCCGCTGACATACGAGGAGGCCGCGGACCCAGCGACCAGCGCGGTCGTCGCTTACCGGGGGTCGAAGAAATTCGCCGAGCTGGAGGCATGGACGTACGTGAAGGAACAAAAACCCGCATTTGACCTGGTAGCCTTGTGTCCGCCCATGACGTTTGGCCCGGTGGTGCACCCCGTGCCGAGCGTGGACCGGCTGAACGAGTCCAATGCCATGCTATGGAAGATCGCGAGCGGGGCGAACCCACTGCCCGTGTCGCGGGTGCCGTTCTGGATCGACGTCCGGGATCTGGCTGTCGCGCATGTCGAGGCGTTGTTGAAACCAGGGGTCGGGAATCGTCGTTATGCTCCTGCGTCGTCAGAGCGGTTTTCATATGGGCTTGCGGCTAGTATCATGGCGGAGGGGTTTGAGTCGCTCAAGGGGAAGGTGACGTTGGAGGATCAGGTGCTTGATGAGAGTTACGGGTTGGATGGTGAGACGGCGGCAAAGGAGTTGGGGTACTCGTATCGGACTTTCCGAGAGACGGTCAGGGATCTAGTGGCACAGGCGATCCAGATGAGCCAAACATCCTAGTCATGATTGATAGACAAACTCTAAATAAATCATTATTCTAACGGCGGTGTGTCTAAATTCTATCTAAACACCATTTACAACCAAGCATCCATCGCATCTATACTTAAATCTCCCTTCTATCATGCCTTCACCGATCGGATTGAGCGAAACGTTCGGTGTTAATCAAATAATCTCTGAAGCCACCAATGCATCCAAAGCAGCCCCCAGCTCGTCCCTGTATTATTTCGCGTTGATGTTTCACACATATCAGTGTCACAAAGAGCTTCCCCAGCGAATTGGGGCCAATATCACTGATTGGCCGGCTGGTTGAATGGTTGTCGGTCCAGAGCGCTCCACGTACTATAAGCAACCTCCTATTTTGGCGGGTAAATAAATCCCCCCTCTTGTCTACTTGTCTTAGGGCCAACAATCTTGGTCTAGATCAAAAGGACGTCATGCCAGTCGGTGACAGCTGATACAGAATCGTGTCCGTGCCATGGAAAAGTTCAAGCCACCGAGAGCGCCTGTCGAATGATTGACACCGGGCCATGCCACTGAGATCATCACACCCTGAATCAGGGTCCCTGAGCACCCTAACTCAACAGAGCTCTCTGTATACCACGCTATCCGAGCATCTCGATCAGCTCGTGGAGATAACCGCATAGATCAGTTACTTGATAACGTTCTGTCAAGCAGCGGGGGGAAGCGGCAGCCCCACCGCGGAACCTGCCCGTGCGCCATGTGGGGCCGATGGTGGTTCGTGGGAGATTCGACCATCGCGAGGTCAGGCTGTGCTGTTTGTGTTCCACGTGGGGTAGCACCGAGAGGTACAAACGGAGCTTAATTTCCCGTTCATTTAAGAATCTTTACACCTCGCCTTTGGGCCAAGCTCATCTGTTCAACACTTTTCAAGTTCTTGCGTCCTGTCCCTTCTGGTCAAGTCGCTGCGGTTAAATCTTGCATAATGGGCTCCCATCAAGTCACAGAGCACGATGTTAAGATCACATCGTTCGAGATCGTGGATTTGCGGTTTCCCACCAGTTTAGATGGCGTTGGGTCGGATGCGATGCACAAGGGTACAAATGGATCTCATCCGTATATCCGGCTCAAGACAAACAAGGACGAGTTGGTCGGGGAGGGAATTGTAAGGACAACCAGTCCACCCAAGCTCCGTGGAAATTTCCATGCAAGGCTAACTTGGTATTGAATAGGCATTCAGCAATGGACGAGGAAGCGAGCTTATCTGTCTGGCGCTCGACATTTTCGCCAGGCGTGTGGTAGGCAAGACGATGCATGAACTCACTCGGAATATGGGAAAGACCTGGCGGTACATGGTTTCGGACTCGCAATATCGATGGGTTGGTCCTGAAAAAAGCATCACACACTTGGCAGTGGCGGGAGTTCTGAACGCGGTCTGGGACTTGTGGGGCAAGATTCTGGACAAGCCCGTCTGGAAGATTGTCTGCGATATGAACCCCGAGGAGATTGTTCGGTGTATTGACTTCCGATATATCACCGACGTGATAACGCCGGAGGAGAGCATCGAGATGCTGAAGAAAACACAAATGGGCAAAGAAGATCGCATGCAAGAAGCGTTTAAAAACACAGCAGTGCCCGCATACACCACGTCACCGGGGTGGTTGGCCTTCTCTGGCGATCGTATGCGAGAGGTTCTTGAAGAGACCATTGCCGCCGGATACACCGTATTCAAATTCAAAGTTGGTACCAGCGTTGCGGCTGATCGGGAGAGATTATCGGCTGTCAGAGAGGTATTGGGGTACGACAAGGGACACCAGATTATGATCGATGCCAACCAGGTAAGGCGTGGCCGCTAAGATTGCTTACTCCATTGTTGCTAATTTATGTTGAAGGTTTGGAGTGTCCCGCAAGCGATCGAGTACATGAAGCAGCTAGTAGAATTCAAGCCGGTATTTATTGAGGAGCCCACAAATCCTGACGATGTCCTCGGTCACGCTGCAATCCGCAAGGCTCTCAAGCCTTACGGAGTCGGTGTGGCTACCGGTGAGGCTGCCCAGAACCGTGTGACCTTCAAGCAGCTCCTTCAGGCCGAGGCCACCGACGTTTGTCAGATCGATGCTGTCCGACTCGGCAGTGTCAATGAGTGTCTTGTAAGTGGCATTGATGTACCAATCGACGACATGCTGGAACTAACTGATACTCAGGCGGTCATGCTCATGGCCCTGAAATTCGACGTCCCGTGTGTGCCTCATAATGGTGCCATGGGCTTGACTGAATTGACCTCACACCTGAGCACCATTGATTACATCGCTATCAGCGGGCGCAAATCGATGCTGGAGATGGCTGACAGCCACCGTGAGAATTTGCGCCATCCCTCGCAGATCAAAGACGCACATTATGTCACCCCTCTGGCACCTGGTTATTCGACCGGATACACCGAAGAGGCGCTGGAGAAATACACATACCCCAATGGCAGCTTTTGGAGAAGCGACATTGGGCTTGAGATTATCGCTCAGCCCACTGGAGACGAATTGTGAATGATGGTTTGTGCATTTACGGCGTTTTGGACTGCCCGGTTTAGCTCTTTGGTCACTCACCACCGCACCATTTCCCATTCAATGAGCATGATTGAGATGACGGCTTAAACGCGCGATAGCAATCGCTGCTTTCTTTGTATATCCTCCAGAATTATAATAACAGCTTCGAGACTGGAAAATGCCCAGGGACGTATGTTATCGATCGCCCGTTGTTGAAGCTCGTCAATGTCGGGAACGAAATGCCGCAAATCGGCGCTTAAGGAAGCGAGCGTGAGAACCACGATGGCACCCAGTGTTCTTTCTTCTTGTCAGTACGCCCAGAGAGTCTAAATTTTGATCAATCTGCACTTACGATAGCGCAAATGTCCAAGTGTATTGGCTTGGGTGGGCCATGACCTGCGAAGTGTTGTGGATATAGTACCGGCAGCTCTCGATGCAAACACCCGCCTTCTCGACCATTGTCTCTGTTGTTCCTCCAACTCCATGTGTGGCTATATACAACACAAATGGTCGGTAAATGATGTGCCGGGCAGCGAAATACCGAATTCGGAGGATCGCCTCGCGGGGGTTTGTGGGGTTGAGGGGGATCCCCATTCCTAGGACTGGGCGAAAGGCTTCTGGGATCGAAGAATGCCACATTTTGAGCTGCTCGTGTAGCTCATCCGACACATTGATCATGGAGGAAACGTCTTCGATTGAGAATTCGTCCGGAGTCATCAGAGTGGTGGATGAAAGTGTTAATAGATGCATCTTGCTGGGATACAGTGAGTTGTGAATTCGATTGAGCAGTCGACGAACGGATATTTCTGCCAAATAGCAAGTTGATTGCATCAAACCGAGATTCGAACATCTAGGAAGGCTAACTTCGTCGGTCAGCTGTTGCAGACCGCTTCGTGGCAGCTCCAACTCTGCTAGTCGGTCACATTCCACGAGGAAACAGGACCAAAAGAGACGGATGATACTCTCACGCCAATTTGGTCCTTCTTCCCGCGCATCCATTCTGCATTCGTGTCAGCCTTTGTCTACTTCTCCCTATTACCGTCAGATTTGCTCCCATACTTACCCTGACAGTTTAAACTGAAGAATTGTAGACGCCGAGTAAATCAGTCTCCAGCTCTGCAGTGGCCGGACGATGTATGCAAAATATACACTGGCGAGAACCAAGGCCTGCGGTAGTAGAAGATTATACGAAAACGACCAAGACGACTGCGATATGAGTGTGGGCAGTGCATGTTGCATGTACTCCATGCCCGGAGGCGATAGTTTGAATTCCGGGGCCTTGAGAGGTGAAGCAGCGACTGCTCCGAGAGCTAGCACAACCATACAGAGCGCAGACTGAACACTAGGGTCGGGACCTATTTCCAAAAATCGATTATACATCTCCTCGAATTCAGCCTGCTCCAAGATTGGGTGGTTTGGATGAGCCAACGTGAAGAATGTCGATACTAGTTCGTCGGCTACTTCTCGTCTAATACTGATCTGCGGCCTAGGCTTGGACAATTGCTCGAATGATAGCTCTGGTGGCAACTGACTCCTTGATTCCAGCAAGAAGAACAGATCCGGGGGGTATTCACCAATCAGTGCTTTCATGGACGGCAAGCTCAGCAGGTAGCTGGAGGATGTCTTGTGTTTGACTGGAATTGTCAAAGGAGGCAACTTCGCTAACTCCGACTGCACATCCAGCCCTGGAAACGGCCATGAAGCGGATGCGACGGCTCCTGTGGATTGCACTCCAGTCATCGGAACGGACGCCTGGCTTTGTGGGGTAGCCGCATTATGGTTATGAGAATAAGAAGCGTTCGACCCGTTTGAAAGCGCGGATAATTTTTCAGACTGGCTCTCGAGAATGGATTCGATATCTTTTAGGCGACTGAGGATTTCCCGAGTCCCCCCGGAAGTGTCGATTCTATACGGTACAAGGTGAGAATCAATGTGTCAACTGCGGGGCGCGGCTATCGACCCACCTCTGGGATGGCAAGTCATCGTAGTGACATTCGACTTCTAGTTCGGAGCAAGTGGAACACGAGGGCTTCTGAGCATCACATCTTCGCTTACTATTTATTGCTTTAGCTCACGACAAACAAACCCGACCAGTGCTGGCGGAGGGGGGCTTGGAAGGGATGATTGCAATTGCGGCTTACCGGCTGCGACAAAAATTGCAGGCCAACGCCACACGTTTCCTGCTAAAGCTCATTCTCGAGACCGCACCAACAAGGGGCACTCTGTACAATCAAGGCATAATAAGAACGCCGCTGACAAGGGGGCTGGGAGAGGGAAAATAGAGGCGCACAGTGAAGTGACGGGACGGGCCTCGGGGAAATCTGGGGAAGCGGAGGGTGTCAGCTGACGCCTAGCCGGAGGGAGTTAGAGCCGCTTAGAAAGCACCCATAGCGTGATCTAGTCCCAAAGGAGACAGCCCTGTAGAGAGGGTCCTCTGGATCTATCAACTATTTATCAGTATCAACCACGGGCCATTTCGGCACATCTAGTGCCAATGCCACCATGATTTCCCGTGTGGATGGCTTAGCGCTACATGCATGTTACACCTACGTCATCCCACCAAGCAATCAGAAGCTTGACAGCTGGCTAGGCCCGCTAACGTTAGGAGATGGTCGAAAAGAGAATATCAGCCCATCTGTTATTGGCTGACACGCAATAACATTGTCCTTATTCTTGTTGGTGAGTAGCCTTTGTTCATGCATTTGGTACCTGAGAGTTGTATATCTCAACCTAGATTGTCTTGGCCTCCCAAACGTACTATATATTTCTGCCACCACCTACGGGGAAAGCTCGTGTATCACATCACCCTGCAGCAGTGACGACGAGCAACTGTCCTATTTATCCATGTTCAACCCATACCTCCATGAGACACCTTACAGAATTGTGTCTGCAGTGTAAGGCCAACAGTCTGCGATCTTTCCGTCATCCTGGATTGAAAGGACGACAGACCCCTCTCCTCTCAGAGGATTGCCCTCCCAGACAACAATATCTCCACTATAAAGCTTGTTTTCTCTATGATGCTCCCTTGCTGACCGAAGACCCAAAATATCTTCAATGTTGGTGGAGACAAGGGCAATAGCTTCTTCATCACTCAGGTCCGCATACTTACCGGCCCATCGAGCTTCTTGCGCCAAGCCATGAATAGCCGAGTCGCTCCGAACTGCCAGGCCCAGTTTGACACCAGCGTCTATTAAAATCTTGGCGGGACTTTCGCTCAGGGGTGGGCCTATCAGAATGTTCCTCTTCTCCCAGTTGTCGGGGGCACCATGGTTTCCAGTGAGGATTACTGGGATGCCTGCATCTGCCAATGGCTTGGCGACCTGATAGTGTTGCCGGTTTAGTACAAAGGCATTATGAAGAAAGGTCGGGAGTGGGCAGTGATTTCTTACCAAAGCAGCTCCATGACCACCGTGGATGACCAAATTGACCGAAGAGTATTCACGTTTAATCAGGATCAGTTGAGCGATATCATCCTGGGCGAAGAGTGTTAGATCGCCTTCGAGTTGGCCAAAACAAAGAAAGTAGGAACATCATGAATACCTCATTAAACACTCGGACGACTACAGGCAGTGATCCATTTGCAGCCTGAGCATAGATTCCCTGGTTATCAGTGCCGTCCTGCAGGCCCTTTTCTAGTATCTGACGGAGGCGCTCAATCTCAGAAGAGATGGTCGGCGTGCTGTCGTCTGGAAGAAGACAAACTGATATCAGTATTATGAGAAATATTATAAACGGATTGATAAATATTCCATACCTTTAGCCGATTGACCAATTGCCAGGTGAAGAGCAACGTTATCTTTCCAAACACCTCCTTCCAGAATTGTGGCTGTTTCGCTAGTCCGTATTCCGACGCTGACTCCGTCAATGATGCCAGAGCCGTGTGGAGGCGTGACTGCTTTTGTGACACCGCCGATCTGAGCTCTCGTGAATGCTCTTCCATGAAGATGCACACCATATTTGGCGAAATGGACATTCTTCTGTTCGTTGAGTATATCTCCACTTTTTGCTGTTCCGTCGCCAGTGGACCCCTCAGATGGGATTGCTTGTATTCCGAGATTAGTGGCAAATGCCACAAGACCCGGCGTTATATAGCCATTGTTCAGTGTGATATGGAAGACTTCGTCATCCTTGTAATAGGAAGTACATGCCGATTCCTTATCGAAACATGCAATCCTGTCATTCTCAATGAACAGAACGAGATCTTGTGCAGACTGGCCAGCATGGTTGGGGATTCCAACCAGAGAGTTTTTGATTCCGGTGATAAGCACGGATTCATGGACTCTTGCACAAACTTCCACTTTCTCAGTGTCCGAAACAAATGGTCGCACCACCGGCGCTTCCTGATCAGACAAATCAGTTGTCTTTTGGAGCAATTCCTTAATGGCATCATCATTTTCCAAGAGAGCACGGCCGTCGATGAACACTTCAAGAGGAGTCGCGCCGACCTCCAGCGGATGATCATCCCAGATTACCAGATCCGCGTCGTATCCAGGGCGAACGTATCCAATACGGTGATCTTGCTGGATTGATCGAGCAGGCACTGATGTCACAGACTGAAGTGACTTCTTCTCAGATAGACCATATGAGTGAGCAACGGCTGCCTGGTGACTATAACTGGGTCAGAAAATGAAAGACGGGCGACCTAACAAGTCTTATACTTACATAAGGTCTTTGGCATAGTTTCCTTCTCCAGTATGATCCTGTGTATCGTATTAACCGAGCGACATTCTCTCAATAAATTTCAACAAGAGCTTACTGATTTTAGAGCAACTTTAACTCCATGATCGTCTAGGATCTTCGGGCCTCTCAAATTGGCTCCGTACGCCTCTGCCTTGAAAAGTGCATTCTCAGCAAACGTGGCAATCGTAATGTTCCTGATGTCGTCAGTCATCGGTAGGCACTTAGAAGATGTAGATACTAACTCTTCTAGATGCTTAAGAAGTTCGGGTACCTGCCATGCCTCAAGTGCGTGGTGGAAAGCGCGAGGATGAACACCAAACTCATGCAGCACCGCAGCCATGCGCTCGAAGTCTTCCGGCTCATAACAGTGCACGTTGACATTCAGCTCGCCTCTCAAAAGCGCCAGAAGGGTCTCGTAGTCGAACGATTCAGGTCGCTTTCCTTCTTTCTCAATAAAACTCGATATATGATGACTTTGCGCGAAAGGAATGTCCTCAATGGCAAATGCAGCGTCGCACCAGGCAGATTGACTTTCAAGCAGCTGTCGTGCTTTATCGAGTTTTTCGCGCAAGAGCCACGCCACGCCAAGTCTGGTATTGCCATAGACACCCTTCGGATTCTCCCCACAAGCCATCTTGAGGTATCTCTGCCGATCGCCTTCTGGGCGGCCATCTTCTAGAAGCAGCTCTTCAACAACAGGCTCACCGTTTGGCCCTGGACGCGGTAAATTCTTGACAAGATAGGCTTCGCCGCCGACGATGTTCGCTGAGCCCGGTAGAACCAGCGATGAGGTAACGCCGCCAGATGCGATAATCTTTATCGCCGGGTCGTAAGGTTTGAAGCCATCGAGAGCACGCACGAATGGCGTGATTGGCCCTAAGAGTGGGCGCTCATTCACGTCACTGGTCGAGGGCAGCTTCGGAAATGGAAGCAAGAGGTGATGAGAGTGCATATCAACCAGACCAGGTGTAATGAATCGCCCATTCACATTGATCACACGGGCATCTTTGGGCACTGGGTTGTTTAAATCGGTGGGAAGGACAGCCCGGATGATGCCAGCGTCGAAGATGATATCAACAAACTCATCACGGGTCGAGTCTCCATCAAACAAAGTGCCATTTTGGATAAGGATGGCTTGTTTCTGCCCGGATATCGGGTTCCATCGTGGGTTAAATCGATCTCCCGATGCTGTGTGTTGTCTTTGTTTGCGGTCCCGAATCTCATGACATTTGTGTAGGCCATCCAAAAAGTCTCTCCTGGGAGCCACCAACGCCGGGGTAAGGATTTTGCTGGACGATCCAAAATTAAACAGAGCGACACATGCAATTAATATTATTGCAGCAATAGGTCGACGCCAGCGCCGCAGCAAGCGAGATCGCGATCGCTGGGGATAGTCATATTCCACCAGCAGGCCGCCCTTGGTAGCCGATGCCATCCTCAAGTCTCCAGACCAGCAATTCTCGGGATTTGCTCTGTGAATGGAAGATCTTGGCCAGAGAGAATCAGACAGCTTAAATCTTCTGATTGAAATATTCCCGGGTGTGACTTATCTATCAGGTGGTAAGCGCCCTAGGCGTTTGCGCGACTGTGGGTCGGAAATACGTCAGTGTTGGTGTTCGGCCATCGCCCTCATTCATCCCTTGCAGCTTAGCCGCCGGTCTTAAGACAGACAATCTCCGTCAATGCAGTCGGTGTCATGTTGAATCCATACGACAATCGAAATTCCTGATTAACAAACTTGATTGGCAGAACAATGTTAAAATTGAGTTTCGTCTACCTTCTTTACCACGCAGTTCATGTTCACGGCTTCATTGTGTCCGAAGACTCCTACCGTTGGTGGGTATTTTGTCATGCCTCTGGTGGGTTTAACGTCTTCTAGTGAAAATGAATTGTTTCTCGATAGTACTAAGCACGCCATATATGTGAGAATGATAACAGGATTTAGCGATAGCATCAGAAAAGAGACCTAATTAAAAGTAGACCCTCACGATAGGAAACAACTCAACAATCGAGTGATAGATAAATGTCTTTGTTGTAAAGATCTTGACATACATCATGATAATGATACTTCGAGAATTACTTTTATGACGTCAATGAAAACCCCGGGCCGGAAAATGGGTTTGAACAGGCTCCCTGCATTGCAATCGAAGTCGAGAATTATCCCAATGGCGATAATCATTCCTTTAGAACCTGATTTCCATACGTCCGAATAGAGAGAACTACAGCAGTTTTCCCCTCTCGTATCCTTTAGAGAGGTTCCAATACTAAACACCGACAAAACACACACCAGTACATGTCATGCAATGAATCAAGCGCTCAAAGAACAATTGATCCGAAAACGCTTCACCTACGGAGATCCAATCCGAGTGCACTTCATGGACCTGCTGGTCATGAACAAAGCCCTTCAGATAGCATCCAGTAAATCCGAGTTTTGGTATAGATGGATGACATCCATGCAAGCCATGCAGGCCATCCAGTGTCTAGCTACGAGTTGTGTCAATTATATCGCTTTTCTTATGATTTCCACTTGCACTTAGGTATGTCACCTCCTGCGGGATCTCATTATCTTAGTCTGACATGTCTGGTTTATCGGCAGTCAGCATATATATGACACGTACAGGTTTGGCTCTCGAGAACAGATGATGACTACTATCTGTAAATCGATACATAGAGCTACTCCGGGGCTTCAAATTATCCTATGCTTTATTTTGTCTCCTAGCAGTTTCATCTAATACGGTGGCATCGCCTAGTTTCGTATATCAAGTTTCTATTGGTGTTAGTCAAGATCATATCTGAATTGTGTATTTCTCGACGATTACATATTATGTGGATCAAATTTTCGTGCTGTCCCTAAAAACAGCCTAACATTATAATCGTCCGGGGCCAATCCTTCAACGCCGTCAACACGAACCCGTTCTCCCAAAAAAAAAACACGTCTTTTTCTCGCGTCATTCGAATCGTAGAGGCCTCTAGGCCCCAATAAACCGCCATGGAGGGGGGGGGGGGGGGGGCTCAAAACCCTATGGTGGTGGTACTTCGCACGCGTCAACTCCGCGAGCGGGATACGTGGCCTCCCAACCCCCAGAGATCCCGGGGGCACCAGACACTCCAAACCCAGCTACCGACGCTCTTAGGGCTATATACAGCCTAATACAACCTTGAATCAGCTAGAGCAATCAGGGTAATCCAATCGGAGAGCCAGGGACCGCCAGAAACCAGGAGCTCAAGCAGGGCATCCAGCCGAGCAAGCGAAACGCACAATGCAACTAAGCGACGGAAAGCTCTGCAAAGAGAGCCGGTAAACGGATATAGACCTATGTAGAAGTCGATCAAGCAAATAAATCCCTTAGCAGGAGCTCTTGGGCTGGCTCAACAGGAAGGCCTGGAACATATACGATCGCAGCTAGCAGAAGAGCTAAACAGCTGGAGCGCCCAACAACAAGTCCGGGAAAATCTTTATCTCGAGCGTATCTATCTCTTAGAAATAGAGGTCAGCAAGCTCCGGTCAGAGCTTACAACAGTCCAACAAAAATGAAGACAAAACCACTGTTCGCATTAACAGATCTCCATCACCTTCTCCAAATTCAATCATTCCTCAATCCGAAACACAGCGAATAAGGCTTTATGCTGGGGCAACTATCGAAAATGTTCCCAAGCGGCCCTTACTTCCGAAGAATGTATGGCACATCCCATCTATCAAAGGAACCCCAGCTCCCCTGTTATATTATGAGAACGCCCAGAAGAATGCTTGGCATGAGAGGAATCCTAAGACGTGGGGTCCGGGATTTATCAAGCTGCTAATGAATGCAGACTAATGAAGCTTTCGGAACGGACCGGTGCCATGTACGGAGTAACTTGCACATACTTGAACTGTCTCAGATTTAACGGATTCCCCCATTCATGTGACTGGGACGAGCACATTCTAGCATGTCATACATGGCGGCCTGTGGGGTGATAAGAAGTTGTTGGTTACTTGCGCTTATCGAAAAGGGCTGCAAAACGTCCGAGTCAAGGCATCATTATGTACAACCCAATTTAGTAGGATTGGCGAGTCCTACTAAACTCGAAATGGAACTACGACTATTATTACTACTACTACTACTACTACTACTACCACCATTGCGAGTCGTATGGACCTGCCACAAATCCCGCCTCAAAGCTTTTCTACCTTCATTATGGTCTCTTATTTGACGCTTAGATTTTAAATGGGCTTGAAGCGGCCAAGGACTCAACATCAATGTCGGAGAGACCAGAACCTGGTCGAGCCTTCACCGACTCGATCTCGTCAACCTCTTGTATGCCTCATACTCACGACCGCTTAGACTGCCGTGCCGCTTTGGCCTTTCCATTTCTTTGCCTCTTTGCCCATAGATCCATGATTTTCCTGGAGAGTTCGTCTTCATCAAGGGTTATCGCGTACGTACATTCTATACTGTAAAGTTTGGGGAAGTGTTTCTCAAGTTGTCGAACATGATCATAGGGCCGACTGGGACAAGAAGTCAGTGAACCTGTTGATGTAGTTTAAAGTGAAAGGTTCTTTACCTCCATGAGAACATTCGTTCGAGGTTAGTGAAAGAGTCGATATAGAGGAGCTCGAGGTTCAAGAACAAGGGTGTCTTTTCATATCTGAAAGCCGCCAGATCACAGACATCCATTGTGTTACACAGTCGCAGTGACGGGCAACATCTGCCCAAACTCTTCAACGAATCAGTAGATAATGCAGAGTAAAATAGTCTGAGATTGAGATCTTCCAGTCGAGGAAAGTTTGTGAACAGCTCTTCAAAGTTGGCGTCTTCGAAACTTGGAGCGGTAAGAGAAGGCACGGCACGCCCTTCGATTGTCAGACATTTCAACTGCGTCAGGCTTTTGAGAGACAACAGATCCTCATTCCTGATCCTCATTTCACCCATGATGAAGAGTTTCAGGTCCTGTAATTCGACCAAGTTGGAGATATGCCTCAGAGCAATACTATCAAAATACAGGTTCTGTTCATCATCGTCCGGTTTCACTAGAGTTAGGCTTAACTTTCGGACAGATCTGAGCATGCCAACCAGTGATGAAAGCGCGGCTTCTGTGACTGACACAATGAGGGTTTGCAAATGCGGAAAAGGACATGGTTCGTTGATGGCGCTGATGGTATTTATTCCAATATCGTCATCGAGAGAAAGGAATTGTAGATTTTTGCGACCCGCTAGATGATTGAGAGTTTGACTGGTCACCAATGGTGATCCGATAGACCAAATAAATATCTCCGATACCGATGGGGTTCCTTGAAGAAATGCGAGGAAAGCTTCTGGCGTAAGATCAGGGCCCGGGAAGCTAAAGGAGAAGCTGTGCAATCGAGGGCAGGAGGTAGTAAAAAAGCTAAGTAATTCGGGGTCAAATGGGCCCTTCAGGTCGAGATGCCTAAGCCTGTCACCTGGGTAGCATTCCAGCGATGAAACAATATCTGCTAGTGCCAGCTTATCACGCCGGAGAAAGTTGAGGCACAGCGATTCCAGCTTAGGCCAGGAAAGATGACCAAATTCTTCGAAGTGTTGTGTACTAAAGTGTCGAATCTCAGAGGCGTAAATCTGCCTTCGATGCTTTGGGACCCTGAGGAAGGGCGGCGATGTCACACGCTGCCATACAAGAGAAATCCCACAGCGAAACCATTGTGTGTTGATGCGTAGAAAAGGGGCTATATGGGGCTCTGCATATTCCAGGATCTCCAGGATCTCCAGCACGATTTCGGAGGGGAGGTGCATCATGCGGACATGTATGGAGTAAAGTCTCGGACCTCTTGCTCTGATTGTCTTGATGTTGTTGTTGTTGTTGTTGTTGTCCTCCGCCATCGCGTGGGAGGAACGCGCGGTCGCGGCCCTACGGGCATCCATAGCTACAGTACGTACCACCATTCACCGCCTAAAGGCACATACTTACCTAGTGAATGCCCTTGTTCTTCTGCAGCCTCAATTCATCGCAGTCAACGTCAATACGTCATGATGGCTCAGGCACAGAGCCAAGCGACGTCAAACCCTGACGGCAGCGATGAAACTCGAGGCGACAATGACTTGGCCTGGTCGCCTGGCGACGGAATCTGTCCAACAACAGCACAGTTTAACCAGTGCTGTCAGTCAAAATATACCGAGTGGACAAATGCCACCTCAATTTACCCTGATAGCTACAAATCTTTAGACTTCTATACAAGAGCTTTCTTAGATCTCCTCAAAGACGTCCCTCCATTCTTTCACCGTCCTCCTGAGCCTGTTGACATTGCAGGTAAGCGAAAGCAATGGCTAATACTGAGATCTACCCTGTGCATTCATGCAACAGAAGAGGAGAGCTGCGATTATCCTCAGAAATCAATAGATTATCTGCAGTGCCTTGGATCGCCAAAACCTGTAACCTACAAGACGAAGACAAGAGACACAGCCCCACGTTCCTATTCTCCTTTCTGGAAATATGCTCCGTTCTGAGTACTTGTGGCAGAAATATGTAGGTCTACTAAAAAGCGCTGATTCAGCCGTTTATATGATCATACTCGAAATGAATGAAAGTCTTGATTCTTCTAACTACACGATAAAGAAGCCGATATTTATGCAATCTCAGAGGCTTCAGGATCGTCATAAAATGAGCGGAATTGCATGATCTATATCGTCATAAATCATACGGTTTATATTAATCGGTTGCATGATCGGTCCGGTCAAGCAAGGCGATGATATAAGCGGTTTAGTCATCTCCCGCGGCCACAGTACTTTACAAGCATTGTTTTAGCTTGGTCATATATTATTTCCCGTCGCTGGGTGGAGATCCTTCAACGGGCAGGTGAGGAAAGCCAAATATTGCACGACCGGGCTACCCAAACGGAGGGTTTTTTTTTTGGCCTATTGTCACGCAAGCTCGTTGGAAGGCGCGAGTAAAGAAACTAAACGCCTCTTTCTATTGACCATGGATGCTCAGGGAAGAGGGCTCCACTAGGGCCCAGTATGTTTATTGGAGAAAACTTTAGTCCCACTCTGTGTCAGCTAACTAGTTTCAGTAGGGTCGACTGGGTACCTGTCCCGCCGAATTCGTCTCTTGCGTTTGATACCCTTCTTAAATTCTGCTCATCGGAGGGTCTCCAAGCTGAGTGCCTCATTGGACTTGCTTCTGTTTTACTCCTGACGTCCGTGGCAGGCGATTTGCCGCCTCCAAAGTTTGCCCCTCCTGTATCAATTCCAGACATTCCTACTCGCCCCTCCCAAAGGCAGGAGCAGGACATGATATTCCAGGAACTGTTCCAATCGATCGACAAATGCATGTTTCTAAGCTCCACACGAGGCGCCCTCGAGTCGTTGCTTTGCAGTGCGTTCTTCGATCCCTCCGTGTCCTGCAATCTTCCTGGGGCTGCATCTTTAGGAATTAGGAAGGCCATTTCGACAGCGAACACGGTTGATAGCGAGCAGCTTCTCAATGCCATTACGTACATGAGACCCCACTTGAGTCTCTTATGGAATGCTGCAATTTGCAATGACCAGGCCAATGCGCTCCTAAATATGGCCCTCAAGGGCCTACCACCCATATGCCTTGTGGCGGGCTTCCTGACGGATACGAACCAATCCTTTCTCCAAATCGATTATCACGATTATCACGTAAAACATTTAGGGAATTCTCAAGTCTCCCGGGCAAAAGAATTTCAAACTTCCTTCTTTTGTCGACCAGATATCTCAGTACCATGGTCGCCAGCGCCTCCATTCGGGGCAACCACAGTTCAGAACCTCAGTCTTGAAGTGAGAGTTCATCTTGCACATCAGCACAAGCCACTTTCTTGAAGGCTATATTGGACATTGGAATCTGGGGAAAGGATACCGGCAAGCGAAAGCCGCCAAATTGTTCTTCAGGATTCTAATCTGTGTGGCTCCTATTGTGTCGACCAGGATAATGAGTAAGTCCAATTAACAGTCGCTTTCTGTCGTATTTTGCTAACATTCAAGGCTACCTGATGCGAAGCGAGATCTTGCCGATGAACAGTCGGGAGAAGCAACATCGCGCTTGTTCAATTGGCATCGGGGCTACGATAACGGCCTCTGGCTTGACGAAGGCGATGGGGACGTTGAACTTATTCGTAAACTGCAGACACACGCGTGGATTATCGATCCATACATGGGATGATAGCTCGGGAGGCACACCAGCTGAAGAACCAAACCACCGTCATTTTAATGTTGAGGATATATTGCAGTGGATTAGTGATGTCGAGAAATTCGGGCAGTCAGGGAAAAACAAGTTGATGAATAACCTCGTCCTTTATCTTCACCTCTAGGAACTAATTAATATAGCTTCCCTTCTTTACCTAATTTCAATCTCTTCTCAGATTTATGCAGGTCGACTCAACTAACTAAATCAGGACATTAGTTTATACCTGAATAGAATAGCCTCATAAGCCAGGGTGCTGCCTTAGGTCACCATACAATAACGTCTTGCTCTCTGCCTGGGGTACTTGACTGTACTTGATGGCACGGAAAGAGGCAGCTAACCCTAGACATTGGACCAAAATTGATATCAATTCAGTCCGTCAATCTTGCGCTTCCTGGGCGATAGAGCAATTCACTGATTCTTGATAGTTTATTTTTTCTTTTCCAAGAACGAAGATCATGTAGTATCTTTCTTACCCCTCTACAGCCCTGCATATGCAACCAAAGCAGACCAAGAAAGGCAGCCTCGTATCCCCCAGGCAGCAAGCACTAAGCAGGCATTCACGCTCTTAATCCCCCCTAATATAATCTCTCTGGTGTATTGCTTTATACCCCTCCATTTCCCCTCCTTAGCCTCTTTCTTCGAACCATCCATCCCCCACTATTACCATCACCATGGACGCACCCAATCCGCCCATCCACGGGCAGTCTCAGAGCCCTCTTTTCTCTCTGCCGCCCGAGATACGCCTACACATCTTCTCATTTGCCCTCACCAAGTCCCTCGATCCCGCTCACCCTTACAGCCCAGATACCTACTATTTCCGACCAGGCTACACGGCCCCGCGCCCCATCCATACCGCACTTCTCCACACCTGTAAACGCGTCTACGCCGAGGCCCGCCACTTCCCCTTCGTCAACGCCGACCTCACTTTCTTCCTGTGTTCTCGTGCCCGCGCGCCGGGGTTCATCCCTCTTCCGCAACTCCGAGAATTCCTTGCGCGCAAAAAGACCAAGCACGGCCCCCTCGAGACCTCGCACATCCAGATCTTCGCGCAACTATACGTCCTCGAACAAAACTCCGACTTTCAGGAAGTTCTTGATGTGGCCCATCTTGACCCGAAACGGGTGACGCTTACCATCCGACACTCAGACTTCTGGTTCTGGGAGGATTGGCAGAAACTCCACATGGATGGGGAGTGGGTCAACCGGGTCCGGTTTCCGAATAGTGTGGTGGAATTCGCCATCGAAATGGAGACGATCGACAAACGCGCCGAGGAAGTGAAGTATCTTGCCTCTGAGGCGGTCGATAAATGGTTCTTTACCCGCAAAGACGGGCGGATCCTCAGGGCGGAGAAATCGGATACGAGCACCTCGACCTGGACTGGTAGCTCGGTGCTGGATGATAAGCGGTGGATTAGAGATGAGGCAAGGCCTGGGGAGCTGGATTATCATGTCGTCACGAACCGGTGGAAACTTGTGCCTGCAGACGGGGTTGAAGCGCTAGGGTTGGATTTGAGCACGCCTAGACCGAGTCTGGATATTCGGGGAGGAGTTGGTCAGGAACCGCCCTCGTTGTATCGTAGAAATTCAATCAGCGTCAGAGAGATGCAGCGGGCGAATGTTACGAAAGAGACGCCGGTGGACGAGGTTCTACAAGCACTCAATCCCGCGAGACTGAATGGGCGGAGACTCGTGCGGAGTCGGAGTTTGAGGAGGGTTGAAACTTGAGGGCGATGAACCATAAAAAATAACTGATTTAGTTCGTTGAATCGGCTTGCATGAATCTGAGAATTGAAGCTGCCTCATTCCGTACCATCAGGATCAGTCAAGTGCCTCAGGCAGAAAAAAAGACATAATTGCTCTGGCTTATGCAAGCATTCACTCCATTTCGTTTACTTCCCAACCACTGCTACAAAGACTCTCTTTAGTGAATGCAAAACATCAGCTTTTCGTCACTTTGGCATCATCCCCTTCTTTCTATTTACATTCAATTTCCATTCAATCTCTGAAAACTTTCCACCTCTTATCGATTAGCCGCCTCAACCATATTCAATGGCAGACCCCCAGCGTCTTGGATTTCAAAGAAGCAGTGGAAGAGGCCATCGAGGACCACTTCGAGAGAATCATGGGATTCATTCGTCCAGATTGGGAATGAGATTAAATGAACGGGATCAGACCTTGCAGCTAACCACTTATCCATGTCGCTAGTGTCACGCCGCATGCTTCCCTTTCGCTCAGAGACAGGTTTACGAGGCCAGAAGCTACCAAGCTATCGCCATCTCGAATTCAGGACATCCTCGAGGTGACCCTGTCAGAGGTTGATCGTCCTGATTCGACGGGAGCTACTATTGTCAATGATTGGGCTACGGAGTCTGGCTTCGCATGGACCCGAGAGATAGTGGAAGCAGACTTTGTCCTATCTTACAGTGTCACACGATTGATGTTCGATCCCCATTGCCTCCTCTTTCTCTGTATTCTCTCATATCTCTCGAGCGAAGATATATGGAGCTCACTCGCCCTTGAGAAGCCAGTGGGAACTATCTTCAATGTCATATACGGACCACATGGGAACCGGGGAGCCACATTCTTTCGCAGAGTTGTCGATTATCTGACACAATTACACGACGATGAGGAAGACCCCAGTTCAAAGAGTCATTACGAGTCCGGGACGGTGTTGCTTCACTTAGCAGAGGCAATATTAAGCACATTGTTACAAGTCCAGGAGGCTACATTCAAGGCTGAGTTTAAACAATTGACCGAAACGCTCTGGACCTGTTTCTTTCTGGACGCGGACATTCATCACTTACAGAGCCCTGTCACACGGCTCGCCAGAGAAACCCTTCTAAAAGCCCAAGACATATTCCACACTGGGGATGGTATTAGCGTTGGCGCGCAGAGGGTGCTTGGGGCCCCAAAAAAAGCAAACAATTCCCAGCCTAAAATCCCAGTTGATCCTCCTGGGCAGCTCTCGCAGCATGGCATCCGGCATGACAACGACCATGCATCTATTTCGGATATCAATATTCTGCCAACGCTGTCTGAAATTTGGTACAGCCGCCGGAATGACTTTCTCCCCACTAAGGATGCTCTGTACTCCCAAGATCGGCACCATGAGAGCGCTGTCCGTTGTCTTCTTGACACCCATTTTCGTTTTCTCCGGGAGGATACATCGGGCGTCTTGAGAGACTTTGTCCGTGGTATTCTTGAGAATTGGGAGGCGCTTGTCTACGGAACCAGATGGCAAGACAAACGGAGAATACTGCGGTCTCATGTTCCCACTCCCGTTCGTATATATTACGGCGCCCGGATTCAAAAAGCCAAGTCAGACTGTATCAAAGGAATGGGGATTGACGTAGAGTTTGATCAGGTACCAAGGGCAAGGAACATGAGTGTTTGGAAAAGGAAGCAACACTGGCGCAATACTCGTGGGTTGAACGAAGGCGGGGCATTGTTGGCCCTTATCGACGCGGAGGTCAAGGATGACATCACCGTCATTTTCTTTCAGGTCTCCAAGAGGAACATTGACCCTGTAACAGATGAAAACGACAAGAATATCGTTCTTGACTTGGTGAGCAGCAGCAAAAGGGCTCTGATCTCCCTCCGCCTCACGAATCCCCCTTCCGGGGGCGACTTGGATGGCATCATTCATCTGGCAGATAATCAGTTTTCCTCCTCGGCCCGATCTCTGATACTTGTTGAATTTCCCGCTCTCCTGTTCAATGCCTTCGAGGGCATTCTACGGCGCCTGCAGGCTTTATACAAAAACCCCCAAAAGGTTCCATTGACTGACTGGATAGTTCCCCAAGACACATACCCCCCGGGATATAAGACAACGTACGGATACAAAGCGTTCCCTGTTTTCCCACCAGCATACCTTCAAAATGTGACCTTGGATCTTTCGTCCATTGCCAAAAATGAAGCGGGCGGAAATGCCGCGCCAATTACGTTTTCAATTGAACAAAATTTCAACATTTTGTGCGATGAGCTATCCAAGAAAACAACACTTGATATGGGCCAGGCGCGAGCGATGATCTCAGCATTCCAGAATAGCTTAGCACTCATTCAAGGCCCCCCAGGAACAGGCAAGTCTTACTTAGGGATTCAGATCGCAAAATGCATCCTTGCGAACCAAGATCAGTTACAACTGGAACCTATCTTGTGTGTGTAAGTCTCTTTCTTGATCATAGCTATCAACCAGAGTTTGTGACTAACCCACTTCCAGCTGCTACACGAATCATGCACTCGATCAGTTTCTACAAGGGCTTTATGACTCGGGAATATCGAGGATTGTCCGCATTGGTTCTCGTAGTGCTTCCCCACTGTTGGAATCACTCTCACTTGAGAATTACAAAAAACTTGAGAGGATTCCCCGTATATCGGGACACGGGAGATTAATTAGCGAACAGAAAAGACGGCTAGGCGAACTGGCTTGCAAAATCGGGGATATCTGCCAAAGGCTTCAAAGTGGAACCAATGGGCTTGTCATGCCATTTCTCAAAGATCGTCTTCCTATGCAGGAGGTACAGATCGCTGAGGAAGTGATGGTAGGGGATTTGGAGCCTCTTACTACTTGGGCTCGTGGGAGCGCCCCGGGCGACCTTAGTGGAAACGAAGAGGAGCGCACTATCGAACAGTTGCTCTCTGTCAACAAATGGACGCTAACGAATGAAGAGCGCAAGCGCTTACTTGAGTACTGGCACGAATCTGCTATTGAAGGACTGTGTTTCCAGCTGCGGGATTTGATGCAACTGCATGCTTCAAAGAAGAAAATGTTCACTTCGCTCTTCAATGCGGCAGACGCCCAGGTATTCGACCAAGTGGATGTTGTTGGCATCACAACGACCGGTCTAGCAAATAACGCTGATCTTCTGCGTAGCCTCCGCGCAGATGTGCTTATTTGTGAAGAGGCTGCTGAAGTACTCGAATCACACATTCTTACGGCGTTCTTGCCTTCTGTTCAACATGCGATTTTGATTGGAGGCCATCTACAACTACGTCCCAAAATCTCAACTCGACGGCTGTCAGCGGAGTACGATCTCGATGGTCCTAAATACAACCTCGACGAATCTCTTTTTGAGCGGTTGGCAAACTTTCGTCCTCCAAATTGCGCCATACAGACCGAAGAAGGCGACCACACCGCTGACACTATTCGCTTTCCTGTAGCGCAACTGGATCAGCAGCGGCGAATGCACCCATCGATTGCTTCTCTTGTCCGAGGAACATTGTATCCTGACTTATGCGATCATCCTGATACCCACTTGTACAATGAGATCTCTGGCTTCAAACGCGGGTTGTTTTGGCTTGACCATCGCAACACGGAAGATCCAGATGATCCAGAGGACCCGATGCAAAGCAAAACAAACACGTGGGAGGTAGAAATGGTTGTCTCCGTGGTGAAGCACCTGTGTAAGCAAGAGCACTACAAGCCAGGGGAAATTGCCGTTTTGACGCCTTATATCGGTCAACTGAGGCTGCTGGTGGCTCAAATGGACGGTATAATTGACCTGGTAATTGCAGAGCAAGATCTAGTCGATATTAATGAGCCTGGAGCACAGGAAGACGCAAACGACAGCAAACACAACAGACGAACAGTCGAGAAAGGAAGGTTGTTGGACCAAGTAAGAATCGCAACCGTGGATAATTTTCAAGTGAGATGAGCCCATTTTCATAAACTGTCAGAATTATGATACTAATTCTGTCTATCTTAGGGTGACGAAGCAACAGTTGTGGTAGTGTCGCTCGTGCGAAGCAATAAGTACCGCAACTGCGGTTTCCTTAAGACTTCAAACAGGATCAATGTTTTACTCTGGCAAGTAACTGAACGTTCATACCCCTTTTTTGGTATACTTTTCTCTAATTGTCATATTGGTTTTGCCCTTCAGCCGTGCAAAACATGGCATGTATATCATCGGAAATGCCGATACAGCGTCGGCTGTTCCAATGTGGTCGTCAGTTATCAGAATGCTAGAAGACGGCGGCAACATCGGGCCCAAGCTCCAGCTCGAATGTCCCCGACACCCCGAAAGTAGCGTCTATGTTTCAACTCCTGAGAACTTCTCAGAACTGGCTCCGGAAGGCGGGTGTGCAGAGCAATGTAGCCTTAGATTGCCTTGTGGTCACACATGCACTTTCAAATGCCATTCCAAGACACGGCATGACGTGGTCAAGTGCATGAAGCCATGTACGAAGATAAAGGAATGCGGACACTCCTGTCCCCAGCAATGCCATAAGATTTGTGATGAATGCACTGAGAAAATCCCCAATTTCCTCCTTCCATGCGGGCACTCCACCAATATTGAATGTCGAGATAAGACTAAAGTCGCCTCGATCAAGTGCACACAAATTGTTGTGAGACTACTACCTATATGTGGTCATGATGTCCTAATCAGATGTCATACAGACATTTCAAAGGCAAAGTGCTTTCAACCATGCCAGCAACTGCTAGACTGCGGACACACCTGTCAGAAGCCATGCTGGAAATGTTTGGGGTCAGAAGATCAGAGCTCTCAGGATCACCACACTTCCTGTACTACTGTCTGTGGAAGACCCTTTAGGACCTGTTCACACAGTTGTGTTCAACTCTGCCATCCATCGACCCCCTGCTCTCCTTGCGACCAGCCCTGCGAGGTGCGCTTCTTGCCACAGTATTTGTCCCAAGGAATGCAGCGACCCATGTGCTCCTTGCGCCGAGAAACGCGGATGGAGCTGCATTCATCGGCAAGGAAACTCTTGCAACATGCCATGCGCAGTTCCGTGCGACATACTCCCCTGTGACAAGCGTTGTGACAAAATACTACGCTGCGGACACCGCTGTCCGAGTATCTGCGGCGAGAAATGCCCTGGTCCGAATCTTTGTCGGACGTGTGGCAATCCGGATGCTCTTGAACAGATTATCAATTTTATTATGTTCGATAAGTACAGGGAAATTGACCTCGACGAAGACCCTGTGTGTTCCTCTCCTGTGGGCACTTCTATACTGTTTCCAGTCTCGACGGGATAATGGAGATCAGGGATTTCTACAACTTTGACCCTGCAACCGACACGATCATCAGTCCTAAATCGGTACATCGAGTAATGAGCGGCGACTCCAAGCTCCGCAGCTGCCCAGAGTGTCGTCTACCACTTAGGACATCTACCGTTACAACCGAATTGTGAAAAAGGCAATACTAGACGAGTCAACTAGGAGATTTATCATCATGGCAAACTCAGCCTACAAAGCGCTCATCGATGCAGTTTCAAAGCGTGAGATAGAGCTCGAAAATTGCAGATCAGATTTCCTCCTCCGCTGCTCAATGGCAGCAGAACAACCTGGAAGTTCCAATGTTAGAGAGTCCATCAATTCGTTCAAGGAAAAGGACAAACTGAATAAGAGAATCCACAAGTTCACGGAGTTTATGGCCGCTGCAGAGCAGCCCTATGGGAGGGTAAGCGCCTTGCTCGCGTCTTCGACTTCTCTAAAGGTTACTGTACAGGACCTCCAGATCGATGAATCAAAAATCTAGACTGGATTTCAAATTTGCGGGCAGCTTCTCCAGCTTCGCCACACATGGGCCATCCTATGGAACTACCGAATGATATTCACCGATCTCCATGTTGACCCGAATTTTCGTTCTGAGCTATGCGATGTGACGGCAAAACGACTTCAATCACTCATCGACATTTCTCTATCCATCCAAAAGTGTAGTAGGAAGGCGAAGCTCTTAGCACAAGAGGTAGAAGCGATGATATATTACGCATTGTTCTCGTTATTGTCTCTTAGTACTGCCGAGGCCAAAGGACAACAATTAAGTATTGAGGCCACTAATGAGCTCCACGAACAGGCATCTGCTACAATACGAAAGTGCGAGATTCTCCATTCCAACAACCCGGGCACCCTAGGGTTCTTGGGTGGCGACATCGAAAAGGCCAAAGGACTATTGAGCGGCGCGACATTCTACAGTTTCGTTTCAACGGAGGAAAAGAAACAGGTCTACGACGCCATGGCGAGTCAGTTCTCGGGGACCGGACATTGGTATTACTGCCGAAACCACCATCCTGTGAGTCCATTTTGCTATGTTAGAAAATGTATGAATTGCAAATATACTAACGTATCGATTACAGTTCACCGTGGGCGAATGCGGACTACCGATGGAGCAAGCTCGGTGTCCGCAATGCGGAGAGCCGGTTGAGGGGCTTGAACATGCTCCTTCTGTGGGAGTCACTAGAGCGCAGGATTTTGAGAAGCAGTTCGGTGGGAATTAATTTGCTGCGTTTACGTCATTTGACGGAAGAGATATGGCTCTAACTTATTTGTGCGATGAATTTGAACGGGATATCAGAAACTGTTTACTTGATGAATTTGAAATCGGACTTTTTTTTAGAAACTCTTTATCTCTTGGCTGGTCTTCGCGGAATCACGACGCTGGCACAATTGATATCTACCACTCGGCTACATCAAGCCACGGCTCCTCTTGAGCCAAAAAAAAACTACACCATAAACGGATCTCAGCCATACGGAGGGACAGGATCCAACAAACTTGTTTTATGCATACGCTGTAGCTCGAAATTGTCTTCTGGAATTATGGGCTCTATTTATGTCTATAATTTGAGCTTAGACACGTCCCCAGTGCCCCATAGGAGGTCATAGGGCCGGAACACCTCGGTCCGTTGGACGTTAATCACTGCTGCTGCTGCTGCTGCTGCTACTACTACTGGTCTTCGTGGTGGCAGTAGCAGTTATAGCAGGTTATAGCAGTGTATGGGAAGTTCAGTTCAAGAATCGAGAGGTTGGAACTAGAAACATACCATTTGAGGTCTACTTATATCTATTTTAAATGGTGCGGGTTTATCCCTCCCACAGACTAAAGGATGAATTATTTACATTCTGCGTATCGCTCAAATACTCCTCTTTAACGGAAGACCAATTCGCAAACACCTGATCTCGAAGTTGAGTCAATTCAATGACTCCTCCTATACGAGAATATCATATTAGGCTATTCTAATTAGAGATAAAATTATATACTCAGTATGCATGTTGATGCCAACATGAATGCTATCTAGTAATCGGGGCTAGTTTGATCTAGTCTATACTATCAATGCGTATTAGCCCAAGTGATACCTGACTGAGAACGAACAGCTTGACTAGACATACCTATAGTTTAGGGATCTATCCCATCACATCTGACAAGCTAAGGCCAGTCCAGTAGCAAGCTGGCTACTTCGGATTAACAACCTGCGGCAAAAGTGCGGGCTTACCAGCCGGCGCGATCCAAAAGACCGGATACCTCCGCTGAATATTATTCAGCAGCATGGCGACAACCATAAGCAACGTCGACGAGAGGAGCACCACCGGCAAATAATACCAGGACAGCTGCCAGACAGCCTCATCGACAGCAGGAAGCAGCGCCGTCGCGCCGGCCGGGGGGTGCGTGGTCTGGGTGACTTGCATGACCACAATGGCGACAGACGAGGAGAGCGAGGCGGCGAGCCAGCGCAGGGAGTTGAAGCGCTGTTCATCGGGCATGAGGCTGAAGAGTTTGGTGATGCATATTCCGACCAAAGCGCTGAGGAAATGCCCGAAAATGAGAGATCGGGGCTGCGCTAAGGGGCTGTCGATGACGCCGAAGCAGAGGACTGCTGATGCGCCCTGTTGGGTGCGACTACGGGGTTAGGAATATGAGGTATGTGAGATTGTAAACAGGTTACTGACAAATGATGCGATGATGGTGGGTACACCTCGGTCGAGGAAATACTGGGAGTAATTGAAGAGAGCCAGGATCACGGACAGGCCGCAGAACGCCGCGATGAAGGACCAAAGCCACGTGAGATACGGCGGAAGAGGCTTCGGAGTGATCGACCGGTAGCCGAGCCAACGGCTCAGCCAAGAGGGAAGTCGTGATAATTGGGACTCGGACATTGTAAAGGTGGTTAATTGGTCAGGTGCGAGTAAGAATGCAACGGAGTCGAGTGGTTTTTGAAGACGGACTGACTCACGGGCGAGCGGAGCTGCTTTGTTGATGGCGTGCAGAGATTTAGGGTTGCCCGCGGGCAAGTGCCAAAGGGTCTTACAACCGCCCGAATTAGACAAACGATGCCTTTAATCGCTCCATACCTCGTGTCTGACAGTATTCGAAGTCATTGAGGTCATTAAGAAGCTCTACATTCACTTAGCTGCCATCGTAAGCCTTAAATAAACTCCCTCCCCAGCAGAATGTATCCAGACTAAATGCCGAAAGATTTGCAGCTGTCAGATACCAGCGCTAACCGCATTCGGCTGGTGCATATCTCAGCTGCAAATCTGCCGCATGGCAGCTCAAATAGAACATCGCAATGGTTTTTTCCAATGGGAGTAGAATCTTTCAAATTCTACGTAATTTGATCCCAGCTCGGGTGCAATTATTCAGAATCCACTTCAGACTTCAAGAGGGTTAGTTTATTAAGTAACACTGAGATGTGTTTAGCATCAGTTATTTAGTCCACTTACCGCCGCAAACGTCAGGCCCTATGCCCGTGAAAAATGACATCATTGCCAATATTTTTCGAAGGTTTCATTGTAGCTATCTTCTTAAAGGTCAAATCATGATTTAGTCCTGATTCAATTGTTTGGAAATGCGTGGCGACACGGGGAACTGGACAGGGCAACACATATCTTGATTTCTGGACATATGCGTTAAAGTCGGTTCCTTCCCGTTATGGTAATACGCTTCGTTCATGCTCGGTGAAGTATGAGGTTCTCTCGTTTGCCTCAAGTTAAGGTTTCGGCAAGGATTCAAGTATTAAGTCGTATGTTCTTTCTTCAAATCATGATTTGCGATTCATCAGCCTTCTCACACAAACTTCTTGGCTATGATGTCGGATTCAATCAGCAACAGTGAGGTTTTCTTCACTGCTATGTCTTCTGTGAAACAGCTCCACTGCCGGACATTCGCGCTCGTGGAAGCGATCTCCGCCACACTACTGTGGACTCTGACCATTGGGATATGTCTTATCGGTTGGGCCCTTTTTGGTCGCCCGCTACAGGATAGCTGTGGCAATAGGATTCCCAAGGGCCCATTAGGCCTGCCTATCCTGGGTGAGCCAATTCGAACATCTTAGCAAAAATGGTTCTAATCCACTATCTCAGGATCGTTTCCCTTCTTGACCAGGTATCCAGAGCTTACTCTTGATTACTGGGCCAAGAAGTTTGGAAATTTGTATTCATTCTGGTTGGGTAATCGGCTGTTCGTAATTGTGTCGGACCCTCATATTGTCAAAGATTTGATGGTCACCAATGGCAGTGTCTTTTCATCTCGGCCAGATATGTTTGTCAAATGTCAAACTGTCTTCGCAGGCCGAGGCATTGCCACTACTCCGTACAATGATCGATGGTAGGTGCCGCTTCACCCTCGGTCAGGAGATATTAACCTATTCCATGAATCAGGCGTAAGCATCGTCGGATTGCACTATCATGGCTGAGCCAAAAGGCTGTCGACTCTCACACAGAGACGGTCGATCGCGAATCTATGTCCTTGATAAAAGCAATGTTTGATGGAAGTCAGCAAGGAAAGGTTCCTGTTCGCCCTCATGTAAGGCCCCACCCCGTCTTAGTTGTACATATACTCATACTCCCGTAGTCTCAGATCGGTCGTTGTCTGTTTAACGTCATGGCCACGATCACCTTCGGATTTCGGATTGATAGTATTGAACATCCTCTTATCATGCAAGCATTAAAGCTGAATCGCGAGTTCATGTCAGTCAATGTAGTTCGGCTTGCGGGCAGCAGCTAACCGTTCATCGAAAGGAATTGCACTGGTTCTGTTTCGAATCTAGTTGACTTTGTTCCCCTGCTGCAGTATTTCCCCACACCGATGCACGAACGTGGCAAAAGGATTCATCGAGGACTAGTCAATATATACGGAGGACTTTTCAAGAACGTCGAGAAACAACTTGAAGAAGGAAAGCCGGTTCCAGATTGTCTTGGGAAGACTATGGTCGAAATCCAAGACAAAGAGCAGCTGGATGACTTGGACATGACGATGCTTGCCTCAGCCTTCATGCTCGCTGGTGTCGAAAATGTAAGTTTTGATTATTAATTCTTCTTCCAATGATCCTAATTCCTCGTACAGCCAGGTGCACTCTTGCAATGGTTTTCCGCGTTGATCCCCACTTTCCCCGAAGTGCAGAAGAAGGCGCAGGCAGAGCTCGACCGGGTGGTGGGACGGGATCGCTTGCCCACGATTGACGACGAGAAAAGCCTGCCATACTGTCGTGCCATCATCAAAGAAGTCGAGAGAGTCCACAATCCATTCTGGTTGGGAACGCCTCATGCAACCAGCGAGGATTTTGTCTGTCGGGGTCAATTCATTCCCAAGGATACAGTGGTTATTATCAACACTTGGACCATGCATCACGATCCTGTGAGGTATCCCATACCCGACCTGTTCAATGTAAGCCATCCTTAGTCAAGTACTCCGGTGATTGATCGCTAAGTTATGCAGCCTGACCGGTATATCCACGATTCCTTGAAGTCAGCAGAGAGCGCTCATTTGGCTGACCCTGAGAAACGTGATCACTGGATGTTTGGTGCCGGGTATGTTTCCTATCCCTTTCCTGTGGAGACAGGCTAACCTGTTAGACGTCGGATGTGCCCCGGTGTAAATTTAGCGGAAAGGGTGATCTGGCTGTCCATCTCTCGTCTACTCTGGGCTTTCGATATGGTCGAGATTCCAGATGAACCCATCGATCGGAAGGACTACGATGGCAAGTCAGCTCGATCGCCGGTGCCATTCCGCATCAAGCTGACACCGCGCCATGCCAACGTAGCTAGAGTGCTGGAGGGTATCGCGATTTAGTCAGAGATGGAGTAGTTTGGTAAAATATATTTCCCGATGACTGTTGGAAATCCTTCAACTTTGCGATGATATAAAAATCCGAATAGATACGTGTTGGATGCCAGAAGATTGTCGAGAGTTGTACGCAGTAGAGATAAAGAAACATGAGGGATCACATGGCAAAACAAACCGTTGGTGTCTGATTTTAAAGGCCCTAAACTTCGGTTGCCATTACGTCAGCCCTCGGCAACCAACACCGAATCTCGGCATCCGAGGGTTTCTCGCCGAACTCTGTCTTTGAACTTCCCTCACAGCGCATCGACCTGGAATTCTCTGTCCTACGGAGTCCTCTCTTGGCTCATGGTCAAGCAAGGGCACTATTACACTCACTAATGAATCGCCGGCGAGTCCGATCCTCCGAGCAGCCCAGGGAAAGGCTCTCCAAGCGGCGGAAGTTTGTCGCGTGCGTGACCCACTACCCTATCCCTACGCCGTTCACTCACAATATTGCAATTACAAACTCATATCAAAGCTCTACAGGTGCCAGCGCTGTCATACACATAAAATCAAATGTTCGGGCGACCTACCTTGCGCCAAATGTCGACAAGTGGGCTGCGCCGATGACTGCGCCTACGAGGCCCGAGACCGCCAGGTCAAGGTGAACGAAAGGTACGAATGCAGAATATGACTCACGAGCTACGACCTGGTCTAGAACCATGACCTAATTGCGTGTCAATGCATAGCTATCTGGACGAGCTCGTGGCAGAGAACCGACGGTTGAAAGAACAGTCCGCCTCGGCGTCACATACCGAAGCAGATCGCGACAACGCCGAGAACGGCCCTGCTCGCCCTGCAGACGCCACGGACGGGCCAGACGAGGGCAACACCAGCGTGCGCAATCCGCTGATCGGCGATCGTGCCTGGTTCCATCGCTACGATCCCTCAACGCCGCCTATCTACATCGGCGAGGCGGCCTGTACGGCGTTCGCGACTCGATTCCGTCGCTTCCTCACGGGGAACAATGCCACCGCGCATATCCCGCGCACGCAGTACGTCAAGGATGACTGTATCGCTGCGGCCAATACGGCAGACGTGCAATGGCCGAGTCTGCAGCAGGCGCGTCTCCTTGTGAAGATTGCCATGCAGCAGGTCTGCCATATTTATCATTTGGTCTTGCGCAAATCGACGCTGGAGAAGCTGGAGGACATCTACCGCACCGGAGATTTTGAGTGCACGGTCAACAAGTGCAAGTTCTTTGCTCTCTTCGCTTTCGGGGAGGCCTATTCTATGCGAGCTGAACCGTCTACGGGCTCTAGAGTTCCAGGGACAACGTACTTTGCTCGTGCTTTGAGTTTGGTGCAGTTGCCGCCAGAACGGACGAATATCACACATCTTGAGACTTTGCTCTTATTGGTTTGTGCCCTAGACTCAATGCAGATTGGCAATTACTGATGAGCACAGTCACTGTTTTCATATTATCTCAACCGACGGCATTCGTCTCTTGTTCTGATCGGCACAGCCATGCGCCTTGGTCTATCCATCGGCATGAACCACAACATCCCGGAGACGCAGCTCATCGACCCGGTGGAACGACAGCATCGACTGCGCATCTGGTGGACCATCTACGTCTTTGATCGCATGTGGGGATCCAAAATGGGGCAGCCGTCGCAGATTCTCGACGATGATATCCACTTGGACATGCCGTCAAGCATCACGCCAGCGCAGCTGCACGACGAACAGTTCTCGGATACTGATCATCTAACTGCAAACATCAATCTCGCGCGCATTGTCGGCGAGACCATCGCCAAACTGTACAGCCGCCGCAAGTACAGCGAGACCTTTCTTCAACGGGTCCAGAAATTGCTCAAGGCATTGAAAAACTGGGTGGAAACTCTACCGGAACATCTACGGTTGAACGAAGACGATCTCGAAGTCAACCGCAAACCGATCAGCTCCTTACATCTATCTTTCAATCAAGTCAGTACCCATCCTGTCTCGGATGAAACCCTAGACTAACACACAGGACAGTGCGTCATCCTCACCACTCGCCCAACCCTCCTTCATCTCCTCATCAACAACCGCACCACCGACATCTCCCAACCCGTCCTCACCCTCGGCGAAGCATGCATCCACGCCGCCCGTCATTCCTACTCCGTCATCCTCACCAAATGGATTAACGGCTCTCTTCCCGTCTTCGGCTACTTCCACGCCCATTACCTCTTCTCCCTCGCCCTCGTTCTCGCCATGGCGAGTTTCCTCCCCATAGGCAGCCCCTCGGACCTCGGCGCCTTCGAAACCAGTCTCGAGATGCTCCGCTCCATGAGCGAGAACGGCAACCTCGCGGCGGCAGAATTCCATATGAATCTCGTCCAAGTGAAAGAATGTCTCGATCAATACCGCGACGCTCATCCATCCTCAAATCCCTCCTCCTCCTCCGCCTCCTCCTCCGCCTCTAACCCCCATGCCCATCCCTCCACAAACCCTCCCCTCACCTCAACAACACCCTTTGTCGAATCCACACCAATCCCCCTCGTCCATCAACCAACCTCGATCCCCAACAATTCCATCATGACCCCCGAAGATGAACCCCTCGGTTTATCCAGTTACGCTCTCCCACCTAGCACGACGGCAGCCGGTGCACCAGCTGTGCCGGGGTTCACGACAGCAATGGCGTTCATGGAGCCGACGATGCAGGATTTTCTGGCGCAGTCGGATTTCGATCTGGGGTTGTTGCACCCGGTGGATACTTTTATTAGTGAGGAGAGTTTTTATACGAGTCAGGGGATCTAGTTCTTGTTCTTCTTTGGTGGTGAGGCATCTGGTATGGGTATCCTTTATGGTAAACGGTAGTTATGTATGTATGTCGAATAGAGCAGCTCAGTTCGGTTTCTTACTTTTCTATTGTACTGGACATAAAAAGCATGTCTTATCTTTCGCTTTTCAAGCCTGTTCTCATTGATTCATTAGACTAAATCACATTATATAATCTATCTACTTTTATTCGTCATAATAATCATCATATCTATATGTCCATGCCCGAGAGGTATCAAAAAAAGTCTATGCAACGAATGCAACGCAAAGCCCGAAACAACAAATCCCTCTCTTCAGGTAACCCAAATTTACTTCCCCCCATCAATAGGAATCTTCCTCTCCACAGCCCGCTGCATATCAATACCCCATCTCGTGATCACAAGGACCAAACACCCGCCAATGAGGGAGAAGATCACGCCTGTATTCATTTCTTTGCGTTAGTATTTGTTTGGATGGTTGTTTGGTATGTTTATCTCATTCTGCCCGAAGGGAAGACGAAGAATAGGATAGAGGGAAGAAGAAGGGAACGGGAACATACAAATCGTAAACGTCCATCCCACCCCGATATGATGAATCACCGGTAACACGAGGGCACTACTCCCCGCGGAGAATATATACTGAATGATGTATTTTCCACTGATGACTTCGCTGCGTTTGTGTGGGAGGACTTCTACATTCACGCATTCCAATCAGCATCAATAATCTGCAAACTCCGAAAGTTGGAGTCGGATGAACAAGAAAAGAAAAGAGAGGGGGGAAACAAACCAGCTACATAAGTATTCAACCCATTAAACGAGCCCATGAGGCCCCAACCCCCAAAGAACGCCGCCACAATCGGAACCGCCATGCCTCCCTTCTCCTGATCCAAGGTCCAGCCATAGACCAGCGCCGCGGCAGGCAAGACGCCAAAGAGGGTCGCGAGACCGCTGTTCAGACGGTCCTGGGGCAGACGCAAGCCGTCGCGCTCGACGATCCATTTGCGGACGGTACGGTCGGAGAATTTCCCGCCGACGATGCTCCCGATCAGGAATCCTGCTCCTGGGGCGAGGTAGAAGAGGCCGCTGACGAGGGCGGTGGTGAGGTGGAAATGTGGGTTGAAGATGGAGCGCGCGGAGGTCAGGATCGAGTATTGGAATGTGGAGAGGAGGCCGCATGTTATATCCTATTTTTGCATCATTAGTTTTGCGTTCCTTTCTTGGGACCAGTGTTGGGGATCTCTTGGGGGAAGAGGTGATATTGGGGGAAGACTCACAGCAAGTAGAATATTAGGATAAACCAATAACCGTGCGATATGCACTGGATTGAACATGCAAATGACCTCTAGAACCGTACGTTTCGGCTTCGGTTTCTCGGTCCCCGGACCGGCCTTTTCGTCGCTCGACTCGGCTTTTCCTTGGGATTTGATCTCCGGCACGAACAGTAGAGACAGAATCAGGCCGAATCCGGTCATGGCGACTTGCAGCCAGTAGATGATGCGCCAGCTAGCGAAGGTGACGATGATGCCGCCGATGCAGGGTCCTAAATTACAGTCAACTTTCAGTACTTCTTTCTTTTCCTGAGGGTTTAATCCCATATAAGGTAGTTCAATGACCACATCATATAAGAAAGAGAGAGAAAGACATACCAATCGCCGGCCCTGTCACGGTACCCACCATGAAGAAACCAACCGCCGTGCCACGAACAACCTAGCACCAAGATCCGTCAGCAAGCCAAACTCCACCAAAAAGAAAGAAAGAAAGAAAAAAGCACCAACCGGTTCAAAAATATCCGCCAGAATAGTCTGGCCAGACACCATAAACGACGTCCCCGTCAATCCCCCCAGCACGCGAAACGCCGTAAACATCTTCATATGGACGGACGCCGCCGTCCCCACCGAACAACCACAAAGGACCAAGATAGCGATATTGAACGACATTCTCCGCCCAATGAGATGATTCAAGGGCCCCCAGATCAGCGACGAGAAACCCATGGCCAGCAGCACGCCGGCATTGGTGACGTTCAGGGTCTCGGAGGTGGTGTGGAACTCGGCGGCGATCTCTGGCGTGGCGGGGAGAAGGGATGTGCTGGAGAAGGTGACAGCGAGGGTCATCCAGCTGACGACGAAGAGGATGATGTTTTTGCGCCATTGGGGGAGGGAGTAGCCATCTTGGGGGTGTTTTTGGAGGATCAATGTGGTGGCTATTGTCGTTGTTTGGGATTCGGGGTCGCCCATAATGATTGGGCTTAGTTAGGGTTATGGGTGTAACCGTTCACTTCTTTCAGGAAATATATATCGAATGATGCACGATAGGATTTCTTGAATTGAATCACGTTTTATGACTGGAGTTGTAAAGCAATGGGGTCGGAATAAAACAAATAGAAAAATCTATCACTCGACTCTCGACACCAGTTCGACGACTAGAGCTATATATCGCAAACCGGATTCTTTTCCGCTCGGCATCCCGTTGTGCGACCGAGCCTATCGCAGCCCGACTCGAGGTGCTCGGCTTCCCTGGCCGAGGTGGAGCTTTTAGGCACCTCCACGTCAAACACGTTGGATGGGACTAGCCGGCTAGGCGTTACAGAGCTCTACCATGCATGGTCTAGACGCTAGAACAGTATACTTCAGGCTGTTATACTCCGAGTTCAGCAAAAATAGAGAAAGTAAGGAGGGAATATCAATTGAAGATCGCAACTATGTACTCCTGAAAAACACTCTAGATTCCTCCAATGATACATCTTCCACATACAAACAAAGCTTGCCTCACATAACGCAACACTCACTCAGTCTCTACCACTTTAGCAATGCCTGAATTTGGATTTTCTTTTTACAGCATGATCATACCAGCACCAGCGACGAGAGCGCTGACGACGTAGGCACCGAACTGCCAGTTGCCGACGTGCACGGCAGAGGGGGAGGTAACACCGGCAGCGCCCTCGGAGGTGGAGGAGCTGTCACCGGTGCTGGCGGCGCCGCTGCCACCACCGGCGGTGGGAGAAGCGGTCACGGTTCCGGTACCCTTCTTGCCGGCATCCTTCATGAGAGAAGAGCAAGTACCCTTGGCCTCGCTGGCGTCCTGGGTCTCACCGTTGCCGCTGAAGTCGCAAGCCTGCTCCTTGTTGCTCTGCTCCTGGTAGTACAGGTCCATGACGAAGGAAAGCTTCTGCTTGGCGTCACAGACGCTGTAGGCTCCGTACTTGCCCTTGGTGGCGTCGGCCTGGATACCGCCGCAGTCGATCGTGGAGCAGATGTAGTCGAACTGGTCCTCGTACTTCTTGGACTTGACGGAGTCCTTGACCTTGCAGGACAGAGACTTCATCATGCAGTCACAGAGGTCGGGGTTGGGGGAAGGAGGGAGCTCCTCGGCGGCCTCCCAGTCCTTGCCGACCTTGGGGCAGGAGGAAGCAGAGGCGGTCTTGGCGGAGTAGTCGGCGCTCTTGACGCCGGTGGCGGTGACCTTCTGCATCTGCGAGGAGAGGTAGGAGTAGTCCTTGCGGGTGCTGACCTTCTTGCCGTCGACCTCGACGAGACCGTAGTTGTTGTCCTCCTGGAAGTACATGTAGACGATACCACCGCTCCAGACGTCGTTCATCTTGGGGCCGAAGAGGGTGGGGACGTCGCCGAACTTACGGGGCTGGGGGTCGATACAGCCGTACTCGGAGAAGAAGGCGGGGACGGGGTAGTTCTTGAATTCCTCGGTACGGGCCTTGTATCCGGACTGCTCGAAGCTGGAGTCACCGCACCACTCGTAGATGTTGTAACCGAACATGTCGATGCGGGCTTCCTCGTCACCGCAGACCATGTACTGGGTCAGGTCCTCACGGGTGTCGGCGTTGTCGTCGGTGGCGTATCCGACGAGCAGGGACGAACGGTAGTTCTTCGCCTTGATGTACTTCTTGGTGTCACGAACGGCGGCCTTGACGAAGCCCATGGAGTTGGTATAGTTCTTCTTGTGGGCCACCTCGTTACCGGCGAAGAAACCGATGACGTTGGTGTAGTTGGCAAAGGCGTCGATCACGCTGGTGTAACGAGCGTAGAGGTCGACATCCCACTTGGGGTCCTGGTCAATGATCGACTCCGAGGGGGAGGACAGATCGGTGATCAGGTAGATACCGGCGTCGTCGAGCGCCTTCATGCAGGCGTCGTGGTCACCCTTGGGGTCGACAGCGTAGGTACGGATGACGTTGGTGCGCAGATCCTTCAGGTAGGGGATATCACGCTCGCAGTTGTCGAGGCTGACAAGGGGGTCCTTGTAGTCCTTGTTGTCGCTGGTGCTGCCGTTGGCGGAGTATTCCTCTGCAGGGGAAGGTTAGTGCTGCGTTTCTTTCTGGGGCTGTCGGAGTCCTGTCGATTGATTCACGTACGCTGGTAGGCAACACCACGGATGAAACTGGAAAGAACGATTAGTTATTGACCACGGAGAGAATCGCACGGCGGCTTGGGTGCTACTTACAATTCAGTGCCGTTGTTGGAGTAGAAGAGCTTGTTACCCTACATGGCCGGCCTGGTTAGTACACTGCAATGCGACCGACCCCCTAAATGCGCCGGACGAGGTGGCAGGAGGAGCATACCTTCGACTCGATGGCGGGCAGCTTCGCCAGGGCACTGCCCATCAGCGAAGCGCCGGCGAGGGCGGTCGAGAACTTCATGATGTGTATCGAGAGTCAAAAAGATCGCTGGTAATGAATGCGCGTAGACGATCGCCAAACCAGGATTATCAACCTGGGGTACGGAAAGGATAAACACGGGTGAAAGGAAAAAAGTCGACTTTAAAAACAACGAATGACTGACGGCCGACACACTTCGCCGTGGAATTAGTTTGATGAGAGACGAATCGAAGCCAAGTCGCAACGAAGGGAGGGAATGAGGGGGAAGAAGTAAGAAGAGGAGAAGGAGAAGGGAGAGCGAGAGGCAGAGGGAAAAAGGAGGAGTCGAAGGGGCGGCGACTATGGGCCAGACTAAGGCAAACACATCAGGCCCCTGTATTACGGGAACCTACGTAATTCTCTTGAATTGGTTCCTGCTGATCAGTTGGAAGCGATCGCCTTGGTATTTGGGCTATTGAGAGCACCTGCGCCTATTGAGGTCCTCTCACTGGTCTCTTATACTTCTTCCTGGTCTCGCTGGTCGATATACACCCGCCTGACTGTGCCTCTCTCGAGGATCTCGATAGACGATCGCGTTCAGCGCATTGCCAAGTCCTCCAGCGTACAGCCGTTGTATCCCGGAGAAACCGCTGGTATGGACGCAGTGCTAAGAATAACACGGAGGAACAACGGGCGACAACAGGTGAGACCCCTGCACCCTGATTGGGGGTCTCGGTGGGCCTTGCACTCCACCACGCTGACCAGGGCTTCTTGTTCTCTGCCAATAATTGCTTGTCCTTTCTTGTCGAGTGGGGCAAAAGGCTTCGCATCGGAAGCGCCATTGGCCACGGGGCTGTCGGTTCTTTGAAACACCCTTGGGGCTGTAACCATCTTGGGTTAGCGCCAGGGTATCCTGAATGTCCCCTTTCAGGCCACACAGTCAATCCCAGAAGTGATCAACTGTCAATCCACCGATTCTCTCGGGGTGTTCGTCGTCGAACTGCCGATGAAACATGTCAACGGCATTCTGCAGTAATCGATCTATATCGATATCGAGAGATAGTCAATCGACACCTCTCTCCCGGCTCCTTCGAGGCAGTGCGCCCTGTTGGCTGTTGGTGGCAACACGGCCCCCGCCGTAATTACACGCCGCCCCAAAACTGGAATCCAGGGGTTTCAGGGTCTTACAGGTGGAACAACCAGCGCTGCCTCGGAGTAGTGAGGATGGAGCTCCACCGCGCACTGAAACACTCAAACTTTGCACTATTATTACAGTGTCTTCCGTAAATTATCATAACAATAATACCGCACACCGAGCCAGATAGTAATTAGAGTGGATGCACCATGACATAGCTTGTATGGTCTAAAGAGGACCGATCAAAAATAGTCGATGGACCGATAAAAGGGAGGTGCCATCATCACTATCTCCGGTATGATAATTGGGGAATAGACACGCTCTACGGAGTCCTCAGATCCGCCTCTCGAAGGTTGAAGAATCATAATAGCAATACAATGTCCGTGACCCAGGGAGTTCTAAACTTCGACTGACATCACCCACAGCTCCTACATCGACGGAGCCAACCCCTTTCTTCCCACTCGACGATTTGAAATTGCCGTCAACCCCAGGAAATGCGACACGCCACCACATGCGGTGCACACTTGAGTCGAGTCAAGTGACGTCAATTCGACCCGGCGGTGAAATTCAGCTCAGCAAGGAGATGAATGATGCATGGCGACAGCGCGGGGGAATCGATCCCGATGTAGTGTTACCTAGTAAGTGGTGACTGGGCATGGAAAACATCCCAGAAATAGGGAACTATCCAGTCGGAAAGAACGGAGGGAGACCTGTTGTACACTGAGTGTCGGTGGCCGACCGGGGTAGTACAAGTCTCGCGACTGACACAGTATCAAATCTTAAGACAGGAGGCGCCCATCCGTACAGACGACCTGGCCAAAATAAACAAGGGACGAATGGGTGTGGCTTGTGTGTGGCGCAGACAACACACCAGCCACGATGATCCAAATTTCGGACCCAGCTTTCTCAAGTTGCAAAGGTTCATCGTTCATCGTTCATCCACTTGCGAACTTCAACCGACAACATCTGATTTGGGATAGTTACAAAAGTCATTGCTGACGGTTCCGTCTGTGCTTCGACCCCACCATCGACCGCAGCCAGGGGCTATTCTCTAAAAGATGACAGATTGGGTTGCATTATTTATGGCCCCGAGACAAATCGCCGGGATGTTTCTGTTTCGCCTGTCCCGGTCAACTCAGCCCTCAATAGGGAACAACTATTGAACCTACGACAGAACACGCAGCGCACGTTCAGCTGAAACCCAGAAAGAGGGAGCGAACGAGAGAACAAAAGCAAAGCCATTCCCAGCAGCCCAAGCATTCATATGATGGTTCTGGATCGGCTGGCACATAACCCTAAGGGAATTAGTACGGAGGGCGCTAGTGGGGGAGCGCAGAGTGTCCGACTCTTGGCGCCCAAAGAAGGGCGACTCAATCAGGCATAATGCGCTGCCATCAGGCCCTTTATTCGGAATTCTGCTTCCCAAAGGGGTCATGGTACGGCCTCTCGTGTCGCATCATTGGCCGCTAAGGTCCATTCAGTCCGCCGGTGCCAGGAATTGAGGCCGCGGAGGGTCGTGATGTACGACGCCGGAGTGTGGCTGTGTTCAGTGTCTGATGCTTGTCCTGCAACTTCTGCTTCCCTCTTCATTAATTCACAATTAATTCTTTTTTAGCGGGTGAACTACTGGAGATTTGAGGGCTTCCTTCATATTGCCATTCATCACTTTGCTGCAAAATCGGACCTCCTATTTTTTCGGATTTTTTTAATGTAGTTTTTTTTCCTGGTTCTCCCGATCTCTCCTTTGACGTCGCTCGTTTGTCTTGCCTGGGGAATTCTGCTCTGTCCATTCTTTTGGTTCATGCTTTGTTTAATTCAGTGCCTTTCATTTTAATCCGAACTTAATTTTTCCCGGTTTGTTTATTTATCCTAATTCTTTTTCCCTGGGAATTCGCCAGACCGTCGTCCGCAGCGCACTCTCTGCCGAGCGAAGCTTATCAGCATCAAGATCTCTTGTCCTGTGGCCCTGAGGCGCAGAGGTCCATCGCTCCAGCCACATTCATTGTATAGTGTCTACATTGAAATTCTCAATCACCACGTCACTTGTAGGTCTCTCTCTCTTTGTTGCCTTATTGGCTTGTCTTTGCAATCGCCACTGCCCTGCTTTATTTCTCCGATCTGCTGGCAAGGGGCGCGTGCTCAAACTTCCTTCCACCGCCTCTTGCCCCTGTCGATATCATATCTCCTCACTATTCATGTGCGCTTCTCTTCTGATCGTGATACAGTATTAGAAGCAAGTAGTATATCCAACTCAACCGACAGAATCAAGTATCCCGACCTTGCGATGCGTATGTCTCCCCTTCCCCCCTTTCCCCTCATTCTCGATTCCCCGCCCTCCTTTCTCGCCGGGCCCCGCTAACATCCCATCTTCCTATAAGATATCTATCGCCGCCAAGCCAGAAACTTGGCATGGTATGACGACGACGGCGAACCATCCAGCCATAACCCATTCAAGAAGTTCCGTCGGGCGCGTCCTGGCCGCTCGGACTCCATCCAGCTCGAAAACAGACTCCAGCCGGTCCGCACCGCCGGAGATGTGCGTCTCTCCGAGGAGCGCCGTCGTCGCAGAGACATGACCGATGGGCTTCGCGGCCCCGGCCACGCTGATACATACCCTGCGGAGTCGGCGGAAACCGATCGCATCGGGGAAGCGGATAGCGTGGAGAAAGCCGAGCCGGAACCATCGATGCGGAGCACCGATCCCATCAATGTCTCGTATAGAGATGGCGATGGACTGGATGTGGACGAGGATGGGAGGCCTCGTAAGCGACGCACGGCCACGAGCAGGTTCGGGGACGACGATGTGGAGATGTCGAGAGATTCGTCGGACGATCCGAAGGGGGTGGCGGATAAGCAGAAGTTCACGGCCGTCGGGCAGTTCAAGGCGACGGTGTTGAATTCGTGGATCAACGTGCTGCTTTTGGCGGCGCCGGCGGGAAGTATGTTTGAGCGTTTCCATGTCGGGGATGAAGAGTGGGAAAGAGTATTTGCTGACGGGTGGGATTAGTTGTGCTGAACTATGTCAATGTCGATCCGGTGGCTGTCTTCGTGGTGAACTTTATCGCTATCATTCCCCTGGCAGCGATGCTTAGTTACGCGACGGAGGAGATTGCCTTGCGGTATGTTCAGGCCTGTTTGGAACGTGTCGTCGGGTCTAGCTAACACAAAACCATGTCAGAACCGGAGAAACGATCGGTGGTCTTCTCAACGCAAGTTTCGGGTAAGTCGATCCCCTGTAGGGCTTGCAGACGACCGCAGCTAACAATCGATAGAAACGCCGTCGAACTGATCGTCGCGATCATCGCGCTGGTCGACAAACAGGTCATCATTGTGCAAACCTCGTTGATCGGAAGTATGCTGTCTAACCTTCTCCTCGTCATGGGGATGTGTTTTTTCTTCGGCGGTGTGAACCGTCTTGAGCAGCACTTCAACCCGGTCGTCGCCCAGACGGCCGCCAGTCTTCTTGCGCTGGCCGTGGCGAGTCTGATCATCCCTACTGCTTTCCACGAGTGGTCTGAAGGTACGTCAAGTTCCTGGATGCATCCATCGCCGCAGAACCCAACTAACACGCAAGTAGCCGGTGACATTGCCGTGGCGCAATTATCTCGAGGTACGTCTCACAAGATGCCCTCCCTCCCATAAATTTCATCCATCGCTCACCATCTCCCAGGAACCAGCGTCATCCTGCTCGTCGTATACGGATGCTATCTCTTCTTCCAGCTGAAGTCCCACACGGAGATTTACAACCGACCCAGCCCGAAGGTCGAAAAGCGTCGACAGAAGGTCGGCGGCGGCGACGCCAGCCGCGGCATCGCGGCGATCGGTAAAATGACCGCGACGATGGCGGGTCAGAACGCGCAGCAGATGGAACTGAAAGATCCCGGCGACGAGCCCGAGGAGCCGCAGCTGAGTATCTTTGTTGCGTTGCTGACGTTGACCATCTCCACGGTGTTGGTTGCGCTCTGTGCGGAGTTCATGGTTTGTTTTCTTCCGACCCTATCCATTGATTGCATCATATAGACAACGCTGACCATGTACCCTGAATAGGTCAATTCTATCGACGCCATCACCGAACGAGGCGGAATCTCCGAAACCTTTGTTGGGTTGATTCTGTTGCCGATCGTAGGCAATGCGGCCGAACACGCGACGGCCGTCACGGTGGCCTGCAAGGATAAAATGGATCTGGCGATCGGAGTCGCCGTGGGATCAAGTATGCAGATTGCGTTGTTGGTGTTGCCGTTGATTATCGTGATTGGGTGGTGCATGGGTAAGTTGATCTCTTGCTGTCTGAGGGCAGCGCGCTGGTTTGTTTTGATAGGCACATATACTGACAATATGCCCTAGGTCTCGATCAAATGGTATAGACTACCTATCATTTCTTATCGGTATGAACTGTGCTGAGTGCTAATCACTTTCTGTAGACATTGTATTTCGACGCATTCCAGGTGATCTTGCTGTTTGTCGCTGTTTTACTGGTATGTATACCTTAGGCAACACTAGGTGTCGAACGAACCAGCTAACAAAAAATAGGTAAACTACCTCATCGCGGACGGAAAGTCGCACTGGCTTGAGGGCGTTCTCTTGATGATGATGTACCTAATAATTGCCGTGGCAGCTTGGTATGTCGTTCCTCACTTTTCCCTTCCCTGCCCTTCCCTATTGAACAGGGCACATATTAACAACGATTAAAATGCAGGTACTATCCTACCAAGGAGGGACAAAAATTAGCATGATCTGGAATTGGAACACATACATACGGTGTACACAATTCCCAAAATCTGCGGCTCATGTGACGATCATTCCCTTCACCCTCTTTTTTTAATCCTGCTTTCTTTCTTTCTTTTCCTCCCTATTTTCCTGTCTACCCTCATCTCACTTCCACCTTCACCTTCATTTATCGACTACACCAAATTTACTATATAATTGGGCTGAACTCAAGATTCTCATGTTTGATTTTCTTTCTCTGTATGATATTAGACTAATTCGCTTATTTCCAACCGCTTCCACTACATTCCATCCAATTGATTACCTTACTTACCTAAGGAATCGAGTCGGGATCGGCCCCGATACGGTAGAAGAAACCCTTCCTACGGTGTACTGTAAGGCACGACCAAACGAAAAATTCAAAAAAGCAAAAAGAAGACAGATGGCAAACTCCGTCCCCGCAGATACCACACGCTGTCACGCACCGAGGCAAGCAATCAGACGGAGAACTCCGTTTGGTTTGGCCCCCGCTGTCAGAAGTCATAGGGAAGGAACCTAGTCTAGGTACCGTAGTCCGGAGTGTCGGTCATCGGGTAAATGTTCAGGACGGGCACGGAGGGGGACGGAAAAAGGGACGAGGGACGGAGGACATGGGGCAGGGGTCCGGGGCTGGGGATGGGGTGACGGGATTTCATGCTCGTTCGGGTTTCTTTTGTCTGTCTTCTAATTTGTTGTGCTATGTGTAACGTATTTATGTACCTACACTGTAGGGGGTAGGTAAGATAGATAGATAGGCATGGTGCCTAAGCCTAGGTAATTCGACACGGAAAGAGTACATGGAACAGACACGGCAGAGTATCGTATCCTCCTCACACGTATGTAGCATCGCTACCAGGTGGCGTGTCAATGAGACGGGAGTCTACATACCACCGCATTCTATTTTACACTTTCCCCTTAAAATAAGCAGATAATAAGTACCTACCTACCCCGTGCCTCGGGCCCTCGGCGCACAACAGTACTTACCTAGGCTTTGCCTCCGCCGAGCAGGCCAAGAAGCGAATTCCTAGGTATGGAGTTTATTGGTGGAATCGCTTCCCCAGGACACGTGGAATGGATGGGGAAGGATCGCAAGGATTGAGTGAGACCATTGTGTCGGTGTGCGCCGTAGAAGACGATTGAATTTAGGCATGAAGGAAGGAAGAAAGGAAGGAAGGAAGGAAGGGAGCTTGGGTATAACACGCCATGTTAATGTCTACGGGCAGGTTGGCGGTTCCCAGGGAGGTAGACAGCTTCATGGTCGGTCCAGTAGGCATCGAGATCGATGATCATGATACCGATTCACGCATTCGGTAGACTACAGGATCATACACCGACCTACTACGAAGGTAATGCAGGACAGCGATCTCATCCTTACGAGCAGAGCAGACACACCCGTAGAAGCTCAATTAAATCAAATTAAATCAACATCGTAAGGTACCATCCGAGCTGACGACCAAACAGACGCACAAGAATAATAATCCTAGCTACTGTACAAATCAGCCGAACGACACAAATTAAAACCCCTACCCCGTCCGAAGTGCGCCTCTAACCCCAGCTCGGGATACATTGGCCCATTTATCCAGAACGCTCGGGTTAAAGGAACGCCGTGGTGACCGATTGACAGATCGGAAATCCACCGTGTTTGCCATTTAGTACTCCGTACAGACATACTCCGTACATAACTACCTACCCAAACTGGTAAAATGATTAGCACGTCAAAGTACTGTACCCACTAGCCAGTCCGGGAGAAAACAAAGAGAAGCTACCTACGGAGCAGTCAACGGAGTAGGGACGGAGAAATACAAATATAACTAACTAGCTAATGTAACCAATATAACATTAAGTGTTAACTAACACTAACACTAACAGAATTACCCAAGCGGCAAACCAGGTGAGGCAAGCCCACCCGCATTTTTTCTCCCCCGGACTCACTCCCAGACGTGCCGTCCGATCGAGTAAAGTGCATCATGCCCGTTAGCGGCTGCTTGCCGTGGTGGGAAATATTCCGGGTTACCTGGACAGTGGACACTACTAGGTACCTTAGGCCGTCTAGCCCGTAGCCCGCTGCCCGTAGGTAGGCGGGCAAAAACGCCGGCCGATTCATTGGCCGTTGGCTCGGGCACTGTCTCTGGCACTGACACCAGAGGGGACTAGGCCGAGTCCTGACGGGAAAGCTGTATGTAGTAAAGTTCACGGTGCTAAGACTAGAGAGGAGAAGGAATAAGGGTGGTGAGCTACCCTGGTTTTCTTCCCCTGGAGGTGCGGAATACACATAAGTAGTATGGTATGTAGGGTCAAGGCAGAATTGGGACAAACCGTCGGACCACATGAAAAGATGAGAGCGTGGCGTGTCGGCCGCAAATGGCCGTGGAGGAGCGAGTCAGAATACGGACAACATCCCGTCGAGGCTTGGCGGGCCAAGAATGGGTGGAGTCGGTCTCGCGTGGGTTACGATGGATCCTCTCTGCTGGAAGCATTTATCCTTTTTTCTTTCTTTCTTTCTTCCTTTTTTTTTTTTTTTCTTGTCTCTCCTTCTGGATTCCTCTTAGACTCGACTCTCCATATTCGTAGGATTTTAATTAGGGTAGATTACCTAGCTAGGGTAAGTGTTTGTTTGGGCTTGTCTGTCTGTCTGTCTGTCTGTCAGTTCGAGGCTCGGAAATCCTACTCCCACAGATGAGTTACTCCGTAATTCACTAAGACAGAGTAGGGTTGGTTGATATCCAGATCACGCCCCCTGGGAACGTGGGGTGACAGTCGCTGGCTCTGGGTTAATTATCTAGTAATACCACCGTAGTAGTATTATTGTGTTTGAATAATATTAACTCGAGCTTATTGGAGTGTAATACCACATGCCCCTTGTCGATAATAATAATCGATCTAAATCGTGTGGTTCGTGGAGGCTCGTGAATGTATCCGTAGTAGACGGAAGTCAATTGACACTGACATCAACCGATGGGAACGAGCCAAAAATCTTCAGTCCACCTGACAACCCTGCGCGTTGTCTTACCCGATGGAGTAATGCCTTCATACTTTTCAATTTTCCTGTTCGTCGGGATGACGATAAGTTCCAAAATCCAACCCCAACTCCAAACCTGCCCCCATGCTCGCCTATCCATCCCGACAGAGAGAAAAAAAGAAGAAAAAAGCTCGGTCGTCCTCCGGAGCCCTCCGAGGCAGTTCCCATTATTCATGGGTACCGTTACTTCCAGACCACCTAATTTTCTAATTTTGCGGGGTCGGTTCGCTTTTTGTGCCTCGGGTGGCGGGTGGAAACCAATCAGCAGCGCCGGTTGAGCCCGAGCAGCGGCCACGGGACAACCGGTTAAAATGCGCGGGGAGTTGCCGGCCTGGGACTGGGAAGAATTCCGATCGACTGTCGGGTCGGGTTCACTCTCTCTCTTTGCCCTTTCTCCCCGTGACCAAAGTCCTGAGTCCTGACACTTTCCCTAGTATCTTTTTCCGACCCTCTCTAGCCTCTGGATTCAGGATGATCCTTGTATTTTCCCGCCCTGTTGGTCGATTGACATCACACCTCAGTACCCTAGTTGGTGACCTGGACCCTAATCTCGGTCGGTCTACGTGAGACTTCGGACAGCGTCCCTCTTAATTTTAATTTTACCTTTTTCGTCTGACATCATACCATCCATCTTGTCTCTAACTCCCTCCCTGATCAGATAATAGTTTCTACACCGTCAGTGGTAGGGGAGGGCAGAGAGAACAACCTGATTCAACAACCACTTGACGTCCCGTGTCGATCGGGATGACAACCCCTGCAGCCCGCAGCCAATCTCTGCTCTCCAAGCATCGGTCTAACAAGACCGCCCAGCCCAGGGCTGATCCGGGTTCTCTTGTTTCCCCGCGGGGAGGGAGTAAAAAGTGCCCGATGCAGGGAGGGAGAAAGTAACCTAGGTAGGAAACGGTAGGGTCAGCGAGCCGGTAGGGGAGAGTTTTACCATTTTTACGGGGAAGGGGGAAAGGTAAAAATTGAAATAGGTAGGAAAGAAAATAAAAAATAAAAACCTAGGCCCAACTTCTGGTTTCCGTTGACGAGACGGACGTATACGGTGTCCCTAGTTGGACTCCCGCTCAATCACGGTCTGGACGGTTGGACGGTCCTAGGAAGGTCATGCTCACACCCGACAGTCCACGAAAAGTGCATCTCGTCGGCGGAGCGTTACCCGAGGTTCGTCAGGCTGGGGAAATTCGGATGCCATTCTCTCATCGTGCAGCTGGCTGGGATCCTGGCCGATTAAATTCAATGTATAATTGACTTTTCTGGGGGTGGGATCTTGTTTGGGGATGTACTCAGTAGGGTGGACGGAGTAAATAGTCAGCCATCGACACGTCTACGGTAGTCGGTCGGTCTTTTCGCGGCGTACTGGGGGCATTTCATGGCGGTGATCCTGTGGTGCGCAGGAATGATTTCATAGGAACTGGTTAGGTAATAAGATCGTTGCGGTCAAGTGACGTTCCACACGGGCTGCTGGTAACCGGCATCCTTTCCTGTCGGTCCACCCGTCGGCAGAAACCAAGCTGGGATCTGGGAAGGGGGGACGGAGTATGTGCGAGCCTTGAGGATTCGAATAATGTTACAAGGGCTGTCTTTCATAGAAGTAGGCAATCATTCTTTTCTTTCATAGAAGAATCACTGACTGCTTACTAGGTAGTAGTAGATGACTCGGTCGGCCTTCCATATCGGCCGTAACGATACCACCTGCGGACGGATCCCCAGTTTGGGGCGTAATTTACCCGACCTTCGACGGAGGAGTTCCTGACCTTGTCCGCAGGGGACGGTTTGGTTCCCAAACCAGCGTCTCGATTCTCTTCCTCGTTCCCGAGTCGACCGATTTAGTCACAATCATAACCAGCATCACCACATCCTCGTCCATGCTACGTCGTATTCCCCGTAGGCCCTGGGATCACATTCATCGGCACTCGGAAGCCACTCCACAGTCCAGAGTTCTCCGGCCGCTCGGTCGCGTCCTTGCATTTGGCATTTGCCCTGCCCTGGCTGGCGCTAACCCGCTTCGGGACTAACCCGGGATCTCCGCAAAATGCGGATGTGCCTGGGAGGCTGGAAGCCTGAAGGCCTGAGAGCCTGGGGGATGAGGCTTCACTGCTTCAGTTACCGGCGCTTCGCTGTTCGGATTGAAAGATGGAACCCCCCAGCAGGAAGAACGAAAAGGAAGTCATTATTCGGCATCGACTGGGAGGGAAAAACCCTCCTCCCTGATTTTTTATGGGGATTTTATGATTGGGTTCCGTCCCCCACCCGAACGGCGTTTGACCTCTCAATCCATTCCTTCTCGTCGCCCTCGTCCAGTCGCGTTGCCGGTCCGGCGCCCCGACTCTGGGCCTGATGGAATTTCGTCGTTTCCCCCACACTCCGCTTATTCCCGCTTCTTCGCCTGGCTTGTCGTCGCTTTCTCCACATCCTTTTGGGCTCCCCTTCTTGCTCTCTTCCGGAGTAGCCTCTTAGTTCTAGTCCTCCTGCTCTTTCCCCATAGCTGTACCCACGTCGCACATTCCCGATCTCCGATGGTTTTATTATTTTATTATTTCTATTTTCTTCCAATAATTTCATTATTTTCGTCCGCCTAGTTCTTATTACTTGATTGTTATTCCTATTTCTCCGTTTCCTCCCTGGCCCCCGTCCTTTTTGCCTTACGTCCCTTTTGCTCGTCTTTTTTTACACCTTTTTCTTTTTTTCTTTTTTCTTTTTGATTTGTTTTATGTTGGTTTTTTAATTGTCAACTACTATTATTATTATCCTTCGTATTCTTTTTTCCTTCCCCTCCCCTTCCCTTTCCCCCCCCTTTTACCCCGGTTTATTTTCCCCAAACTCTCTCGGCTTCTCTCTCGTCTGCTCGCGCTCCTTACTGTACGCACCTGCAGGAGACACAAGAACCGAAACGAGTCCTCGGACTCTGCATGACCCCGTGCCCTTGTCGTACTGCACGCGAAGTCTCTCCAGGCGCTTCCTCCGGGCAAGGTCGGCCCTTTACTATCTCGTCTCGCCCCCCCTTTCCCTGAAGCCACTACGACGACGACACTTGGCCGGAATCCCGGGGAAATATTACCGGAGAAAATACCGCGGGTGGAAAAGCAAACTCACGGGAATCGGTCATTTGCGGCTGCTTCGTCCCTCCCCCTTCCCCCTTCCCTCTCTCCTCTCCTCTCCTCTCCTCTCCTCCCTCTTCCTCCCCGTTGTTCTGTCCGTCTTCCATACTCCCACTTTGGCCTTTTCCTTCTTTCCTTTCCCCTCCGCCTCTATCGTCTACCTGATTCGCCGTTCGGTACCCTCGTTCCTAATCGACTGGAGAGACGGGCCCCCCGTCTCTCGCGCCCGTGTCTTCCCGTCAACATGCGATCGAGTATCGCCTGCGCTCGCTGCCGGCGCAGCAAGATTAAATGCGTCAATTCCGGCATCGATACCACCTGCCGCGCCTGTGAATCTTCCGGCCGTGAATGCGTCTATCCTACTCCGGCCGTCGGCGTCGGGGGAGGCTCCGCCAAACGGGACATCGCTACTATGGGGGATGGTGAGGATCGCAATGGTGACTGGGATAGCCCGAAGAGACATCGGTCCCGGAAGGCCGTCGGAGTTTCCTCCTCCGCGGCCAAGGATGCAGCCAAGGCCTCCCTCGATGCGCTGGATGCCTCCGTCCTCACCGTCAAGGTGTGGGAGGCCGTCTTCGACCTCTTTCAGTCCCACTATGCGACCCTTCTACCTTTCCTGCACCCCGCCACGTTCATGAACCAGATTCGACAACTCTCACAAGCCGCCTCGGCCTCCTCCACCCATCCCTCCTCAACTACTACCGCTACAATCACTGTCCCCGGTGCCTTACCGCCCTCAACACTCTCCGATCATACCCGCGATGCCGCTCAAAGTCCGCCGGTCCCGAAGCCGGAGCCGAATCCCTTGATCCCTCTGGGTGTCCTTGCCCTCACCGCTCGCTTCCACCCCCAACTCGTCGCTTTCCACTCGCCTTCCTCATCGGGGCATCCATCCAACCCTCTCGCTGCGTCCGAATTCTATGCGACAGCGTTGCGCAGCCGGCTGGCCGGCATCGATGGCGCCAGTCTAGCCGTGCCAGATCTGACTCGCGTCCAAGCGCTGCTAATATTAGCTCTGCACGAATGGGGCATGTGCCGGGGAAAGAGTGCGTGGCTATATGTGGGCATGGCCATTCGTTTGTCGCAGGCCATGGGTCTGCCATTTGAGCTGGAGAATGACGTGTTCGCCCGTGAGACGCCCCGATCACCCGCCCTCAAGGCCGAAGCCGAGCTCTTCGGCGTGGCTCGACGACCGACGGAGCCCAAGGAGCAGACGTCGGACGACATCATTGCGCAAGAGACCAAGCGTCGCACATTCTGGGCGTGCTTTCTGTTAGACCGTTGCCTGAGCAGCGGCAAGTATCGGCCGCGGATGATCCGTGTCAAAGAGCTTGCCATCCAGCTACCGAGTGACAATGCTTTTGCTTTTGGTGAGCGCGTGCGCACTTCGCGCCTCAGCGAACCGGTTGTGCGTCGTCCGCAAAGCTTTGGCGCGCAGGGCGTTCAGATTCCCAGCATCCGTCAGAGCTTGGGTGGTTTCAGCGACGATAAGTTACCGAACAACGGACCCCAAGACGCAAAGTCGTGGTCCCCTATTTCTCGACGGAAGGACTCGAGTGAAGATGAAATCGACAGATGGGAGATTGGGGCTGAAGAGTCGGTGTTGAGCCGTGTTATCCGAGTCATTCGCATTTGGGGGAGCATCGCCAAGTGGTCCTGCGCTGGTGGGAGGCGGTATGATTAATCCTCTGCCCTAATGTACTTGATATTTCCAACTAACAAAAGGCAGAACTGAACAACTTCCGCCATGGCATCCGGAGTCGCGCTTTCATAAGCTGCGGTTGATGCTAGGTGAGTTCCAGGATGGCCTCTCCCGCAATCTGCAATATTCGCCACGCAACACCGACACACACATCATGTACAAAAACACACTCGCGTCGTACACCGTTATGCATGTGGTCTATTTCTTATCGGTCATTGTTCTTCACCGCGCTTATGTTCCCTTTCTTCCTGTGCGGTGTTCGGAGCCCGTCGGTCCTCTTGACGAACCGCTCTTCCACGCCGAAAAGTCCCCCATGGATGGCTTTTGGCGGGAAAGCGCCCGAGAACTCTTCGCGGCGGCTCGGCAAATGATGGACCTTGTATCCACCTGTCAAGACCGGGGAGTGCTGGTGGAGAACCCGCTGGTGGGCTTTGCCGTCTACAATGCCGCCTTTGTAGGTGTCTACGCGACTCATTTCCCACACATGGACTTGGAGGGCGTCCTCGCCCCCAAGCCGACGTCACCCGGCGATCGAAATCATCAGGGTCAGGCCCAAGCTCGCAAGGCTCTCGATGTTCTGCGTGACATGCGAACACGCCTTAAAATGGCTCGCGGTTGGTTCCGCACACTGAATCGACTACATAGCTACTTTTCCAAAGTCAAACGGGACGTCCGTCGACACTCCCGCAGGCTGGACATGATGCCAGAACTTGTGGACGGACATGTGAACGGCGTTCGACCCGTTCGCGATGGTGGCGCCGGTGGTGGGCTGGAAGAGTTTAAGCTCCTTGAGAAGCTATTTTTGGACTTTGGATCTATCGAGGATCAGTTGCCAGATGGAGTTGCGGAAGAGGATGCGGCAGCCTTCGCTAGTGACCGAGCCACCAATCTCAGCGATGCAGGTAGCAACGCCGTTCGCAGCGAAACGGGTGAGGCGGGAGAGCCGTCGCTGGACGGGGCCGGTGGACGCCGTGAGTCCTGGATTCCTGTCAACAGTCCCGGCATGCCATTGCCCGGTCCGGATGGCGAACGACGACCCAGCTTGCCTCTACCACCTGGTCGGTCCCTACAATCCCAGTCTCCATTCTCTCTTCCCGCGTTGCAAAACCATCCCGAGGGTGGTATCTACAACAACCCGTCCCCGACTCTTCCGTCAATCGGTCCAGCCGGATCGTATCCTCCAACCACCGCGGGGGCCCCAGCCCCGGCTCAATATGGCAGTGCAGTACCACCGCCGACAAATCGTCTTCAGCCTATCAACTCGTGGCTGCCGTCCCGGCCGCAACCGCCACCTCCGTATTCCCAATCGCTGCCTCCTATCAACCCGGCAGGCTCGCACGGCCTGCCCCTGCTGCCCCCTCCGGGAGCAGTGGGACATCCGGGAGCATCCCCACCGGTCACTGTGGATGGTCTCGAGAGTGTCACCTCCAACGTAATGTGGTCTACTAGTCTCGGCGGAGACGATGTGCTAGCATTCTTGGACGGGTGTGAGTACGACCAATTGGCCGGAATGGTGCCATCCGAGGTTGGCATTCCAGCGGGATGGCTTAGCACCGTCTGGGCTGAATTCGCCCGTTAATTTTACCTCAACTCTATCGTTTCCTTTGTTTATTCCTACTGCTCTCCTTGTTCGTTATCTCTGTCTATCAACCTGATATGACACCTGATCCTGCACACCTTTTGTCTGTACCATTATCTTTCTCTCTTCTTTTTTTGCGTGTTATGTACTGTATGAATATGTATGCCGCCGACGGCGGCCTCACGACGATCATACGAACGGATGGGCAAAAAAACAAGGGGTGGTTTGTCCCGGGGCACCCGGAGGCCGGGACTGATTTGATTTGACTTGTTTCTACTTTTCTGACTGGTTTCCTGGGCGCAAGCGACGGCTGAAAGGGTCTGGACTTGATGATTTATTTCTCTATGGGTCTGCTTTGTTTAGTTTGAGCGCGGCGTTTGGATGGTTTCATTGACATGGCTGTTTTGATGGATGGATGGACGGTCTTGATTTGTTTTTCACTTCACTTGACTGTCCGATGAGAATACCTAGTTACGACCTTGCATGCATTGCATTACTTTCTTTTCTCCTATCTTTGATGGTTCCGGTTCCAATTAGTCTGACCTTGTTGGCGTTCGATGTGTTCGAGTCTGGGCAAAATCGTTTGTTGTATAGTTTATCTGACGAGGTTGGTATCCTCGAGTGTCTTTTCGGTTATCGCGATCGAAATTGAATCGGTGAGCCGCAAGGACCATTGAGAAGGCTTAATTTTCCGATCTATATGATCTTCATGAAGTCTAAATTAGGCTCGATCAGTAACGTAGCTCGAGTACACTTGGGGTAATGGAAACGCTAATCCATACATAATTTCCAGGCCCTATCTAAAGATATACCTCCAGGGCTCACAGAGAAAACTACGAAACTTGGGATGTTTAGCAGTTGGACATACTTGTCACATATTTTAGCCTAGATTGAAACAAAAGAAACAATCATGGAGTCTACGGTATGTATTTATCTATGCTATTCAAGGGACAAGAAGTAGATCGTCCTCTCCGATGATGTCAATGCTGACATCCCAACTAGGCATAGCGCTATACCCAGGCACATGATCGGTAATACCAATACACCTGATCTTCCGGGCATTTTTTTGACGCCGCAAATCATCCGTCCATACATGTCACTACAGGTGAAATTATATTCTTTCTATTCAATCCCTTCTCCCATATCTCACAAGAAACACCCAATCGCATGGTCTATCCATCTTATATAAATTAAGCCCCTACTCTTCTTTCCTTCCCTCCCCGGCATGCCCGAAAACCACCCCGAAAATGCCCACTATCCCTACGACACTAACCGCGTTCGCGAACTACTGAAGAGCCATCGCAAAACACGCGGCTTCCGCTCTTGTTTCCCGTGTCGCCATCGCAAGGTCCGTTGTGATGGACTCGTGCCTTGTTCGAGCTGCGTGAAGCGCGGACATCGGGAATTGTGCCGTTTGCCGACGGAGGAGAGAGGGTGGGTTGTTGGACTGGTTGGGACGGGCACGGCCTCGAGTGAGGGGTCGGGCTCGGGGACTGGTAGTTGGGGTGGTGGGTTGGATTTGGATGTGATGTATGATCTGGTGTTTCCTGGCTCTAATATCTCACCTTGGGTTACTGTTTATCTAGTATCTGCCCAGGCTTGGGTATGTATGTGACGTTCTGGCACTAACCGATGCTATAGAACACACTCGATCGAGGAATCTCAATCACAAGCCCAACAGCCCTCAACAGACCCAAGCCTAGTCATCTCTTGACTCGAGAAAATCGAAGAACAGATATCCGCCTTGAAGGCGGATCTTCGCGCCTCATCGGCATCCGCGCCGCCATTGCAGAGTCCCTCGGGTCACGAGCCACCAAGAACCGTAAACCAACCCGGTCTCTTGCACTCCCGACCACCCAGTAAATCACCCGGTCGGTACTGCGTTGAGGATGCTACCGGCGCGACTCTATCTGGGCAGTCATTCGGACACTCCGTTGGCGCTGGGATGTCGACAGGCGTCCGAGAGGGGAGACGATTTTATGCTGAATGAGCTCATGGCAAATCAATTCGTGCCGCGCGCGTATTCGTTCACTAGCTTCTGGTCAGGTCGTCACAGTCATATCTACACCGTATCCAGGCTCGGGAAGATGCAGTCTGCCAAGGATGTGGGTCACCAAAGGAAACAGTGAGACATCTTTTCTTCGAATATCGACAGTGGCGCCATCAAAGAAGCAGACTCTACAGGGATCTGGAGGGAGCAGGAGTGCCAAGACCCACCGCTGCAGAGGACTGTCCCGAAGGAAGACTCCTAGGAGAACCCAAAGCTACGGGAGCTCTGTTAGAGTTCCTGACCAGCACTGGGCTCGCTCTTCCTCAAGGACACCTAGGAAAAGACGCGGAAAGAGCCCGAAAAGACGATGAATGGGGCCTACGAGCACTAGAGGAAGCAGAGAGAACAGGAGAAGGATAGCAGGAAGGGCGGCCTAAGCTGGCCAGGCTAGCCTAGGCTAAAAACCCATCCCGGTCTGACAGTACAAGGAGAGCACTCCGTGGAGGCTCGAAAGCCCTGCGCATATAAGCGGTTTGGGGCGAGGAAAAGGATCAGAATGTTTATAGATGTGGACAGGTTCCAGGAAAACATCGAAGCAAGAGATCGTGGAATAGCCACGACACTCAAGCTCATAGAATATGGTCTGTCATAGCATTAGGGCTGGGTATGGACAATAAATTTGATTAAATAATAATAATAATTCCAGGCAACAACGGGCCCCTAGTAGACACAGCAACCCCTTAGTGCATCTAGACCTATGCCATGAATCTACAAGGTACTATATCACTTCATGCCTACTCCTTGAAACCTTTTGGACATGAGATACTCATAGTCTGGGATGGCATGTTCCACGCAGTCAGAGATGATGCCTGCCAAATCGCAGCCAAATTCTGCCACCCATTTTCGTTTCTCTTCTTCAATATCGATTTTCTCCGGCGCTTTCTCTTTAATTACTCCTGTTGATTGATTCGCGACGCGGCAGAATATTTCGCGCATAATCAGCGTGTCTTCCGGAAAAGACGTTGTATTCCATGTCGTCTGCACCTTCGATGGGTCTAAACCAAGCTCCTTGGCCAGCTGGGGCACAAGACCGGGGTTATGAACTATATCGCTACCACTGACAATGATGGGATCCATCAAGCGATCGTGACTCCCGTTTTCTCTGATAAGCGCCATATTCCAATCATATAGTACGCGCGTGTATGAATATGTTAGGAGGGACCGCATCAGTTCTCCCTTCCAATTGCCCGGGTCCAAGAGCTGGAGTTCCAAGCTTCCCCGACAGGCCGAAGCAAATGCCAGTGCTGGATGTCGAACACAGAAAATAAGCCGCGATGATGCAAGAAAATCGACCGGGAGCACCGTTGGGTTTGTTGATGTGACTTGACTGGCTGGGGGCAATTGCTGATCGTAGGAGTCAGGAGCTATGCCGTGGAATACGCCGTGATCACCGGGGGCTTTGGCATCCGGACGCCATATCCATCCGGCGTGGTCCTTATGGAAGAAAATTTTGTTTTGGCTCTCTGCGGTAGCACTGGCGAATAGTAGGCTGTCAACACAGACTCGGAAGCTCTCCATAACCCGGCTTTTCTCACTATCGGTCCAATTGCCAAATTGCTTTTGGCCGAGGCCTAGCTGCTCAGTGAGTAGAGCGACGTCGCGACATGTCTTTGCCAGAGGATCGAAGTGAACGTCTGGCTGGTGCTCTAGTCCCAGCATCTTGCATAGAAGGGTTGAGCCGGTACGCTGTTGCGCCAGGAGGAGGATGCGGGATGGAGAACCCGACCTAGACTGGCAATCTCCCATTTAGAAAGCAGCTAAATGGTTTTAGAGTAGGATGGTAGTAATTAATGAATAACCAAGTTTGTTTGGGCAACAAGAACAACGATAATGGGAGAACTATTAGACAGCGTGAGCCAGTGTGGCATGTGAGGAATGTTGCATATAAATACTGTGGTTGAAAAAATTGTCATTGACAACGGAGCACGATCACCTTCGTGATCTCGAACCTGTATGCCAATGTGGATGAAAATGTCGGTCAGTGTGCCAACGCACGACAAGTATCACTCCTCCCTACGTACATATCTGTGCCTCCCTTGCATACAACGGGTTCGCGTTCGCGATAGGTCACATTCGGATTTACAAATTCCAGCGCCATAGCGTCTCCCACTAGCACCCACTGCCTTTGGTAAGTGGATACGCCATACTGTGCTGCCAATCCACATACGTACTTGATTTTCTAGCCAGGCCGACAGCTTCCCCTTTCCGTTTTAGTGCTCACTCGCCGCTTTTTGCTCAATGAGTAGACCTGAGCACGCCCTGAACACGCCCTGAGCGGCCTGAGGGGATCACTGAGTACGGAGTGAGCGAAAAAGGGACTACAGTTGGCGAGAGGGATGGAAAGCCAAGGGCCAATTACCATACTACTCGACTCCCAAGCAGCTATTCGCAGGCTACAACATGCAGGACCTGGACCAGGTCAGGCAATAGCTACTGATATACGCACTGCCGCTCAGGGCCTGCTATCTAGTGGCCGTGATCCGATAATTCAATGGGTCCCAGGACATGCAGGTATAGAAGGAAACGAAATGGCAGATCAAGCAGCAAAACAAGCCGCAACGCGAACACCGGGACCAGGCTGCAGAGAGATCTCGCAAGCATTTACTCGCAGAACCCATACAGAGGCGTTAAGAACAAACAGACAACACTAGCTAGAGAATAGTCTTAACCGGAGATCACAATCGACACAGAGAGCCTATAAATCTGGAAGAGGCTGGCAACTGAATCCTATAGCAGCAACAGCTACTAAGGGCCTAGCTAGCCGATACTTCCAGATGAAGGTAGGATATGCAGCTATCGGATCATACCTACACCGCATAAAATCTCGGGAAAGAGCGACCTGCCAAAACTGCCAAGCTCCTAGGGAGACAGTCTCTCACATACTAGTCAGCTGCAGGCAATTGCGAGGGCAACGAGAGGTGCTATATACAGCTCTAGATAGAGCGGGAATAGCAAGGCCTTCTGTACAAGAAAATCACCCGGAAAGCAGGCTCTTCAAGGAGCCTAAAGCCACTAAAGCCCTACTGGACTTTATAGCTAATACAGGCGTGGCTCTTTCTAGAGAACAACACCAGAAGGACCAACACAGGGCAGAGAGAAATGATGAAAGAGGCCTAGAAACTCTAGAGGAAGCTGAATGGACCGGAGAAGGCTAACAGGAAGGGTGGCCTGGTCACATCTAGGCGTCACCCACCCTGCTAGAATCCCAAGGAGAGCAAACATGCTCAAAGGCCCTGCGCAAGAAGGCGGTATGGGGCGAGGAAAAGGAACAGAATGTATGCAAACAAGGAAATAGCCCTAGGAACTGATAGAGGCCTGAGGCCTAGCCTCAGGCCGACGACACACGGTCTGTCATAGCCCTAGGGGCTCGGTATGGACAATAAACTTGATTAAATAATAATAATAATGTTTGGCTCGCATTACTCTTGTGTCGTTGTCATAATAATGTTAGATTGAGAAATTTCGGAGAGTACAAAGACTGTGGCATTCGCGTATCTATCAAGCAACTAAAACTGGTGCAGGCTGCGAGGGGCTGATGGATCTCTATAGAGGGAATTTCCGAGCGTGTTGAGGGATGAAATATGTCAAGATACCATATAGTCGTTCCTGGTACTACTGCGTTCCTTCACGACCGAGAAATTGTTGTCTCAAAATCTTCCGGCTCGCGTCCCAATAACTCTCCGAGCAGGTGTGAAACGAAAGCCCCTTCTCCACGACGGAAAGCTTCAAAGGTAGTCGCCCACACCTTCGAATGATCAACTCCATGATAGGTCATATTCGATGTCATCTGGGGCTGTTTGGCAAACTCGTCCACAGAAACCTGGTGGATATGCACAGGGCGCTTGGCAATCTTTCCCAAGATAGCGACAGTCTCGCCCAGCGTCAGGGTCTTAGATCCCGATAGCAGAACCTTCTGATTTCTGTACTTGAACCCTGCTTGATCCTGTACAAATCTCTTCACAAGCTCCGCCGTACCCTCTCCAAGCTCCTCGCGCTTGACCCACGCAATTCCCGGGCCGGATCCATCGTGTGGAATTTTGATTTCATCCACAGGGTGCTTGAGATCAAAGAAAGCCGTATAGAGTGGGTAAGACTCGGAATAGAGACCCTCACGAATTACAGTGTATGCAAAGCCCGCGTGCTGGCGGGTACATTCGTCGAGGTATCCCTCAGTGTCCAAATGCGCCTGCATGACATGGGCCACGGACTCGTTGTTATCTGGATTGCCACCATATCCCAAAGAGCCGTAGAAGATATACTTCACCCCGCTCCGGATCGCCAGGTCAATCGCAAGACGTTGGCGCTAGATAGACCAATAAATGATGTTAGCCTGCTCCTTAGCACTTTTTTTTAGTCCCATGCAGATCTCACCTCAGATCGGTGCTCATGCTCCACCGACGCATATGATATCAGAAATAGCGTATCCAATCCATCAAATGCTTGTTCAAGGCTCTGGTCGTCATCGTAGTCTGCACGGCGCAAGACTGCTTCTCCGACGGGAAGAGATTTGAGCTTTTCTGGGCTTCGAGCGATGAAGACTAAGCTCGACGACGGAAAGCGCGACAAGAGATGCTTTGCAGTACCTCCGCCAATTCCTCCCGATGCAGGAAACACTCCGACGGTATGGTTCGGCATTTTAATAGAAGATGTTGGGTTAGCGTTTGATTGAAGATAAGGCAGATAATTGATGGTTCTGCTGCTGAAATCGTCTACTTTTAAATGCTTATCGGCCTAGACCCAGGCCGGTTCGGAGTCTTTGTTGATGAATTTGTCATCGTTATTGTAATCAACCCAGGGAATGGATCCGAATGGATCTACATAGATCTGAACGGATCTGAAGAAACTTCATAATGATGCTATGGCGCCGAAGTCTCCGGCCCTCCACACCGCTTCTTATCTCCTTCGCTGTTTCTGCCATACTAAGTCGCATGAACTTAATCTTCGTTGTAGATTTATGGTATAGACACTAGAAAGAAGGAATATATTACTGGAAATAAATACAGAGACAAAAGAGAGCATAACGGACAGAGACGGTGTGTACATACCGATGCCTGACGATATGAGCATAGCCAAACCGGCACCATCTATATGGTCCATCAATAAATTATACTATGCTACGCATCTAAGCGCGTTTTCACTAGACTTCTAAGTAGGAACCTCCCACTTTTACAGCTTGGTTAATAATGTGAATCATCATTCATCAACGACCGAGATATTTTATGATGTATGAATGACCAATACGATGACGGAACGGTGACATGTTTCTCCGGCTGCCCATTGTTGCCAGCAGAAGTCGCCGAGGAAGACGGTTTCCTAGATTATATCGGTCCGGGTCCGGTGGACACCATACTCGGAATCGATGTTGCCCCACTACGCCTCCTCGGTAAACAAATGATCTTCAAGTATGGACCCCTGTATTAAACTTCCCCTATGATGTAAACGCGGAGACATTTGGATGGAAAGCTTGGCGGCGAAATCTCAATGTGGATTGGTTTTGGATTAGAAACCAAAACGAAATAGAACTTTTTCTTCGACGTTGCCATGAATTGACAGACTATGCTTAGTCAGACGACCGATCTGAACCCAGGCCCCTGTCCCGTGTCAATATATGTGGGAAGCGATGGATGTCTTGTGTATTAGGTGGCCGGTGTGGCCACTTATCTCAGTAACGTATTTCACTACCGAGCCGCCACACCGCGTTTTGACCGCGGTCGAAAACCTCGCTCAATAAAAGCGAAAGTTCAGGAAAAGGTTAGCTGGCAGGAGGAACTTGAAGGATACCTGAACCTTCGTATGTTTATAATCCGATAGTTGATCAGGCTATATGATCTATATACTAATGATTTCAGGAACCGATGAAGATGACCCATGTCAGTTCTGGGGGCTCAACGAGAGTCGATTTCCAACTCTCGCAGCGCTAGCACGGGATATTTTCTCTATTCCTGCTACAGGGGCAGAGGTAGAACGCTTGTTTAGCTCTGCTCGTGATATCTGTCATTACCGACGCGGATCCCTCAATGCAATAACTATTTAGGATCTTATGATACTCCGCTGTATGACACAGTTCGATATGGAACATGCAGAGGCTACGATATTCACGCAAAGTGAGGATTTAAACGAGAGAATGGAGGCTGACGAAGAGGCGGAGGCACAGCTTGATAACTATAAAGCAATCGTCATTAGTGGCCATGAAGAGGAAGAGGAAGAGGAGCAATTTGATGATACTTTGCAGCCCGAAAATTATGCTGGCAGTGCTGATGATGACTTGGATGAACTCCCACTTCCAGTTAATTCAACTCTTTAAATCGCTAGCCAGCGCCCACATCGAGAGCGAAAGCGGCGAAGGGATGACGATGAATGTATATATTCGAAGAGGAGTAGACAGATAAAGAGCTTCAAATAGAATGAACTATAAACCATAATCTATTAGCATCTTGATTTTCAAACATTCGGAGTATGGATTTCTAATGTAAACAAAATACACAAAAATACAGGACTTTTCCACATAACTTATGCAATTCACGAGTTTCGTGGTGTTTGCACTATTTACAGTACTGCAGTTCTACTGTCGCAGTACGCAGTACCGAACCAGGCCCTTTAGTACTGCCGTACTTGTCAAGGCCTATCGGAGATGATGATGGTGGAGTTCCTATTGGTTGGCTGTTCCGAGTACAGGTTATCGGAACGGGACTTGGGACTTTCAAGCTGCTCCGACACGTAAAGTGACCAAACTTCTTAGAGAGCTAATAAACCGTGAAACAATCTCGTATCGATTGTTGTCTTAATATGCCGCATAACAGCCATTCATTCCTAAGGCTCGTTCTCTGCAGTACCATCCTGCCGGAGGTTTTTTTTTTTTGGCTCCACAGTCCCGATACTAATTAGCCGGTGCGTCAGTGTCGGCATCCCGACCTTCTCTCGGCTTTCGTCATAATGCCGGGACTCTGGTAGATCCTACTAATTAAATACTAAATTTGATTCTGAATCGGCCGCATTACCTTGGGCTTACCTAGGGCTTCAACGGTACGGAGGGAATACTAGGCCGTGTCAGTCTATCTACTGTTTAAGTTCCAAATTAAATACAACATAGACCAATGACATGTAAATTCGTTCGTCTCGCCGCTCAAATAACATAAACCCGGATTGACGGTCTCTTTACTATGAGCCCGCGATTGAGGCTCCGTGAGTAGAGGTAATCTATGGATTCCCATTTTCATGAGAATGCATCAGGCGATGACCCGCATGGTCAGTGGCTTAATTTGCACAAGAAATGTTCTACTGTCAACTTTCCGACAAAGGCCTGCGCTGATGAGGAGTAATTTCGAGTGATACGGTTAGCCTCAAGGAAGGCTACACTCGTTCGTAATAAGTATCGATAACACTGTCAGTGGAAGTGTACATATTGACATCATCGCCTGTAGGCGCATGGCATAATCGCCCTAAATTCTGACTCTGGGAGACGATGTTGGTTACATACACGTCGCTAGCGCCTTCCAGTTGTATATGATGATAAAGAATTTTTGGAGTTACTCACATTTTGGAACTTCTCGTTATGAACTTTTCAAGACATGCTCATGTAATGAGGCTTCCTTCCAAGTTCTTAAAGACTTATATCTTCCCACCCAATCAATGTTCTGCTCTTCTCTCGATCCAAAAAGTTGTCTTCATCCAAGTAAACTTTTCGTAATATTCCTGACTCGCGAACACCGCCTCCAAATCTTCTATGTTCTTTGCCCAGAACTCCGCACCTCCATCAAATTCGTCCGTTCGAGAAACCGACGGCATATGAAAATTTCTCAACCTTGCCGAGCTTACAAGGTCCAGTAAAGAATAAAACTAGTTGCATCATTAGTATCGTAGGACAATTCCAAGGATGAGCAACATTGAGAGCATTGCCTGCATTAACCAGGGACATACTCTTTGGTACTTGACAAGATGATCTTTAACCAGAGAGACGGAATTCCTCTGCAGACATTCCTTCCTTGCGCTTCATCAATAGCGTCATACGAAGAAGTTGGGGCATGGTGAGGGACGATTCAAAAAAGTACGATTATGAGCGAAGTGGATCGAGACTGGACGTAGAATCTCGAGAGTTCAGCAATTCGTCTCTTTATATACCCTACCTTTCATCTCAATGGCCATTGGTTTCCCCGTAAGCGCCCCCCGCGAATGTCCTACGTCATCAAATGATTGGTATCCTTTCCTATGTACAGTGAATTATCCCCGTGGAAATGGCGTCATTAACTAAATTCGACACCTAGAATACACTATGCTCAGTAAGCACCAAAGCTTCTGATAAGTGCCATGTTCTAAATATTCGTCCACCAGTGGGGGGTCAGAGACTTCAGCGCTGCCACACTGTCCACTGAGTCAACCTGATCGGTAATGTAAATCAGCGCTCAACGGCAACCAAAGTATTGTTACGAGTGTGGCCAGTGAGAACATCGTATGGTAAAATTTTCCTCCGACTGCCTGGGTCGCCAGCAGAAGTCGCCGAGGAAGATGAAAGATGGTTTGCTAGATGGTTGTGGTTTTCAATTCTCAGGTCCGAGTCCACCGGACTCGGAATCGATAACACCCCACTATTTGCATTGTTTGCCAATTTTACCTTCGCAACAATCCAATGAGGTTCTTCGTGACAAGCTTCCTCGTATAATGTAAATGTGGAGACAAAAGAAGCCCATATCCTCGGAGAGATTTTGGTGGAAAGTTCTGAACTTTGAGTGTAGTCCTCATGGCTTAGAAATACAACAAGATGAAAACAGACTATAAATGAAATGTTGGTAAACTAAGGTTGCAGATTCGCAAACTATTGCAACTGCAACAGGAAACTCAACACGTTTTTGCCGTCATTCAAGATGCTTTCCCGCTACGCAAACGCTGACGAAAGTGCAATCGTTGAAATAGCCAACGAGCCAGCCAGTAGTGTAGGTACCCGCCTGAACTCAGCATTATTAAGGTCTTAGCGTAAATCTGACTTTCATCAGGTATCATTTTTTACCCCGAAGCAAGACCCGCCCGCCGGCACAGCTGTCTCGCCGGCGCCGAATGACCCAAATTTGCCCAAGCTCTTTGCTCCTTTGCTCATCAGAGGTCTCAAGCTTCAAAACCGCATTCTGGTGAGTTGCCCTTACAGGTTCGCGCATCAACAATGACTGACAACAAAAGCTCTCTCCCCTCTGCCAATATTCGGCTGCGGATGGACACCTTAACGACTGGCACTTTGCGCATCTGGGCGGGATCATCTCACGTGGACCAGGTCTCTCCTTCGTGGAGGCTACTGCGGTCACTCCCAATGGTCGAATTACACCGGAGGACTCTGGCCTCTGGAAAGATTCTCAGATCGAACCATTAAAGAGGATCGTGGAGTTTGCTCACAGCCAGGGCCAGCTCGTTGGTATTCAACTCGCACATGCTGGACGCAAAGCAAGCACTGTTGCACCTTGGCTGAGCATGGCTCGTGGTCCAGGGGCACCTTTGAAATCGGTAGGCCTTATGCTGACGCTGTAAGAATCGCACCATAACTAATGATTCACTCAAGGTCAATGGCTACGAGAATGAGGGATTTACACCAGTACGAAGGCACTTACCACCACAGTTGAGATTCACCGATCGCTAATATCCCTTAACAGCGGTACGGCTGGCCTGATGATGTAGCTGCCCCGAGCGCTATCGCCTATAAAGAAAAGAACATCATTCCTCGGGAGATGTCTCACGGCGAGATTCAATCTTTCGTAGTGTCCTGGGGCGAAGCTGTGAAAAGAGCGGTTCGAGCCGGGTTTGATGTACTTCACCAGAGTCGTTAATTGTGTACTCAGAGCTGACTAAACCATTAATAGGCCATCGAGATCCACGGCGCGCACGGATATCTTGTCCACGAATTCCTGTCCCCAGTCTCAAACAAACGGACTGATGAATATGGCGGAAGCTTCGAGAACCGAATTCGGTTCGCGCTCCAGCTTGTTGATGTTTCTCGGCAAAACATGCCCGAGAAGATGCCTCTTTTTTTCCGTGTCAGCGGCACGGAGTGGCTGGAACATCTGCAAAATGAGCCTAGCTGGGACGTCACCTCAACCATTCAACTTGCGGAGATCTTGGCGAGCCGCGGTGTGGATGTCCTCGATGTTTCCAGCGGAGGTAACGATCCCAGACAGAAAATAATTGGCGGACCAGGATATCAAGCCCCCGCCGCTCTCCAAGTTAAGAAGAAATTGGGCGACCGTCTTCTTGTGGGAACAGTCGGAGCAATTACTTCCGGTCCCCAGGCCAATAACCTCTTGAAGGATGGCCTTGATATGGTTTTTGTTGGACGGATGTTCCAGAAGAACCCCGGACTGGTCTGGACCTTTGCGGATGACCTCGATGTTGATATGAAGTCAGCCAATCAGATCCACTGGGGCTTCGCTGGACGTCGTCGGAAGTGATTGCATAGCTCGCAAAAATAGCCAGTAACAGGTTTTAGTGTTGATGTGTAGATAGGATTAAAACCATAGAAATACTTGAGGAATCATTACACACCTGCGTTAGTCTGTAAAGCAAGTTTTGGAAAGATTCCATCACTACTTGGAGGTCGCCCGTCCTAGACTTGCTGAATTTAAATCACTGAATACCCGCCGGCGTGCCTGTGACTATTGTCGTAGACGAAAGCAGGCACATACTTCAATAGCTGACTTCTGCAAGTTTGGACTCAATCTTCTTGTGATTTAGTCACGCATCTAGTACAATTCATGAGACCTCATCGAGTGAACTTTACTCTAGACTTTTAACAATACAGAATATAGTAGCTCATGACTATAGCCGATTCATCCAGGGAAATCATTTCGTTACATTACGTTACATTTCTACTTGTAGTCTTGAGGTGTTACATGGCTCAATAGAAAATAAGCAGAACAAGACGTCTCAATGCACAATGACAAGATTATACATGAGTATACACGTTGTCAGCTTGGAATTGAGACAATCGACCCATCCCCAGCAAACAACCAACGCAGGGGCGACTCTTGACTTGCTCACATTCCAGTATAGTCTTTGGCAGTCAAATCACTCGTATACAGAACTCAAGACCAATATGACCTATATCTTGCTCTGGTGTACATTGTCGAAATGTCAAGTACATCTTCACTTGAATGACTGCTCCGGCGCAGAGATCGCCCCACTTTCTGGCCCTTTGTAGTTTTGTTGTTGTGCTCTTTGGCCACTTTCTTGAGCTTAGTCTCGACGATCGCCAATCGACCAAAGACGTCGGCCAGATCGTTGCAGACTTTTTCATTGCAGGTGCTTGGGTCATCCGATGAGCTCTCAATGGACCTGTACAGAAGATGAGCGCTTTAGAAAGTTGAACCACAGCTGACTTCCTTCGGGTATCTATCATCAATCAATCAATCAATCAATCAATATTCTATTAACATGGTAGAGCCTATCTATTGAAACGACAGGCTATGCAGGCGCTTCGCCGAATGAAGCAGAATCTCGAGCCCTTACGCCATATAAACCCACAAACGCAATAGATAAATCATAAAGCAACGCAACTAAACCGCCTGCCGCTCGCCTGCCGCAGCTCACTACGTCTCCTGACGCTGTCTCTCCTTCCGCCTCGTTCTATATAGGTGGTTCGTGAGTGGTATGTGATGAGCGTCGGCTTTGAAAGTGCTAGGGAATCGGATGGAAACGCTTGATTATCTCTAATACTACAACTGCAGAGGTTCTAGAAATGCAGCAGCCCAGTGTGAGTCAGCTGACTGACTAGCTACATGCAGGCTAGCGCCGCAAGCCATACCAGCAGGCTCCAACAGACTAACAGTATACGTCACTGGTAGCGGCCTGACCCAGGCCGACCCCTAAAGTTCCATGTAACCATCGTCTTCCTCGCCTAGTTCGAGTCCTTCTAGCAGGTTGGTAAGTTCTGGAGTCTCCTCGTCGTCCTACTCGTCCAGTCGAGCGAATCGGAATTGTTGAAGGAGGCCTGTTTGTTGCATAAATTCGGCGACGTAGCGGGATCGCCTGCGGGTGTACTATAACTGCGTCGGAATCCTGTATATGCCCACGCAGTCCCTCTATCTGATTGAGGTGATCCATAATTATCCTCCGGCCGGCCGTGTGCAGCGAGCACTCCAGAAGGACGTTCCTAGGGGTCTGGGACCCTAGGTCACAGGCGCACCGGTCGAAGTCGACCTGTTTCACAACAAAACTTATCTTGGCCGGAGATTTCAACCGCTATTACCTTGCATAGAGTTACTGTACGGTATACTACCGCTTCGCAGAACACGTGCACGAACTGATCAATTTCTTGCAAAACCACGAGCTGCAATGGTGCCTGGCCCCAGGCGAGGCGACATTTTGGTCTCTGAACAAACCTGGGACGACATCAGTACTCGATCTCACACGTACTAACGACATAACAGGGCTGATTAAATCCAACTTTACCATGACCACTATGGATCCGATTATCGGGGCACATACTCGGAATAGAGTCTCCAACCAGAGCAGACCAGAAATCTCAAACCGAGAAGAGCGTATGGCCGAGCAGACTGGACCGAAGTAGCCCGAACAATAATAAGATTTATTGACCCACGTCCAAGGATCCAATCCAAGCAGGACCTAGACCAGACAGTCAATTATCTGATCTAAACCACAATAACTGCGCTAGACCAGCAGGTGCCGGTACAAGCCCCGTGCCCGTACTCGAAGCGCTGGTTCACGGCAGATCTCAAGACCCAACAAGTGGAAGTCAACCAAGCCCGCCGAAGGTGGCAAGACGGTTGTGCTATCCTAGGACCCAATCGCCCAACCACCAAGGCAAGTTTTGTAGAAATGCGCGAGAGAAGTCGAAAATGGACGAGGGCAATTGAAAAACTAAAAACAAGTCACTGGAGAGACTTCCTCGACAAAGCGGGTAATGTGAATTATGTGACGTCCTGAGCATGCAGCAACGCCCTATACCAGGGTGTTCGCATAGTTTGCACTGTTTGGTTCGTTTGTCTTACACAGTAGGTTTGTTTACTGCTTTATGCAGTAAATCGCTATTTTCTTCTTCTTCTTTCCTCAACCTAGTGTTTCGTAACTAGCCTACAATAAAGATCATTTCTTCATTCCTGAGGTTGTCACAGATATCATAGCTTACGCATAGTAGTATAGAGGAATCGTAGATCTTAGAAACCCAAACTAGCTCTTAGGAAGTTAGGGTCCTTGCTAGTCTCCAGAACCTCGAACGCCCTTAACGGACTCACTGACTGCTTTGTAAACTAAATCTCTGAAATAGAAAGACAATGCTTTGAGAGTCACTGCCCATCCAGGCACTAAACTGATAGGGCTTTAGTCTTAAGAATGGTCAGCCTCCCGCGGCCCGTCGGGTTCATCTACTAGGCTTACGCAGGATGAGATCCCGGCGGGAGTCGGACGCAAGCATAGCCTCAGCCTTCCTTTAGCGTAGCCTTTGGCGCAGGGTGGCTTGCGGCCATTGGCACAATTGCGCACGACATTACTCGGGTGAGTGTTTGTTAAGGTATTGAATCTGATTATAGCCTGGATACAGTCCATCGTCGTGCTCGCAGCGCACGTACCCGAGTACTTTCTCGCAATACCCCGCAGGTCCTGCTCCTTAGCTTCTTCCTTTGGCCCCCCTTTAGCACTGCCATCAGGTCCAGACTGTGCATGTCGGTTGTCTGATTGTCCATCCCGTGGTCCGTTTCCAGTATCGTGTGGCTATCCATGTTCATGCCAGAATAGTGCATTTCTACTGGCGGTACAAACCTCCCCCAGGGCGGTTGCATTTCCGCGCCAGTGCATACAAGCTGCAACAATGGCAACAAGATGCCAGAATGTAACCTTTTTCCCAGACGCGCAGCATTAGCGGCATGGTGTGGTCCTGTTCGGCTTACTTCCTCGGTTTTGCGGGGACCGCGTCGAGAGGTCAAACAGTCCGTGTCGGTGCTAGTGACTTCAGAGTCCTCCTCATGAGAGATGTCATTGTTGTGTTGCACCTCATTCCTTCTATATGGGCAGAAAAGCTTGATCAGCAGCGGCAATCCAGCAACATATATCAATAGACGGAGCGGACAGCAACTAGTTCTTCTGCGTAAAAGGGGCAATGGAAATCCATAGTCGGATCGCTTACGGAGACGCCTTCTGTAATACGAAATACTAGAATATGTGATGATAGGTGCCTGTCGTGGATATGCAAGTCAGAACTGCGGCGTAGCGTGGTCGAGTCTGCCACTCGCAAGATGGTTCCTGTTTCGCGACTGATGCAGCCGGGGCTCCAGGCAGGAGCCGCAACCCTGCATGGCGTGGAGGATTCCCATCCTCGTCGCGAATGGCAGGATGGGAAGTACTATCCATACTCCGGTCGATCGCGGTGATTTAGTTGGTATGTTCCACTTTCTATAATAAATATTCTATTTAATTTAAAACCCCAACGATGTTACGGACCCAACTACAGACCGGGTAGTAACACCGTTGGCAGAGGTTGGATTTATATGAGACGTTGCCTGGATGACCTGTTGGTCATGCATTGTGCCTTTTTGGCCTCTGGTGCAGTGGTAAAGGCAACGGACCGCTGCCTTACCAAATACCTTCAGGATTTAAAGAAAGGTTCTAACTAGTTATTAGATTAACCGTCTAGTTATTTAGCCGAGTTAGGGATAGGGGAACACTCCGATTATTAAAGTAAAAAATTATTAGAAGATTTCTATATATAAATAGTTGAGGTAGAGCCCTTATTTTATATAAAAGGGCCCTACTCCTCTTTCTAGATAGTTCCTTTCCTTTCTTATGGGAAAATTCCTTCATATAGAGTCAGAAACAAACTTGTCTTACATAAGCGCCTTTGTAGACCGTCACACCAGCTTCAATCCTTACCTACTGTGTAAATAGCAAGGCGGTTGGTCATATGAGTGATAGCTGACCCTAGTCATTTAGTGCTTACCGTGGAACGTACTAACAAAATAACCGTGGTCCACCAGAGTAGATCACTGCATTCCTGATTCTTGACTGATGGCCCGAGCGACGACCCCAATTCTGCCAAGCCCCACGTACCCCCCCGCGCGGGATCGACCGCGTCCCAAGAAGAGTCCAAGACGTCGTCCATGGCTGTTCAGATAATTTCTCATTTTCCATTCGATCATCTCCACTGGCAAAGGCACGGATCTCTCTGTCGTCATGAAAGTACACCCTCCACAGCCTGTCCCGCTCTGAGCCCTGATCTATATAGCCTCCACGATCCTATACGCCAAGTCTCCTACCATGGCCGACGGTGTCATCAAGTCGAGCGGCCCTCGTCCGGCCTGCGACCGCTGTCGCGGCCAGAAGCTGCGATGTGTCTGGGAGATCAGCTCGCAGCAATGTCGCCGCTGTGCCCGGGCTAAGGCCGTCTGCACCATCCCAAGAGCGCGTCCGATGGGTCGTCCGCCGCGTCAGTGTCGTGACAATTCGAGCTACTTTGGATGCGAGGACGGGCACCCGCAGTCGCTGGAGGAGGACCCCATCCTGGGCATGCAGTCGTCTGACGAGTCCATGCCTCTGGACGGGGAGAGTGGACCGCCGCGGGCGATGGGCAACGCCCTGACGGGGGAACCGCTCTGGGGGCTGGCACCATCTATCGAGGGGCACAAGACGGCGGGACTGCCCTCCCCAGATCCGTTGGAGTTTCTCAATTAGTACGTGGTGGAATCCCCTGCTGCGGTGTGGTCTGTTCTACGATGCTCACTGATGGTACGGTAGCTTTGCTGAACCCACTATGGGGGGCATCTTTTCCATGGGCCTGGAGCCCGGCAGTGGCGGATTGCACAGCACCCCCACCACCACTGCGCCGATCGCGACCTTCAACACTCCCAATCGGTCCGACCCGGGCTTGTTCATGGCCCCGACGCTCGGCCCCGATGTCGTGGCGGATGGCCACCAGCGCCCCGAGGACCATAACAAGGCGCACCAGCACGACCGGAAAGATGATTACGTGCAATGCCTGACCCAGCTCTGCCAGCTCAATGTGGCCTTGTATCAGCACCCGCTATATGCCAATCCGGGCCTGGGAAATGCATTCCATGCGCAGATGATGCGAACGCCAGCGTCCAGCGGACACAGTTCCCCGACCAGCCCGTGTCTGTCGGATCTGAAAATGGGCCGGCTCCTCTCCATGACCGTGCAGCTGAGGAACCTGGTCGCCGGGATTGCCTCGGTGGATGGCGGGAAATCGCTGGACGAGGCTCCCCATGGCGCCGACCACGTCTCCCCCGACCGATCCACGGCCCTCATAGTGCTGAGCTGCTACTCCCGGCTCGACGTCATCTACACCCGCGCCGTGGACATCTTGCGAGACGTGCAACGCCGCGGGGTTCCTTTAAGGCCGTCAGATTGTCTGATGCCCTCTCTGGCGATTGACGGGTTTTCGCTGGCATCCTGCCATGGGATCCAGCTGACGTTTATCATCCAATTGTGTGAACAGACACTAGACAGCATCCGCGAGTGCATGAGAAAATGTGGCGAAAGCCAAGATAGATAGGTCTGGGAGTGTAAGGCACAAAGCGTTGAGTATAGCAATGTATTAAACTAACAATAAGCTGCACTTTAGGAGGTTTGTGGGGTCACGTGACTTCTGAGGTCAGGTCCATGATATCAGTGTCACGCTCCTGGCTTTGTCAGGTTCTACTGCCTACCTAATTTCGCTTAAGGGAAGGTTCTGAGTAGTTAAGGTAATACCCTCAGAGGCTGGAAGATAATCCCGTGTAAGGGGTAGCCAGGAGATGATATGATTCTGTACTGGCACTTGGTTCCCTTAGGTGAAGGTACCGGGTATGTTAGAGCGGTGTTACGGACCCAACCAGGAACGGGCAGTAACACCGGTCGGCTAAGGTTAGATCTATATAAGACGTTGCCTGGATGACCTGTGGTGCAGTGGTAAAGGCAACGGACCGCTGCTGCCTTACACTATTCTATAGGGGACCTATTTTATAGATCTCTAAACTACAGTAATACTAGGGAGTCCGTGATTAGGTAGAGCTAGTTTTAATAATAAAGGACCTGGGGATGCTTAAAAGGGGATTCTAAATAGATATAGTGTTGATAATTAGTAAAAGGCTTTAGCTTATTACTATAAGGCAGAAAACGCTAAGTATGGTTATATATTAAACTAAGAATAAGTTGCACAAGGTGCAGGTGCAGCGCTGCACTTCAGGAGATTTGTGGGTCACTTGACCTCCCCAGGCCAGGTCCCTGACAGGGAGTTATGTACAAGAGCTATTCGTGACAAAACATCCTATTTCCCATGATACCGGCAGCGTATAATCCCACATAGGCGTTCTGAATGCAGCATGTACGTTAAAGGTCCAGATTCACGACCAGCTTCTGTCCACTCACGGACCCCTCTCGCAGCAGGCCATTGTCCAGTCCCAGGCCAGCGGGATGCGCGTCAGGACGACCGGATCGGCCTCGACGGAATGAGCAAACGAGCCCCAATTGGGATGGAGCAGGTTACTCCCATGCACGGAGCCACAGACGCGGTCTCCCACCATCCAGGGCCGCAGCCCGTCGCGCGTGCGCAACTCGTTGGCGTGGGTTGCCACCTCGACCACCTCGCCGGCGAAATCAATGCCGACGGACAGTCCGGTGGTCTTAACACGGAGGGGCATTTTGTGGTCGCTGGGATTGAGGGCTACCGAGTGGACCTTGACCAGAAGGGAGCGGGGAGAACATTGGGGGATCTCTTTCTTGGATTCCGCCCAGGCGCCATCGGCGGTGGTGACGATGACGGTGGTTTCCGTGCGGGATGCCATTTTCAGAAGACGTCTCAGAGGTGCGAATGGTTCATGTAATCAGGCCAATTGTTTAATGTCACCTTTTATCCTGGTGTCTTGGTATATCCCGCATATGTTGCTTGCTGAACAAGGCCGGTGATGGAACTACACGAGATCATTACTCCGCACGCCACCCTCCTGGCCAGAAGCCAAAAGCTTTGGGCTAGATCGGTGTTAGGCCTTCGGTGGCTTCATCAGCCTGTCTGTTGGTGTCCTTCGGCATTCGGCCCTTTTCCGGAGGGCGTCGCTAGTCGGACGTTCCCGATCCCGGCAGATCATCGGAATTTACGCTTGATGCTTGTTTCGTCGACAGCATTTCTGTCTTCCAGGCGACGGGTCCCGGTGCATGTGGACTGACAGTAGGCCGATCTACACGGTCTCATTAAACAGCGTGCGCAGACATTGAAGTGACAAAGCGGACGTTTCACGCGTCAATGCAATGATATTATTGTATTTAGCTATTAGAAAAGGGACTGGCAGCTGGGCATGCATTAGAGAACAGCTGAGAGGACAGGAAAATGCAACCTCCATGTCATACCGAACTTTTGATACTGTCAATTTTCTATGTATGTCGAATCCAACAAAGGCACTGCGATGGTTATACCAATCGCACGCATTAAGTTAAGCCTTTTCCGACTCCTCCGCAGGCGTATCGTGCGCTTCCTCCCCAGCTTCCTGATTCCCCGACTGCTGACCTTCTTTCTTCTCCTCCATGCCAAACTTCGTATTCAACTTGCGACGTAGCTCAATCTCCTTCTCCACAAAGGTCAAGAGGAACCCCAGAGCGGCGAAAGCGACCCCGACATACCACACCGTACGAAGAGACTAAGAAACATCATATTAGCATCGTGCATGCATAACCTCCAAAGGGATATTAAGGTCTAAGAACTTACCTGATGAAAAGCCTCGACGACCTGCGCCCTGGACGTCTGGTCCTCAATAGAATTTAAAAACTCCTGTGTCGCATACTGATAAGCCTTCCCCCCCGTCAGATACTGCGCGACGTCCGGATCCTGAATAAGAGCCGCCGCATTCTTCCGACACTGGTTATTAAAGATCGCACTGGGAATAGTAACGCCCCAGACACTCCCGAACCCTCTCGCAAAACTCCACACCCCCGTGGCTGTAGCGACCATTCCCTCGTCCAAGGGCGCCTGGACCGCCGGTAGCAAAATGGAAGCGAGGAGCCCAGCACCGATGGCACAAAGGAGCTGGAAGCACACCCAGGCACCGGGGGGCGATCCCGGTGTCAGGAGGCTGAATAGGCCGAAGGCGATTATCACGGGGATCCAGCCGACGATATGGAGGGGTTTATACCGGCCGATTTTGGACAGCAGAATACCGCCAATAATGCCGAAGGGAAGGATCCCCGCGAAGATCGGGAGGGTATCGATACCGGATCTCATGACGGATTTGCCCTGGACCGCCTGGAAGTAAATGGGAAGGAAATAGAACGCCCAGTATGTGCAGAGCGTGTGGATCATCGTCAGGATGAGCGCCACGGTAGAGGTCCGGTTGGAGACGATCTTTCGCGGAAAGGAGGGCTCCTTGACGATAGTCCATTCAACGGCAAGGAAGAGGCCGATGCCAACGAAGCCGAGGACCAGGGGAACAATGATGTGATAGGTGCCCCATTCATAGATGGTGCCGCCCCAGGTGAGGGCGAGGAGCACGGCCACAACGGCCGTAATAAACACTGCGTTACCAAAGACGTCGATGCGAGCGAGACGCTGCTTCCAGGACTGGTTGCGTTCGTAGTTGAGGCGGAGGAAGAAGAAGAGGAAGACGAAAGCCGCTGTTCCATCCATACGATCAGCACATTGTCCCTACAGCAGATGGACATTCCTCATCACTTACTCCCCCCAATCGGCAGGTTGATGTAAAAGACCCAGCGCCACGACGACCGACTCGTAATCACACCACCGATGAAGGGCCCGAGGGCCGCGCCGATGGTGGCCGCCATCTGGGTCAACGCCATGTATTTGCCCCGTTCGCGCAGGGACACGATGTCGGTCATGATAATGTTGATCATGAGGGCGATACCGCCGCCGCCTAGCCCTTGTCTTGGAGCTGTCAGTTCTTCATCCATATCCAGTAAGCCAACGAGAGGAAAGAAAAAGCACATACACCGTCCGAGCCGCAATGAGCATCCTCATCGACGAGGACCCCCCGCACAGCCCACTCCCGAGCACAAACAGAGCTACGGCCCCCAGAATCAACCATCGCCGCCCAAACACATTGCTCGCCTGCGCAAATAGTGGCAGCGTCGCAATCGACGCGAGAAAGTACGCATTCGGCACCCAGATGTAGGCATTGCCGCCCTTGAGGGTGGCGGTGATGGTGGGCAGGGCGCTGGTGATGATGGTGCCCTCGATGGCGGAGCAGAGGCCCGTCAGCGACAGGGACAAGATGATGGCCCAGAAGCGCCACGACTTGCGTAGGGGCGCCTCCGAATCCTGCGCTACTTTGGTTTCATCTTTCAGAGGGGCGACTTGGTTGTCGGTGGTGGACATGGTTAGAGTCAGGAAACCCCAAGCAATGTAATCAGAATCGGTCAATCAGTCGTCGAAAGAGGCTAGAATAGACCACAACAATGACCCTAAAACCAGAAGACTTGAGGAGAAAAAAAAAGAGAAGAGGCAGCAATGATTGGAGTTAGGGCTATTATAATGCCCCTGCTAAGAGTTCGGCCACTTTCGGCCACTTTCGGTCTCTTTAGCCCTATCACCATCCTGATTGGGAATACGTGCAGGTCGGATTAAGCAATTATTAATAATGACTGCTCAAGGCTTGTTGTTGCTCCAGAAAGGAATCGGACAGCCACACCCTCACTATGCACCGCTTCTTCAGCTACGCCCCCCATCGCCATTACTTCGAGTACAAATGGTACAACCTGGAGCTGCTGCGGCTGCTGGGCTCCGCCCCCTACGGCGGTTGTGACGCGGCCGAGTTTCTCGAGACGATGGGCCAGCTTCAACCAAACGATGCCGTGTCGTGGCAACACCAGTTCCTGGCGCTGGCAGAGCGCACGCAGGCGCTGGCCGAAGACATGCAGAAGCACGGGCACCTGGCGGCAGCCAGGAACAGCTACCTGCGGGCGAACAACTACTTCCGCTGCGCGCAGTACATGTACCCCAACATGCCTGTAAGCGAGCAACCCTACCTGCTGTCCCTGTACAAGCACAGAATCGCCAATTTCGAGCAGGCCACCAAGCTGATGAACCACGGGGTGCGCCGCGTGCACATCCCCTTCGCACCGCCCGAGCTGGACGAGAAACCTGTCCAGATGCCTGGCTGGCTGCATCTGCCGGCGGAATCACAGCGTCTGCGCGGACGCAAGACGACCCTTCTGATTTGTGTCGGAGGCGCCGACTCGACCCAGGAGGAGCTGTACTTTCTGCACGGTGCCGAGTCGCCAGCAATCGGGTACGCCTTTTTGACATTCGACGGACTGGGCCAAGGGCTGGTGCTGCGACGGGACGGAATGCGACTGCGACCCGACTGGGAGATCGTGACCAGTGCCGTACTGGACTTCCTGGAGACATACGTCCAGGCCAATCCCGACACCAACCTCGACTTGAACCACATTGCCACTACCGGTCAATCTCTCGGCGGGTATCTCGCCCTGCGCGGTGCCGCAGACGCACGCATCAAAGCCTGCATCGCAGTTGATCCCGTCTACGACCTGTGGGACTTCGCCATGTCCAAGATGCCGAAGTGGTTCATGTGGCCCTGGGAAGCAAACCACATGGGCGACGGGTTCGTGGACTTCGCCGTCCGAAAGCACGGCAACCTGGACGTGGCCACGAAGTACACGTTTGCCCAAGCACAGGACATGATCGGCAGTACGAACCCCGGCCAGCTGCTTCGCAACTTCAAGCCGTACACATTCCGCCTGCACCGGACGCGCACGGCCCGCAAGTCCGCGGGGAGCGTGAACTAACTGGAGTGGGTGCGGTGTCCGGTTCTGGTGACGGGGGCGGCGGCGGACCCGAAGCTGTTCCTGGCGGAGCAGTTTTAGAACGAGATTATGAAGAACCTGGTGAATGTGGAGGGGGGTCGGAAGAAGCTATGGATCCCCAAGGCGTTGTCAGAGGGGGGTGCGCAGGCCAAGTCGGGGGCGTGGCCGCTGCTGCAATATCGGACGTATAGGTTTTTGGATGAGGTGTTTGGCATTGATCGGGGCCGGGTGAAAAATGGGTTTCATGTTGTTTCTTAGTACCATGGACATCAATGGAAAGGTTATCTTACTCCTGCCCGTGCTATGTCTATACTTCTTAGAGCGTCTGTCGCACATGCTGGTCTATACATTGGATGAGAGAGCACGTTATGTTCTCTCACTTGTTTCAGGACCACATATCAGAGTCGGGCATCAAATATATACCGGTTGAGAGGTGGCCATCTAAGTTAAACCTGAGAATGACCTGGTAATACTTATTTCTGTCCAATAGCTATCAAAGCAACCCCCTTCAGCGCACCCGGCTCCGCTAGCGACAGCCGTCGCATCTCGTCAATCATCAACTCCCTCAGTTGTTCCCTCTGCTCGTCCGAGAAGTTCCTTATCAATGTCACCATATGCGGCATCTTCGTCAACAGCAACTCAACGAAAGTGCTATAAGACTCAAACGCCACCTCTGTCGGGACCTGGTACACTTCCACACGGCGAAACCTAGCCTGTTCCAGCTGTCCGTGCAGTCCCAGCACCGTCTCCCAGCCCTGTCGCATCGACGGGGGACTGATACCAGGGTCAATTTGCTTGAGGGGCTTCATAATCTTCAGCCATTCGGTCTCTTCCCAGGAAGAAACAGCGACGACACCATCCGGTCGCAAGACGCGCTGACACTCGCTCAGACATTTTTGGGGGTCTTTTGTCGTGAAGAACACCTATGTAGCAGTTATATCACTATCCCATACTTTATTCACCTATTCGCTGGTGAATAGAATAAGAGAGCACATACCCACCCAGCGGCAACATGACTCATTGCGTCATCCCGAATAGAGCTCAAATCCATCGCGTCGAGCACCTCAGCTCTAACCCGACCCCACAACGACTCCGGATCCTCTTGTAAAAACCTCGTTTGGCTCCGCCGGACCTGGTCAATCATGGCGGGAGCGTAATCCGAACAAGTCAGGGCACAGGAAGGGAGAATTCTAGACCCGTATTCAGCAATGGCACGAGCCATAATAGGCGCAGGCCCACAGCCACTATCCAGAATCCCGGAAGCCTGCGAAAAGGGGACACGGGCGTTGAGCTGCTCCAGCATGAGCCCGATGGGTTTTATGCTGGTGTCTTCTGTCAGGCGTTTGTAGGTGTCGGCCATGATTTTCCAATCGTCTGCCGTTGCTGTAGTTATCTTAGTGTGGTACATGAGATCTTGTTTGGTGGTCTACCTTTTGTCGCCATTATGGCGGTGTCAGTAGGATAGGAGTGAGGTGGGAAGAGAAACTACAGCTCCATGTTGAGGGCATGAGGACGATTTTGTTTTGTTAAGTACGGTAGTTGGACATTCGGTCACTTTCGGAATCAGGTCCAACATTTCCTGGACCTGGACAAATGCAAACTACCGGCAACTTTGCTAGATTTGAAGGTCGTCCTATTCGACAGGCCATTGATGCATGGATACCGAAGTCCTATGCATGCAGAAACAACTTCCATCCATATTCGGTTTCAGGTTGTGTAATACGGTGGACCACGTTATTTGGTGGCTTTATAGGACTGCTAGCATACCCGATATCATTATTTTAGAATAGAATGATACCTGATGTCGTAACTTTGATCAGTTTGCCTCGTGGAACATCGAATGCCCTCACTCGTCAACATGAAAACCGAAAATGAAATGAAGGCAGTAGTATTCGAAGGCCCATACAAAGTGGCTGTCGAACAACGGCCAATTCCTACCATCCAGGAACTGGGGGATATTATTGTCAAAGTGAAATATACCACATTATGTGGAAGGTCAGCACGTATTCTTTACTGGAAGCGTCCAACCGACCGTGCCTTCCATAACTTATATACTAAATGATCCAGTAACCTCCATATATACTGCGGAATCATACCTATCCTATGGGACCAGTTCTAATGAAGGCATATTACAACAAGGTCATTGACCCTATCGGAGTATCATCGGTCAGTCGGGCGCAGCGGGTGGGGCAGAGCACGTACATTACAAGAATATTCATCAGATTCAGTTTAAATTTCGCCAGCGGATTCCCCAAGCAGTATATTTCAAACGTAAAAGATTTGAATAATATTACCGCCAGTTTACATGGGTGGTGGACATTTTTTTTTTTAACGCCCGGCGGCTAAGCCGAAAGGGCAACTATCACTGATCTACTATACATGTCCAAATATATATGCCCTGTCTCCTCGGAGCCCATGCATGATTACGCTCAATTTATGTCATATCAGCTGTCAGTATCGTAGCGGGTCCTCGTGGGTTAGTAATTTTGTTGGTAGACTAGCTTGAAGGCGCTTCTCCAAGTGTTCAACATCCTATTCTCGGCAATTGAAACGCGTCTACCGCCTCTGGCACAAGGTGGTTGTTGTAGGTTAGTTTGGGGAGAGTATCACTGGTGTTGGTTGAAATAGTTAAACAGCTTCGAGTCGGCCCGTGGCCATTGCAAACCGTATTGAGGCTCGTACCGCTTCTTTGCCATACGGTACAGGAACCGAGCAGCTTCCCGATACCGGTAAACTTTATCGACAATATTTATGAAACTTTGTCTGGTGGATGGATCCATATAAGTATTTGGTATTATGTCAATAATGTACTGAAAAGGTTTGATCTGCTTAATCTGATGAATACTCTCCACGAGTTTTAACAGTCGTTCGATGACCTGATGTCGAGACCATGAGTCAGCATGCTTCCTCGCCTCCTTGGCCCTTTTTATTAACGAATCGACGGCTTCTGAAAGGTTCCTATCGTTTTATTTACTCTGGTCGGCTTGTGTGAGTGCTCTAATTAGCTCCTGAAGAGAATCCTTGAATGATCTCTTCGCTTTTTACCGTCCGGAAGGCGCCAGTCGCAGTCGGGAAAGTATGCGAGATGAACACATCGAGACTGCAACATAGAAGATCTGGTTTTTGACACGAAGGGTGTCACCTGGCCATGACACTGTTAGTAATTAGAGAAGCTAGCTGAATTCTACTTACCGGTAGACACTTGTGCGAGGAGTGTAAAGATCTCATCAAAAACTTGCTGAGCATGAAGCAATACATCGTTCCCATCAGAAACTCGAGCCTTATTAACCGCAAAGATCACGTTTAAAATGCCCCTGGTTTGATCTTCCTCAATGCACACTGCGGGGATGTAATCGGCATTTTCTCGAACATGCGCAAGGAAAGCTAGTGTACTTGCTGGTCTAGCGCAGTTATTGTGGTTTAGATCAGATGGTTGACTGTCTGGTCTAGGTCCTGCTTGGATTGGATCCTTGGACGTGGGTCAATAAATCTTATTATTGTTCGAGCTACTTCGGTCCAGTCTGCTCGGCCATACGCCCTTCTCGGTTTGAGGTTTCTGGTCTGCTCTGGTTGGAGACTCTATCTCGAGTATGTGCCCCGATGGTCCGGCCAAAATAAGTTTTGTTGTGCGATTGCCTTGCTCCATTTGTTCTTGGATAGTTCGCTGAATTTCTGTCAGGATTTCGTGATTACTGCTCGTTTCAAATGCGTCGTGTGTCGCGATTGGTTGGATGTAAATCGAGAACACTAGATATTGAAGTTCTGGAGTCCAAATCTTGATGGCTACCACATCTGGGTGACCACACTGGATTTGATGGTGTGATGATGTGGAGATCCTCCGGTTGACATAGAGGAGGCTGCGAAATTGAGGTGTTTCAGGTTGTGTAGGTCGGTAGAATCGCCATGCGCTGTAGTTAACATGGGTGTAGTATGCTGTCTTTAGATTCTGACTTGGAAATTCAGATGTATATTAAGTTGACTGTTCCTTACTTATTTCTCGAGTGTAAAGCTGTGAAACAAATATGGCTGCTTAGACCACAAAAAGCACGAACACGCTGGATGCGTCATAGACAGGATATTTCTATGCACTTCTCCCATACTTCGGTACTTGCCGTATCACGTCTTGGACCTCCATGAGCCATCGTAAAATACCGGAAAATCCGGATAGAAGTCTCAAGACGGGGCTCAGTCTCCAAGTACCCAAGCTCCGCCCATATAGTCCGAGTGTGTGCTTGGGTAAGATACCTGTCATACCTACAGCTTACCAGCCACTCTCGCCTGCTTCAACTGATGCAGCTCAAAAACCTCCCGATCCAGACCCTCGGCAGGCCCATCAACCGCCAACCCCGGCACAACTTGATTGATCGACAGCGGGTTGACAGGGCCAGCTTTTACCCCCAACTCCGTCTGCCACTGCACAAGCTGCGCAGACGAACTCGCATACACGATCCGTCCCAGCCCCGCGTACGCGTGAGTAGTCGAGCACATGGGACAGTGCTCACCCGACGTGTAGACTGTCGCGGCAGCGCGGTCAGCGGGCGCCATGTGCTTCTGCGCCCAGACAGCCAGGGTAAATTCCGGGTGCAGGGTGACATCCCCTTCGGTCGTGTCCCGGTTGCGGTCCTCGCGGAGGACTTTGCCTTTTGCATCTACGAGCACGGAGCCGAATGGAGCGTCGCCTGCGTCGAGCGCTTCGCGGGCGAGCTCCACACAGCGACGCAGGTAGCTGATATCGGTGCTCGATAGCATTTTGCTTCACTGTCTGGGACGTCGAGGACTTTGCACCTGGAGTATAGATGTATTTGCAGACAGGCGAACAGCTCTTCACAAAAGTGGAGCTTGAATGTGTAAGAACTGGGTGTTGATAATCAATGTGGATTGTGGTTGCTTAACGGATTGTGACGTGGGGAGTGGAAGCGAAAAACGCGGGGGAGATTACAAATGGCCCTGCGGCTCGGGATGCTGTCACGTACTAGAGCAGTACAACAGGGTCTGTATAGTGATTCAGAATGAAGATGGGTTGTTCTACCTGTCATCTATAAAAAGGGGGGATATATGCCAGATGAATGTCGAATTGATTTCCAATCAGTCGGAATTGCAACGGAACAAATTCCGTACACGAGGGAGGCCCTTATCATTCGAGAAGCAAGTCAGAAGACTTGTACAGTAATGTGGGAAATCGATGTAGGGATCTTGGCAGGATGACTCGGAATAATCATACGAATAATGAATTCAGCTATCTGATCGGTCCGATTTGATCATTCAATCGTATGATGAAATGACGCGTTTACAATGATCCGCCGTGGAGCGAGGCGATGGAACCACTGATTAATCAGTTCCCTGCAACACTTAGTTAACTAACGTATTTCCCGGGTGAGCGGACCACCCCAACGAGCGGGCCAGCTAGTATTCCAATTTCCACATCCAATCTCTTTTTTATGCCTAAATATCTCTACAACAAATAATTTGGATGAGTTGATAATTAAAATATATTATAAGTACTATAATAATACTATATTAACTTTTATAAGTAGACTCCTCTCATATTTCGAGATATAATAGAATACTGCTGTATTTTTTGGTAATATCAAATAATTATGTAGTATATAGTTAACAATAATACTAAGATTATAAAAAGACATATGTATCTGTTTCCCTGTGTCTATTTCTATCTTTTGAAGAACAAACTACCCGGCATCTACGCCCGACGCTTAGCCCGGACATAAAAGTTCAACAGCCGAATCAGCTGAAACTCAGGGTCATAATCGATCGCTTCCAAGCCCTCACGCACAAACTCGTACCGACTCACCAGCTCCGACAACAAGACCTTCACTTCCAGCAAGGCAAAGTTAAACCCGATACACCCGCGCGGGCCCGTCGCGAACGGGATATACGCACACCGATGCCGACTCTTAACCTCCTCTGTGCTCCAGCGGTCCGGGTCAAACCGGAATGGATCCCTCCAGACGTTCGGGTTCGTGTGGATAGCATACAGCGCCGGCACGGTGACACTATCCGGCGGCAAACGGTACCCGCCGGGCAAGACGACATCCGTCTTGGTAGTGCGACCCGGCTGAAACGAGGCGTTGTGCAACCGCTGCGTCTCCTTGACGAAGCTGTCCAGATAGGGCAAGCCGTGCGCCAGATCCGGGTTCCATTTCGTCTTGTTGCGTTCCCCATTCGGGCCGACGATCCCATACTTCACCAGCTCCTGGTACAGACGGTCCTGGGTGCCTTCATACGTGACTAGGCAGTATATCAACCATGACATGAGCGTCGACGTCGTCGTGAACCCGGCCCCCGTGATGATCAGCATGTTGCTGAGCAGAAGGCTCTCGGGGAACCGTTCCCCCTTGTCATCCACCGCATGCAGCAGGTACACGACGAAGCAGGACGCTTTCAGCGCGGCTTCATTCATAGGCGCATCTGCCATCCCCGACCCGGCCACCTGGTCCACGGCCTCCTGCAGCAGCGAGTATACCGTTCGCTGAACCTCGCGGAGTCGAGCGGGATCCCCGAACGGCAGATGACGATACCATTCGCCCCGGGCGGTGATCTTTTTATTCAACGACAGCAGATTGGCAATATTCGTAACGATCGGATGCAACGGACTATCGACCTCCTCGAAGTGTTTGAAATCCTGATCCAGCGCAAACGAGCCAATGGTCTGCGACGCCAGTTTCAGCATATACTGGTACACATTCCAGGACTCGTCGCGGACATCCAATTCATCGAAGATCGGCAATGACTTGCGCACACAACTCTGCATCAGCCCCGTGTAGTGTCGTACTGCCCGAGATCCCATCGACGGCGGAAGATACTTGTGCGCGAGTCGCCAGTTCTCGGTTTCTGTGTCGCCGATGAATATCGCGCTGTTGTCCTTGATGCCCCAGAGGGGATGCTCGGCGTTGATTTTCTTCGTCATGTATGCGGACTCGATCAGCGTCACGGACGCTACCAGGGGGTCGTCTGTCAGGTACATTGTTTTGCCCATGTTGGTCGTCTTGATGACGGGTCCGTATTTGCGGAATAGTCGGTAGTGGTTGCCCAGGTGGTCTGGGAAGATCTCGTAGAAGCTGCCGACGACGGGGAGGCCGGTTGGTCCTTGAGGAGATTGGACGGCATTGCCGTCAATACGAAGGCCGATGGGAGAGGAGACGACGGCCGTGATGTCGGGGACGGTGGTGAGGGTTTCGGTGTGGGTGTGGAAGGAAATGCCTGGCTAGTTGTGAGCTGTGTTGGGTGACTTAATGGGGAGAAAGACGTACCGGTTGGTTGGGCAACGTGGAAGATGCTTCCGACTGCTCGCTGCAGGTCCTCGAATTTCCAGCTGTCGTCGATACTCACGGTTTGAGCGGAGGCGATGTCATTGCCAACGAGGTAGAACTGACACTGCATGGTGGATTCTGTGTGTTTGGACTCAGCAACAAAACGCCAACACGGATTCTATGATTTTATATCTTAAGTTTGCTACATCTATCTTGTAAATCGCCTGCAGCTCCGAGTATCCGACAGTGAAATGGCTCTCCGGTGCTGCTCCGTTGCTGCTCCGGATGTCGCGCGAACTTCGGCCGCGGGATGCCGGCCCGGGATGGATCGCTTGACGAACAAACAACATCTGGGATATAAATAATATAGACACCGTGTCTGTCTGCTTTGATGTGCAGACTTGATGAACAGGGTCAGAATGTCGTACACTCTTGAGCAGGTCAAAAAGCACTGCAAGCCAGACGATGTCTGATCGTGCTGCATAACAAGGGTTTGTACTGTCTCAATTCTGCACTTGGCGAGGCCACATCTGATTCGATGACTTTTAGTCTACGATATCACTAAATACCTCGAGGATCACCCCAGCGGCAGTGCTATTCTGCTCGAAGTCGCTGGTACCGATGCCACCGATGCCTTTGAAGAAGTCGGCCACTCCGACGAGGCCCGCGAGCAGCTGGAGCAATTCTACTTGGGAGATCTCCCGGCTGAGGTACCTTCACTGCTGATTGTGATAAAATTTCACAGTATACTAATGTGAACTAGGAACAAACTGAGGTGATCGAGGTCTATCGTCCCACCTACCAACAAGTCTCCCAGGCCGCCGCCGTGAACCTACACAGACCCTCCTTCTGGACAAAAGTCCTGCGCGCCGTCACCAAACTCGGTCTGACCGGCCTCGTTGGAACTGCGGCCGTGACAATCTACCAGCATGACCTCGCTCCTCAAGCCCTATAGATCCTGCGCAACTCCACCGGCAGCGGCACGAGCTACAACGGATCCTTCTGGACCGGCGCCGGTATTGCTACCATCAGCCAGCTCACGATAACCTGCAGCTTCGGTCTCTGGCTCTCCTCCAAGCTCGACGTCCAGCAAGAATTCACCCACTATACACCCCGTCGCGCAACCCACGCCGCATCCCTCATTCCCCTCCGACACACCAGCAGCAGCACCCCAGCATCCCCTCCCATCCTCCACCCCAAGACCTGACACTCTCTCCCCCTACTCCAGAAAATCGAAATCACCCCCAACGTGTACCGCCTCGTCTTCTCTCTCCCAAACCCCACCGACACGCTCTCCCTCCCAATAGGCCAACACATCACCGTCCAGGCGCAAATCAACACTCAAACCATCTCCCGCTCCTACACCCCGATCTCCTCCCCCAACGATGCAGGCCAACTAACACTGCTCGTGAAAACCTACCCCAACGGCAAAATGACCTCGCACATGGCCTCGCTCACCCCGGGCTCATGTCTTTCCTTCCGCGGCCCCAAAGGCGCAATGAAATACACCCGCAACCTCGCCAGCACGATCAACATGATCGCCGGCGGTACTGGCATCACACCGATGTATCCGGTCTTACGAGCCGCATGTACGGACCCCCTCGACGGGACGAAAATCAACCTTCTCTATGCGAATAACACCGAGCGGGATATTCTTCTTCGTGAGAACCTTGATGCCCTGGTGGGCTTGTATCCGGATCAACTCAATGTGCGATATGTGCTTAGCCAGCCGGATGATAACAGCAAGAGCAAATGGACTGGCTATCGGGGATTCTTGGACGAGGATATGATGAAGAGGGAGTTTTCGGGGCCGGCGAAGGAGAATCGAGTGTTTTTGTGTGGTCCGCCGGGGATGATTGAGGCTATGAAGAAGACGTTGGGGGGCTTGGGGTGGACGGTTCCTGGGGGGTTGGTGGCGAGAGGGGAGGATCAGGTTTTTGTTTTTTGAGAGTGTGTGTTTGTTAGTATAGGCACTGGTTGAGATTATGTCAAGGGGAGGAGATTTAGAGTAGATTGTATTGATTGGATTAGAATAGAAGATATGCTTTGTCGTTAAGTCATCTCGTTGAATATGACAGCTATATACAATAACCAGGATTCTACCCAAACCCACCCAAACCAGCAAAAGAAGACAACTCAGGCAGGACAAGATAGAATGAACTAGCATATAGTTAGTATTCCATGCTTTTGTAAATACACTCACTAGCTAACTCACTAACTAACTAGTACCCTAATTGCATCCTTCCAACAAGAGAAATAACCTGTTCTTAGCTGAAGCTTGTTTGCAGGGAAGTATATCCGTATTTTAAACCAGGCAGGCAAGAAGCTTATGCTGCGACGTCATATCCCGGCTTTCTTTCTTTTTTTGATTTTCTACTATTTTGGAATTGAATAAAGTTTATTTTTGCAGATGACGTTTAGGACAACAAATGCTGTGTCATTTTCATTAGAATGGTATAACTGGGCAGATAGATAGATAGATTGATTGATTGATTGAGACATGGATAAATCGGCACTGATCAATAAATAGATTCCGCTCCTCTCCGCTCCGATCTCCCTCAGTGCTGTATCGGAAGTGTCTCCGAGCCATTCCGAGGTGTATGTGAAGCCTCCGAATCCGAGATCTCTCCTTGGGAAAGGTAGAATTGATGTCATTCGGATATCGGAATTTGCGTCTTTATTCTTTTCTAATTTGAATTTGTATAGTTACGTGTAAAGCTTGGACGAAGGTTGTGGGTAGTTTGTTTGTTTGGTACTTCCGACTTCTCCGTATCTAAAGGCAGGTTTTGGTTTGGTGGGAGTGAGTATAAATATTAGGTAGGACCCCGTGTTTGAGTATGTTCGGTCTGGCAAGCTTGTTCTATCTCTTTTCTTTAATTACTTTATATGGATACAAAGCGGTTTGCTTAACCTATTTTCTTATTATTCCTTCCTCTCAGGTGATATTGTTCGGTCATTGGCATAACATATCATATCATACTTTTACTTCATATACCTCTGTTTGAGGTAGTACCACCTACTTTACGCCACCAAAGCCTTCGTCCTTTAAAATCAACACCCTTTACCAAAATGAAATCCATCACTACTCCCCGGCCCGTCACCGTCCTCGGCGCGGGAGTTCTAGGCCGTCGCATCGCCGCCGTCTTCCTCGCTGCCGGATATAGAGTGCATACCTACGATCCATGTGCGGAGTCCCTTCTCGCCGCGACGGAGTATATCGATACTCACATCTCGGAGTTCATGGCGCTTGTTCCGTCAACTGCGTCCAAGATGAATACAGATGCAGGATCGGATTCGGATTCGGATCTGCATACGCATAAAGGTGCTAATGGACATACGTTTACATGTACTCATACGTATACGAATGGGGCTGTCAACAGGGCTGTCAATGGAAATGGAACAACCAAGGCAGAGCCAAAGCCTGGTCAGCACGATACATTTACGGATCTTCGCGCTGCAGTGACAGACGCATGGCTGGTCATCGAAGCGGTTCCGGAAGTGCTGGATCTCAAGACGAAGCTTTTCGGGGAGGTGGATGACTACGCGGCATCGGACTGCATGATTGTCTCCAATAGCAGCTCGTACAAGTCGCGGCTGATGCTGGGGGAGGTGAGTGACGAGCGCAAGAAACGGGTCGCGAATATGCATTTCATGATGCCGCCGGGCATACGGACGGTGGAGTTGATGACGTGCGGAGAGACTGAGATGGGGATGTTGGAGAAGCTGAAGGATGTGTTGAAGGGGTGTGGCATGCTTCCGGTGATTGTGGGAAGGGAATGCACTGGGTGAGTTTCTCTCTTTTTCTTTTCCTTCGTCTGGCGGAGGGTTCATGGTTACGAGAGTCACGGTGTTAATATTTGCCAGATTCGTCTTCAATCGCCTCTGGGCGGCCATCAAGCGCGAAATCCTAAACATCCTCGCTGAACAGGTCAGCACTCCCGCCGAGATCGACATGCTCTGGGAGAACATTTTCCTGAATCCTCGAAGCCAGCCGTGTCGATTGATGGATCTGATCGGATTGGATACGGTGGCTTTCATCGAGGACAACTACATCCAGGAGCGCGGACTGGATAGTCGGCCTGTGGACTGGTTGAGAGAGAAGTATATCGATTCGGGTCGGTTGGGACTGAAGAGTCACAAGGGGGGACTGTATCCTCATTCTGACCCTGCTTCCTCAACCGAGGTCGAGAAGAAACTGAACGGCATGAAGACCAATGGTGCGAAGGCGAATGGATTCAAAGACAATAGCGCCCAAGCCAACGGAGTCGACCCAGAAATTGTATACGTCCTCGATGTCGGCTTCGGCACAAATAATGATCTCTCTACCTTCAACTCCGTGGGACAGATTCTGCGTTACTCGCCTGCAACGGGAAAGAGGGTCCCGATTGTGCAAGGTCAATCCCTACCCGATGGGATCGACATCTCGCGGAAGACGGACCGAATCTTCTGGACGAGTATGGGCCGCGCCACACATACCCGCGACGGAGCGGTGTATTCGGCCAACCTGGACGGGACGGACATCAAGGCGCTGCTTCCGCCGGGGAGCGTGCACACGCCCAAGCAGCTCATGGTGGAGGAGAGCACGGAGATGCTGTACTTCTGCGACCGCGAGGGCATGAGCGTGCACCGCGTGCGCTTCGACGGAACCGCCCACGAGACCCTGATTCAGGCGGGACCCACGACAAAGAAGAACCCCAACGAACCGGTCGACATGACCCGATGGTGCGTTGGAATTGCCATCGATATCACTCGTGGATACATATACTGGACGCAAAAGGGTCCGAGTAAAGGAGGGCAGGGGCGGATCTTCCGAGCGGGAGTGGAGATTCCCGCGGGCCAGACGGCGGAGTCACGTTCCGACATCGAGTTGTTGCTGTCGGGTCTGCCCGATCCGATTGATTTGGAATTGGATGCGCGCACGCAGACCCTGTACTGGACAGATCGGGGAGAACATCCTGTCGGGTGCTCTTTGAATCGGCTGGATGTGAGTGGGAAGGTTGACCCAGCAGATCGCGTCATCTTGGCAAGACATTTCAACGAACCCATTGGATTGAAGCTGGCAGGTCAAGACCGAGTGTACGTGGCAGACCTCGGGGGGCGAGTTTATTGCGTGGAGCAAGGGAAGAAGAGGGTGATATGGGAGGACGAGGGGAGTTATACGGGGATAGCGATCTATTGATTTATTGATTTGTGCGGGGGGGAGAGGGAAGCAGATGATGATAAATCAATAGTCGATAAGCTGGTAGACGAACGGACGAATGGAAGTTGAAAGAACAGAATGCCAATGAAAGACGGTGACTATCAAGGATGCACTTCGTACTTTGGTCTTGGTAGAGTCGACCATCACATGCCCTTCTTCACCCGTCCCTGCAGAAGCATGCATCATGCAGTGCAGCTCCCACGAGCATGCCAAGTTCCTTTTTTCTATCACATTACATCATGGATTTACTATATTCCAACCTCTCCTTCTCCCCTTAGCCTCTACGGAGTACTTCCTAGTCTCGCCTCTCGACTCTCGTCTCTCAGCCAACCTGCTCAGTGCTCACTCCCTTATTACCAATCCACTTCCCGGTACCCAATCATGCCGATCAACCTGACAAGTGGATGCACCTTCACCGGAACGCAGTCGGTGGATTCCCCAGCAATCCGGCCTCCTGATATTGGCTAAGTCAGGCTAGAGAATTACTACAGCAAGTTAGCGATCTTCCTGCTAGGAAAGAAGCCGAGGAGAAAGGACCAAGCAGCCGCGCAGCGCTAACAAAATCTCGAGACCGGAGCGGCGGAGACCGTGGCAGGTGGAGCCTGCCGCCAATTTAGAGCGATGTTAGGACCAGGCAGACGAATGTCTCCACTACTCCTGGGAATAAGAAATTTTGCCTCTAGAGAGCTGGTGCCTCCTTTTTGCCCGCAATGGCAAGTTGGCTGGAACTTTTGTTTGCTTAAATCCTGAGGGATCATTTTTATTGTTCCTGACCGTCAAGATCTTGGCGTGAGGGTGATGGTACGTGTGCATCGCCCTTCGTCCCCTAAGTGAAGCTTTCTAATAATAGTTTAGCGAGATAAACTCGTCGGTAGTTCAGGTGCCGAAGGACAATCCCAATTCTAACCTTCCACGGCCTTTTCCCCATGCCCGTTAGCTTTTTAATTTATTTATTTCTAAAAACAATCGGGAAGCCCAATGTCAATCACCGGTAGTGTCAGGATCAACATGGTGCGGTTGTTGCCAAACAGCGATCCTTTCCCACTTGTTCTAGTCTACCATAATTTCACGGTGGTGCCCTGCCTTGGTCACGACGTCAGTGCGAATAGTTTTTGGTTCGTAGTGGGTCCCAGGAGATTACCTGACCCATTGTTCCCCTTGTCCTCCCTGCTCGTCTAGAGTTAACGACTTAGTCTATGGTGGCTTGCATTTGGTGGTTCAAGTTGGCGTCTGTCAGATGCAGGTCTGTCAGACAACAGTACGAGACAAGAGCGGCCCCCGAGTCGCGCAAGCAAACAACGGGATTGTTCAAGGGGATCTATCAACCGAGACCGGAGCACCAGGGGGCCCCTAGTTCTCATGTTCAGCGTACGGAGTACTCGACCAGATCAACCTCCCAATTGAAATCCGACAAGGCTGGCCTGGATGCGAAGCGATCAACCCGATCAAAGGAGACTAGCCCATCACTTTCCACTTTAGTCCACGGCACGGTCTGGAAGCCCGAGTTGGCGTCGTTCATCTTCCCTCCACAGTAAGGAGGCCGACGCGAATCAAGTCTGGCTGTTCTCCTACTCATGTCAGAACAAACCCCGGCCAGTCAGAACTCACCTCCGTATAAATTCTCCGGAGTCGAGGCCCCATCGCGTAATGGAGGGGAATTTAGTTTATTTGATTTTTTTCCCTTCTTCTTGGGACGTTTGATTCTTTATCCGACGGTTCCCCCTTCCCCCCCAGTAGGAAACTTTTGGAACCCTTGAAAGTTGAAACCCTTAGGGAACACCAAAATCCCAGTCAATCATGCGTTTCCATCGGGGGCTATTACTTTATGGGTTCCTTCTAATTACTCTGGTGGTCTGTTCGGCCGCCAAAGACCCCGATCTTTATTCTTTTCCTCAGTGTGCGGTATGTTTCCGTTCCATCGTGTGATGGTTAATATATTTCTAACCTTGGCGATTGAAGCTGTCCTGTGGAGAGCAAGGTAATTGTGCGCCGGGCGATACAAGATGCGCCTGCTCAGATCGGGTGTTCGAGGGGTCGTTAGAGACCTGCGTAACAGCGAACTGTACCATTAAGGAGCAGTTTGGTAGGTTTTCTTTTTCTTCAATTTCGTGGCACGGACTGAGGCTCATCAATACAGTCACCAAACGACTTCGTTCCAAAGAATGCGGCTTTTCGGAACATGAGGGTCGGCCTGCCATAGATCCGGCGACTCTAATACCACTTATTCTCTCCTCGTCTCTCTTTATCTGCCGTATATTCGCTAAGATTATCCATCTTGGCGGAGGCTGGGGATGGGACGACACTACCATTACCATTTCCTATGTGCGTTTTGCTGTCAATGTTGCTCACTTTCTCTGCTAATGGTTCATAGGCTTTGGCGTTGGAGTTATTCATTGTCAACATCTACAGTGAGTCCTCGGCCCCCAAATTTTATTTTGGAATCCACACTGACCAACCCTAGTGATCCATCATGGCTTTGGCATGAACATGTGGGACATCATTCCCTTCAGCAATATTACCATGGTTTATAAGGTGATTCTATCTCTAAAAAGGTTGCCGCAACGCATTCTAAAATTGTAACAGCTGTTTTACGCCTTCGTTCTCAGCTACAAAGTTCAAATCTCCCTCGCCAAAATTTCCGTCTGTCTTTTCCTGCTGCGAATCTTCCAATCCGCCGTCTTCCGCCACGTCACGTACATCGTCATCGGTCTGAATGCTGCCATCGCCGTGTCCTGGGTCATGAGCGACTCCCTGCAATGTATGCCCGTGAATATGGCCTGGAATGGCTGGGCGGGTGAGGAAGAGGGGAAATGCATCGACTTCATCACGGCGACGTTGACCAACGCACTGGTGAACATTTTTGTGGATTTCGCCATGGTCGCTGCACCTGTCTATGAGATCACGAAGTTGCAGTTATCCAAGAAGAAGAAGATTGGAGTGGGACTGATGTTTGCGATGGGATTGCTGTAGGTATCCTCGCCCCATTCGTGACGAACCATCTTCTAACTCAGGAACAGGTTAACCATCGTTGCAATCATTCGAGTCATCGTCTTCTGGAACAACCGCTGGTCCGACAACCAGACAGGTGCCGTCACCCTTCTTCCTCCTCAATTCTAAGGCCACCACACTAACAGTACCAATAGCACAACTCCAACCCATTGTCCACTGGTCCGTCATCGAAGTCCAAATCGCCGTTCTCTGCGCCTGTCTCCCCGCTACCCGCGCTCTTGTCGGTCACTTCATGCCCGACCTTATCAGCGTATACGGCAAGAAATCGTACGCCACGCACGGCGCCCCGCTGAGCAGCAACGCCTACCCGCCCGCTTCAAACGCCAAGGGCGAGATCGCCAAGACGATGACCTACTCGGTGAACTATACATCGAGGGCACAGCGCGACGACTCGGGAAGCTCAGTTGAGCTAGTCGAGGTTGACCAGGAGAATTTGGAAGGGGGAAAGGTAGGCGGAAGAAACGGAGGGAGTAGAGTATAATGACTCTACACCTCTGATTTGCGGGATTTCTTTTGTATACTATTATGGGTGGGTTTTTTCTATTGCATATACCTTTTTGTGCATTACGGTATACCTTTTGGGGTAGCTATCTCATTTTTTCTTTTGTTGACTCATTTGGGTGGAGTGTTGTTTTATACCTACTGCTTCTGTATGCATACTTAATCCTATATAGACCTATATACTAACATAATCACGAATTTGATACATGAAACCAAAACTGGAGGAAATCGAATGATAAATACAAAAGAAGCGCGATGCATTGTTTATAGATATCAATGAGTGAAGAGACAAATCATCCCTGATAATCGAGTAAAATTTGCATTTTTTGTTAGTATCTACTTGAGCTCAATTTCACCTTCGATTCAAATATCAAAATCGAAAACAAATTTCAATAACCTCAACGTATGAAATTGACCCCTTCCACAACAGCCCATCACACAGTCCTAGGAACTACATAGAGAGAAAAATTCAAATATAGATAACCAAGCCCATTTTCTCGCTTTCTGAACGGACAAATAGACACATCTACTTACAAATTACCCAGCGCCACAGGAATACGAACATCAACGAACAGTCAGACAGGGACCATCCCACTAGCCTAAAAAAAATATTCAAAAAATCACAATAGACCAACGAACCCTTAGCAGAATACTAATAGCCGACGGAAGACCCAGCATCAAGGAGAAGAAAGATCTACAGCACTATAGGTCTTCTGGAAGTGCACTACGCCAAATTTACCTAGGGGGTCGGCACTTAATGCTTGGCGGGAAATCAATAACCAGCTTAGTTAGAGTGGTCTAATTTAGACAATAAAAAAGCAAACAGGCTCCATCGTTCTTTGGGTTAAGGAGCTGGGTTCTCCAGGGGAAAGGAGCGGTGAATGAATTAGGTTGGTAGGTACGGATTGTTAGATTTGATTGGCTTGGGTGTATACGTACATACATAGGTATACTATTGGATATATAGGGTGGAGAAATAGGGGTGTTGATATCTGTTGGGCATGATTCAGGATAGGAATTAGCTAGCTGTGTACAGAGTTTTAAGGATTATGAAATTTTATATTATTGATAGAATTGGATGATTGGATGGTGAACGTGTTCAAAAGTTACTTGTTGATTTGTATACCACTTTAGGGTTAGAATCTGATTTGACCCAATGTTTTATTGGACTACCACACACATAACCATTCTGCGTTTGTAGACAACAAACGTATCAGTGGTTACCGCTTACAATTAGAGACTACATGACTATGAAAGAAGTCTGAACAAAAGAAACCACAATGCTTTGATGAGACTTTCAACATTTCAGAGGAATCTTTCGGTATTAGAGCGAATGTTTCAGCAAATAGCTACATTGCTATCTACTATATAAAGACAGGAAACTGATAACAGAGAAGTGATCACCATCTTCTTCTTCTTCTTCTTCTTCTTCTTCTTCTTCATCTTCTTCTTCGTCTTCTTCTTCGTCTTCTTCTTCGTCTTCTTCTTCGTCTTCTTCTTCGTCTTCTTCTTCGTCTTC